TTTTGCTATGATTTGAATTAATTATTAATAGGAATAATTTGAAAAATAATTCAATAAATTTCGTTTTAGCTATTTTTTATTCTATTATTATTATTATTATTACGCATTATAAAATTTTTTTGATGATAATTCCTTTAAATCTTTTACTTTATTACCATTTATATTTCCGTGTGCCAAAATCATTTTGTAAAAATTTTAAAAAAGTTTTTGGAGCAAAGCATTTATTTAAAAAAAATTAATTCTTCTTAAAAGAAATTTGTAAGTAACATTCATTTTTACTTTTTTTTTTATTAGAAATTTTTTGTCTATAAAATGTTGCCATTAATTTACTTTGAAATTCATAGTTCTTTTACATCACTCCTAGAAATTTCACAAAAAAAAAGCATTAATTTGAGTTTTATGGATGGCGAGAATTTATTTAACATTTATACAAACAGTTAATTAATTAACATCTAATAAAAATTTTAGTAGTACTAGCAAATAGTATACTCGTGCAAATAATGATAGTAATAACGATAATAATAATGATAATAATAATAATAATAATAACAGTAATAGTAATGACATTTGTAACAGCAATCATAATATTAGATCTGATTGCTGCAGTAGTAATAGTGATTATAGTTTAATTATAATTAATAACAAACAAAGATTTGAATTAAAAAATTCATTCATTGTTGATTGTGCGTAATGATATAATACCTTCAAATTTAATTTTGTATTTTTTTTTTTTTGCATTGTAATTAAAACTTTGAATAAACCTTAAATAGTGGTCATAGTAGGAAGGTTGCGTATATACGTGTACACGTAGTCGTAAGTCGTCTTTGTTGTTGTTGTCGTCGTCGTCGTCTTGCCGTCTACCAATAAATTAGAACCGATTTTAAAGTCATCGTAGTTGTCACATCTGACAAAAAAAAAAAAAAAAAAAACGAAGGAATAAAGCAACAACTCCGCCTTTTCTCCCAATTCGCTGATTACACATACAATAAGATTTGATAAAATAATTTTCAATTTCATTTCCGGTAAATGATTTCTTTTCTTTTATTACCGAATTAATTTTTTTTTTATTTTCGTACTTTTGTTTGGAAGAGAAAATGATATCAAAGAAAATTTCTCAAAACAATTTAATTAATTAAAATGCAATTGAAATTTTCTTGAAATTGGAAAAAACTCTAAATTCTTTTTCTTATTTTTAAAATTTTTAATTTTAATAACAAAAGTTAGCATATTGAAGACAAAGTTGATGTGAAAACAATAGATTATGCAAAGGATTATGTAAGAAATATAATTTTTGATAAAAGGTATTTTTAATTTTATTAATGAAGTTTGAAAGTAAATTTATGTCAGCAAAGATGAGTATAATATTTGCCAATTCAGACCGAAAAATTCTAAATTTCACTAATGAATACCGTTTTCTGTTTACTATTTAAATTTTATTAAAAATCCACATCCTTACCATAACAGTAATACATTGAAATAATTTGAATTGATAAGTATTTCTCGACATGTTAATTAATGTATATATATATATATATATATATATATATATATATATTATATATATATATATATATATATATATATATATATATATATATATATATATTTAAAATTTAATTTTTGCAATGCACATTACTATTTTATTTTTAATTAAAACAACAAGAAATAAGGAAACTGCTAAGGAAAAATCACAAAATTTTTTAAAAATTAAATGTTTAAAATATCCGAACTGAATGATTCTGAAGTATTAAGAATTTGCATTCACTAATTCAAATACTTAATTAAAGTAAGCAAATAATAATTATATAAAAGCTCGAGATGGATGGTGCTAATTTTAAATTTGTTTTCGAACCCAAAATATCAACCAGAAATTAATTTCATTAGTTTGCACTGGAAAAAAGTATTGGAAAGAGTGAAAATTTTGACTTCTTCAGCCACTTCACTTTTTATTGTATCTAATTTTTTTGCTAAATTTCAAAAGTGAAATATTTATTAATCCGATATTTTTATTCATTTTTAATAGTCTTTAATTTTAAATTTTATTTAAACAATCATAAAATTTGTCAGTATGTTTCATTCAGGAAAGCAAATACTTCATTGATTATTGAAATCAATGAAAAAAATATTATGAAAAAAATTGTTGAAATAAGAAGGAAGAAAAAACGAATTCTTTTGCAACAAATAAATAAAAATATATGATAACAAAAAATTTAATGATATGTCAGGTTATTATTAATTGTAATTAATTCCAATTAATTTGAAAAGGAAAGAAAAAATACATTTAGAAAAGAGAAAAGAAAAAAGGAATAAGAAAAGAAAGAAATAATTAAATTAACAAAGAAAAACAATCTGACTGTGGAAAATTTTTGAAGCAATTAATTTCTTTATAATAATAATTTATAGAATTTTTTTTTTTTAAATGATCAAATTGATTTAAATATTATAAAATTATCACAAACATTTAACACTCATTTTTTTCTTTTCTTTTTTTTCATTTCTTTTTCTTTCCAATTTTTTCTTCTTTCTCAAATACCCTAAATTCAATCAGGTAGAAAAAAATTACAAAAAAATTTGTAAAATTTATTGTAATAATTCATTATCAAATATTTTTCGGTTCTTTTTGTAACGATTAATTAATTATGATAATAACCTGAATTAAGACTTTCCCAGAAGCTTTTTTTCATTTTTTTTAATACTCTATTTTACTTTGATATTCATTCGGGCGTGCATAAGAAAAACAATAACGAAAATATATTTAAAAGATAAAAATTATGAAATTTAAATATTACAGTACACTTTTACCTGATGAAATATTATTTTCCATTTGTTCAAATGTTTAGGTTTCATAATTTCTTTCTTTTATCTCAATGAATCCGATGTTGAAAAAAAGATTTAATTTCATTTTATACTCCCTTTTTTGATGATTTTAATGACATTACAAATAAATATAATATATTATCCGGTACATTTACGGATTTTAATTTATATTCTGGAACTATCACCTTTTTTTTGTAAAATTTTTATTCAGATATTACAATTATTAAAGTCTTAAGTAATTCAGTTAAATGTTCAGTTAAAATCTTAAGTAAGTGTTAATCCTAATTCTTGTCTTTTGACTTTCTTCAAGAGATGAAATATTAAGGAAATTCGAATGATCTTCCAATCTTTCTCATAATATTTTCTCCTTCAATTTATCAAAAAAAAAAAGAAAAATAAAAAAGCATTAATTAAAAAAGAAAGAAGGCATTATTGTGTTATAATTGCTAATATTCTAGTCTAATATTACTTCAATTGAATCAGTGACAAATTTTTTAAATTAAAATTTTTGCATTACTCATTATTAATTTTTAATTATAGACAATATCTATAGATGCAAATTTAATGCAAATAACTACAACGCTGTTTAAAAAAGAATCTTTCTGCATACATATTAAGACCGTTTAATTAAAAATGAAAAGAAAAAAGTGGTATCGCTTCCATGAATATACATACTTTCATTATTGAATTTCGGAACTCGAATTTTAAGTGTTCAAGGTTTTATAAACTTAAATTTTACTATTTAGTTTTATAAGCTCTAATCAACTTCTCAAAAAAAGAGAAAAAATTGTATTAATTTAAAAATTAATGATAATAATACACCAATATTTATCACTCTTGTATTACAACGAAGGAATGAAATATGTATGTTCTAATTTTACAATTGAATATTTTACTTATCACTTTCCTTTCTTCCTCTCTTTCTACCTTTTTCTTGCATGAACGGGGAGACTTACCGACGACTTATCAAGAAATCTTCTCCATCTCATACTACTTTTCTTTTTTTTCATGAAGTCATCTCAATTCATTCATTCATTTGAATTTCCCTATCATCTCTACCTCTACCTGTTCATCGATCTATTAATCAAACAAAAAATAAATGAGAAATATCCAATACGTCCATTTCCGGTGTCTTTTAATCTTTCCTTGTTCTATTAATTTGTGTTAATTTGTCGATTAAATAAAAAAGGCAAGAATGAGAACGATAGAAAAATTTGAAAAATTTCTTCATTTCGATTATACAGCTTCGTTCTCTCTCTCCCTCTCTCTTTCTCCCTTACTGCTATTGTATCACAATATAAGGGCATCAAATTCAAAATTTTTAGAAAAGTGATGATTGGAGCAGTCAAGTTTGATAAAAGATAAACATTTAATAAAATTTCATATGCACTACAGGAATGATCCCAATAGGATTCGATATAAATTTTAGCATCAGTGGACAAGAAAGCAATCTGATACGATATTTATGTCATCAAATATTAGTCAAAAATTTCACTATGAATGTCCCTATGATACCCTTCCTTTTGATTATACAAATAATTGATTACAGTTAGGGATTAATATCGAATTGGTCAATCAATAGTAGTAATATGTGAATGGGCAGATTGGTAGTCATATGCTGATTTTACTTCACTGTACTACAATTCAAAGATTAGTAATTTTAATGTGCTTACTGATGCTGAAAGATGTCAGACTGCTTTCTAAATTGCTACTTTCATCACCTTTTTCATTACAAATTGTATTCATTGCTATTCATGATAAGTGATGATAATACAAACTGTTTTAGCTTTTACTGTTCATGAATAAAACAACAATGCCTATTGCTTTTCCAGAGATAAGTAAAAATCACACATGTATATGACGAACATACTTCCTTATCACCAGCTAGCAATAATGGATTAATCAAAATATTTTCTTCACATTCACTTTTATTGAAAATTCACAATCGCGAAAGATCAAAATGATAATATATGCTTGAGGAAGTGAATTTAAGGAGGAGGAAGAATTGAAAAGTAAGAATTGCGAAAAGAACTGAACTAAGCTTGAATTAATAACAAAGTGCTTTCATATAAAGCAAACAAAAAAAAAAAAAAACGATCAACATTTATCTCTTTAAAGGGTTAATCTTTTCAGTGGAACGAATCCTTCACAACACGGACTGCTAAGCTAATGAAAATGAAGTACTATCGTTCCACCACTTCCGAACAATGCTTCTCGATTGCCTTACGCAGATGATCTTTGTATGTGAAAATATCACCATCCCATCTCGTGATTGTTTGCTTATCACAAACCCATATCTCCTGAGCTACCTAAAAACAAAAAACAAACAATTACTTTAACTGATGAAATCATTATTTTATGTTAATAACAAGAAATATTAATGATTCTACCCAAGCAAATTGTATCTGAATTGATAATAAATAAGATAGAAATATACTCAGGAGACCATACCTGATGTACTAAACGAAAATCGTGCGAAACCAAAATCATTCCCCCTTGAAAACAGTTAATTGCTTCCGCTAAAGCATCAATACTTTCTAAATCTAAATGATTGGTAGGCTCATCAAGCAACAAAAGATGCGGTTGTTGCCATGCTAACCAAGCAAATGATACCCTACATCGTTGTCCATCTGATAGCTGCTTCATCGGACAAACCTTTAAAATTCACTTAATAATGCAGAGGAATAAAATTACTATTTGAGGGAAGACAAGACAATGTCTTACGACACAGATGCATCGGTAGACTTCAAGACATGGAATAACTAATTTATGAATATACCTGCTCTCTCCCAGTCAATCCATAACGCCCAATAATTTTCCTCATATCCTCTTTCTCCTTAACTTCTGGAAATGACATCATCAAATATTCCAAAGCAGATTTTTCCAGCGGTAATTCTTCATGCAAATGCTATAAATTAAACACAAATTTAAATGACTGCAATAAATCATTTAATATGAAGCAACAAAGTGAGACTGCTAGGAAAAAGCTAGCGCTCCGAAAAAGATAATATGGAAATGAAAATTTCATTAATATTCAATTAATAGAAATCTGAAACTCATCAAAAAATGGCTCTTGCTTATCTTATTGCTATTACTCAACAAACCTGGTGATAGCGTCCTATTTTGCAATGTGAATGACGTCTTATAAGGCCATTTGATGGCATTACATCGCCTGATATCAACTTTAATAATGTCGATTTTCCTGCTCCATTTGGACCGACTAGAGCGATACGAGTATCAAGATCTATTCCAAAATCGAGATCTTTGTAGATTAATGGCTGAAATATGAGTTACACATTGATTTATCGGTTATTTATCAAATCAAAAACCAAGAGCAGATGCATTCAGTCTGATATTTAAGCATTATTTTCAATTACTTTGTAAATTTGTAATTCAGTAAATTCATTCTTATTATCAAACATTTTTCAAAAAAAAAACACTGATCCTAGCTTTTTACATTTTGAATCCTAAAGCATAACTTTCCTGTTCCATTAAGATAAAGTACTTACAGTTTTTTCATTATATTGAAAAGATACATGTTGCACCATTATAACCGGAGGTGGAATTGTACCAGGATCAAAAAAGTAAAACTGTTTTACCTGAAAAATGAGTGAAGATAACTGTTTCCTTATTTGTAACAAAAAAATTTAAACTAGGAAATAAAAAACACTAGGAAATATAATTAGAACTAATGAGATAACCTTCTCGGTAACAACTTTTTCAGTTAATCCGACAGCTACCATCTTTGCCATCGTTTTCTCTTTGCTTTGTGCTTGCCGAGCAAGTTTGGCGCTGCCATGCCCAAACCTCGCAATGTATTCCTGCACAAAATTTTACAATGAAATCTTCAAATTATTTAAGTTGTCACTGAAAACTGATGAATTAAATCGAAAATAAATCAAAAAAAAAGAAGCTAACTTTCATGTGTTGCAATTGGTCTTGCTCCCACTTGTAACGCTTCATTTGATTTTCAAGCAGCTCGGTCCGGGTACGTACATATGTATCATAATTACCCTGGAAATATTTCACTATTCTTAAACTCTTGTTCCCACTAACAACCTATTACAGTGGAATAAATGATTAAATCATTGACACTATAACCCATCAAGAAAATAATATTCATGGTTTCCATATGTAGCTAGACAATTAAAAGATGCATAATAGAGCCCAAGTTCTCATAATTTTTCGCCCCTTTTCTTTTTCCATTCCTTCCTGTTCTCTCCTACATTTCAGATGTTTACTCCAAAATTTAAAAATTTTAAATTGTCTTAACTATCAAAACTCACTCCATAGTACTCTAGCCTCCTTTGGAACAAATGAATAATATTTGTGCAGACACCATTCATAAAATCCTGTGAGTGTGAAACGATTAGTAAAGTCCTTTTGTACCTTAAAAATGTATGACAATTATATTTCACTGACTGTCACGTGAGATTGTAATTTCGACATTTCACAGTATAAGTTATAAATAGTATATGTCGATAATGACTGCCAGAAAGAAATATCGGAAAATGTCAAATTCTATCTCACTGTTTTGTTAATTTATCAATATTTACCAATGATGAAAAATGTAGTAAAAATTCGACATACGCGGCAAGTTCTTTCTCAAGCCACACACAAGCTTCTAAATCAAGATGATTTGTCGGTTCGTCAAGCAGTAGCAATGATGGTTTCAGATACAATGCTCGTGCTAATGCAATTCGCATTCGCCAACCTCCTATAACAAAAAGTACAAGCCGACTACATCCTAAAATTAAAACATTATAGCACTATGATGAATAACAAAAAAAAAAGACCGAAAACTTATGCAAACCTGAGAAATCTTTGCATTTCTTAAGCATCATCTGTCTAGTAAAACCAAGACCATGTAATATTTCTGCAGCCTTTACTTCCGCTCTATCTGCATCCATTTCTTCCAGACGATCATAGATATCTAATAATTTTTCCTGACTTTCTGCAATACATATATATATTTTTTTAAACTATATATATTTCAACTAATGAAATCTTTCTGAACTGTAAAATACGGAAAGTTACGAACCATCATCCGATGAAGCCGCCAGTTCCTCAGCTTGCTTCTCGAGTGCTTTTCTCTGTTCATCAACATCACATACTACCTTTAATAAATCCTAGCTAAGTTGTCACATTTCTTTTGTTATAGATTTATGATCATAATTTATAATAACTTATTTAAGATGTACACACCTTTAGAGCACATTCATTACAAGCAGCCATTTCACGAGACACTAAGAACATATCCACGTGATCAGGAATTGGCATTTCTCGGCGAAATATTGCCTGCATTAAAGTAGACTTTCCTAAAATAAACAGAATGGAAATATACTGGCAAGTTATAACAACAATTTAAAAAAAATATAAGACCAACCACTTCCATTTAAACCAATAAGACCATAACGGCGTCCCATATTTAATTCAAGTTTTGTGTCCGTTACAATTTCTCGTCCGTGAAATGTTACAGTTAATCCTTCTATTTTGAGATCCATGGATCTAAATTTACATAATTTCTACAAATCTCATTAAAAAAACATATTAATTTTAACAAAAAAAGAGATATTAATTTTACAATAACGATACGTTACTCAACATTCATGCAGCCGCCTGAAAGGAAGCTTTGGAAAACCAATCTGACCGCACTACAGTTTATTTTATGCCTCTAAGCGGTTCCATAACAAATATCCATCTACTAGAATTGCTTCGAAATATTTTCATTTAAAAATTTTTTCTGAATACTGATGAAATCCCTTTTTTCTGGGAGAAAAAAAATTACAATGGATGAGAAGTTAACGCTCCTGCAACTGATCTTGCCTTTGCATTTTCCAATTCCATTTTTTCAAGCATCGCAGCAGCCACATCGATAACATCATCCATAGATGGAGTTACCTTAGAAGTATCTGCAATGTATAGTAATTTTTTAATTTAACTTAAAATCCTACAATCTTTAATGATCTACAGATAAACAGTGTGCATTATTTTCAGTATATATCACAAAAAGAGAGAATTCAGATCTGACCTTCCACACAGTTTTCATTTTCTACTGAACAAACGCGAAAGTTCCATCATACTAGAACTTGCACCTTGCTGTTAAATTTTTCACTGACAGTATTAGTAACAAGAAGGAATAAATAAGATTTAATGATTACCACCATTTTGCATATATGACCTTTGTTCTTGAGTAAGTGATCCAACACCTTCATTATTCTCCTGCGGATGTATTACCTGAAAGCCTGCGATAAATTACAACATAAAGATTATATGACAGCTACAACAATATTAACTTCTTTACTGTTATTTGACATCCGTCGAGAAATATCATGGACGTAATATAACCTTCATTTTCATTCAATAATAGCTCTTTTCTTGATCGCATTATACAAAATAGCTAAGCTAACTTTTCATTTCACTAAATTTTCAAAAGTGTACAGTACATTAAAACATTCATGTGGTATCTATATTAAATACAATATGCTGATATAATGTCTCATTTTTATATCAGAAACATTATAAATAACATGCGATCATTACACTGTGCTTCATCACTTTTACTTTATGTAAGTAAGATATACATCCTTTGCGCAAATTTTCTTCACACATATAAGATATAAAAATCTAATTTATTAATTATAATTTTAACGGAACGGAAAGGAAACATAAATGTACAATATTTGCGAACTTACTAATTTTTGATCACGGACTCTGGTACGATTCTTAGCTGCTTGTTTTTTTGCTGCATCACGTCGTTTTTTCGCATCCGAAGGCATCGATGATAGGATACGTTCACGTTTGCCCAAGTCTAAAATTCAAACATTCGCGTTTGTTTCGTATTTTTACATAATGTATTCATTGGTTTATATATGGAATATGAAATTTAAACTATATTTACGCTTTTTCAGTCTAAATTTCAGACATCAACTGAAATATATTCTCTTCGATGAAATATATTCTCTACGCGATTAAAAAATAATTGTTTTGTAATGATCTTCGCATATAAAAATTCATCCATGCGTACAAAAGAAGTCACTTAACTTTCCCCATTTTAATAACTTCAACCAAAACAAAAAGGAAGAAAGATTAGATTAATTAATTTTAAGTAAACCTATCACACAATACTATAATGAAAAAAAAAAAAAGAATTCCACATTTCCTTTTCAATTTTCACGAATAATAAATGCCATTCTCCGTACTCTTACTCTTTCATTTACTCATTTCATCAAGACCGATGTGCTTAGTATTCTATTCTTTTCTTTACCAGTGCCTTCTCATTTCCTCTATTCCGCCTCTTCATAAACACCTTTTTCTCTTCTCTCAGTCTTATATTATCACTGCCACTGTTAAAATTTATACCACTAGTAGTACTCTACAATGTGCTGTTATTACTGCCCCTGTTATAATTCACTACCACTGATGTACGAAATATAAAAATTCTAAATATCTTGTTTTCCTTTACTTTTTTTAAAAAAAAAAATAGTTCACAAAATTCTAGTGAATTTCAAATGAACTCTCATTATGTGCTGTTTTGCATTTTTAAGTGTTTACTTCATCGTCTTATCCTTTACCTTCTTCCCTACCAATTGTTATCAGTAGTTAACAAACAGCTGTTTATCAGCTGATCTGTACCAATGAGAAAGGATCACATGCTCATTGAGACGTTATCTCACGCTACATAGACTTACAGCTAACGTGTTCCTTCCTAATTCATTTGCGCAATTTCATAGCTTTTTCAGTATGCTATTGTTGAGGATGAATTTTCTTAGTATTTCGGATTAGTGTTTGCAGATAACATCTCATTTTGCTAATATGCTTTTGTTATTTCTTTTTCATCCTAAGATTTCAAATTATTAGCATTCTATAACGTCATAGAAACAGTATTAATACATAGTGAACAGTCACTGTTTCACAGTAAATAACTAAAATTGTTGATAATATTTCTTTATCACAATAAATATTACATATCCTATGATATATCAGATTGTGGGAGACAAATAAGATTCAGGAAGGGAAATAAGTTTCAGAATTGGAAAGATGACATCATCAACTTCTAAAATAGTTTAAAAATCAAATAGTCAGTGATTTTTTTCTTTGTTGGTTTCACATTTCTTTTTTATCTTAGTTATTTGGAAGGACATAGCGGAACAGTTAGTTACCCAAAATAAAAGTGAGGTTTAAAGTAAGATTAGAAGCAAAGCTAAGATAAGGAATAATTAAAAAGTAAAATTAAATTAAAACCTAACATTTGGGATAGCCCAAGACCGCACAATCCTACAAACGAATCTCCTCTATTCACATGTTCATCTAACTAGCTTCAATAGCAGCAATTGATTTCTACAGCGCTACTCTTTGGCAAGTATCCAGAAACTACCAAGATATTTCGCCTAAAAAGTGATTTGGTAGTGTGGATGCTGTCACTTGTCACTCTTCTCTCCTATTTAACAGTTGTGCAGTTTGAGTCTGTATTTGGTGCAGGCGTACGTGAGAGGTGCATGTAAAATTACGGTTCTGTATGAGGACTAAGTCTGAGCGAATTCGAAAATCGAAGTTATGTGAAGGCGAGTTAGGAATCTACGTAACAAACACTTTGTAAACGTATATGAAATATAGGGGAATTAATAAAAAGATGAGTAGACAAGAAATGGTCGTATGTCTTTGCTGAAAGGAAAAAAATAAAACATACTGCTTTATTAGATTTTATAGAAGGCGTTTCTTTTCCGCTTGGCCATTTCACTGACTCTCTTAACTCTTTACCTTTACTGTTTTCATGATGTTTTATAAAAACTCATATTTGTATTATAAAGATAATTTTTTCTTCTATTCATGAATCCCGGAGATTTAGTTGTTAAAACGAGAAAGTATTTTATTTTCCAAATAAGTTATCTGGACGCATTAACCGAAAGAGGTAAGTTATAGGATTACTACCGATATACGATACCTTACGTATTTAGTTATGTGAATCAATAAGTAACAAGAGACTGGACAAATTTCTTTTCACTGTTGTTGACTTATTATTAGTGCTTAGGAAGGTATCTCTGACCAATTTAACGTTATGAATTTTCACCAGTAATTCACATTCATCATTTTACAAAACGTTTACAGCTACTAATCCTATATATTTTCGATGTCATCCGCAACAGCCCAATCACAAGGTACCGGTAAATCACACCCCAATGACAAAAGCACATTTGATGTGAAAAAATTTGTGATTGATTTGGCATCTGGTGGCACAGCCGCTGCCGTTTCCAAAACTGCTGTTGCACCCATCGAACGTGTCAAGCTACTTCTTCAGGTATCATTATTATATGAATAAAACTATTCAGCAGCTACAGTTTTATATATGAAGATGCATTTTTCGGCTATTACTGAGCAGTTTATCACTTTGTTGCATGAATAAAATTTGTAATGACATGAGAAATTATGACCCGAAAATGTTCACATCTTTGGGAGGGTAATAAGGTGATGAACTAGCTTATGTCTGCATCTGGTTTATTTGGTCGTTAAATTCTATGTTAAATTCTGTCAAAAAAACTACTTTATGACTACATGGCCAATTACTTTTTCTAGAGCTATGGCAAATTACCTTTTCTCATATGCAGTTAGATGAAGTCATATATGAACATGAAGTACTGGAAGATCAAAAATAAATTATATAGGATATGTAAGCATCAAAATTTCAAGTTTCTTGAGGCGCATAGGAGGTTTGGCTTATTCTCAGCAATATCGTTATTTAAGCAAAAACTATTTGAAGTAATCTTAAGTTTTCAGTAAATTATCTTGGGATTACAACAAATTCACGTATCTTGAACAGTTATTCTCCCTCCTCTAAATTTAAAGAAATCTTTAGGATACACTAGTAAGCACACGTAGTTGTGAGATGTGTAGTTGCAAGTTGTTGGCGCAGTGAATAATAATTATTACCAATACTCGAACTTTTCTGTATCAAAGAAAGACAATGCAGTTTATTGATTTTCTAGGTACAACATGCATCCAAAACAATTGAAGCCGATAAACGTTATAAAGGTATTATCGATGTATTTAAACGTGTACCTGCTGAACAGGGTTTTGCATCATTTTGGCGTGGTAATTTGGCAAATGTGATACGGTACTTCCCTACACAAGCACTAAATTTTGCATTCAAAGATACTTATAAGAAGATTTTCGTCGCAGGATACGACAAGGATAAAGTAAGTATTACTTTATGTCTTCGTAAGATTTCGAGAAATTTATGCAAATAATTCAAGTCATTTGAAAAAACTGTTGATTCTGTATGGTGTTAAGTATCATGTTATTCCAGGATTTCTGGAAATTTTTTGGCGGTAATTTAATGAGTGGTGGTGCCGCAGGTGCTACATCTCTGTGTTTCGTGTATCCACTTGATTTTGCTCGTACTCGTCTTGCGGTTGATGTTGGCAAAGGTGCAACCCGCGAATTTAATGGGTTGATAGATTGTTTGGTAAAAGTCGTTAAAAGCGATGGTCCAGTTGGGCTATACCGAGGTTTTATGGTGTCGGTACAAGGCATCATTGTTTATCGTGCAGCTTACTTCGGTCTTTTTGATACAATCAAAATGATGGTTTCTACAGACAAAAAGAAACTTAATTTCTTCGTTGCTTGGATGATTGCCCAGGTTTGCTTGTTTGCTTGAAATTTGTTGCTCCGTTATCGAGAATGTGAATTTCTCAGTGATTTGCGGAGACGTGCTTTTGACGGAACCGAACCACATGCATGTCTACACATACAGTTAACGTACGGTTGTTGTAGGTCGTAACTGTTGGATCTGGAATTCTCTCATACCCGTGGGATACTGTGCGTCGACGAATGATGATGCAATCCGGTCGCAAAGAAATACTTTACACAAATACTTGGGATTGTGCAAAGAAAGTTGTTGCCAACGAAGGATTCACAGCACTTTACAAAGGTGCTCTTTCCAATGTCTTCCGAGGCACAGGTGGTGCACTTGTATTAGCTATTTACGATGAGATCCAAAAATATTTATAAACTGCCGGTGATAAGTCTAGGTATTTCGAATATACGGACGACATCTGGTTCTTTTTATCATATTCACCATATGATGGGATTCACTATCAGCTATAATTACATTCAAGCAGTGCTCCGTTTATCGTACATAATGTTTTTTACTCTTGTCATTTCTAATTACTTGTACTTCATTTCACGACTTAGGATTCGAAAACTGATCAAAATAGTGCATTGTGTGGGATGTGAGCAATTTAACATTATTTGTTCTTTAATTTCACTTCCCAGTAGGATACCTCATTATGTTCATTTATTCTCCAGCTATTTTTCTATATGTTGTTGCTAGGTTAGCCATATATGGCAGAGCTCAGACTCGTTTATTATGCGTTTCTCATAATTTTGATAAACATTGTAAGACAATAGTATAAGATCATATGCTATTGACGGAAAAAATATGCTCTAACCACAAGCTGTCTTTTTTCGCATCCTACATCTCCCCAAATGATTCTGGGAACAGAGTTTTTATTGAGAGCCGGAAACAAGTTTTAGGATTTGGTAACTAGTTTCATTCTTGAAAAGTAGTCCATTGATACATGAACTCCAACGATACACCGGAATGTTTGATTCGAAATGAAGTTTAAAGAATTCCTCGGATTGCATAAAATCACTATTTAAATCCCGCAATATAAATCTGTTATCAGTTTGAATAAAGTAAAAAAATTAAAAGAAGGAATGTTGAAGGGAGAGACCATTTATAATGGAAAGAAATTATGCCCGACTTACATATTAAAAAGTTCGGAAAACCCATAAGATGGACAAAATACACAACAACGAGATCATTAATGCATACGACTTGATTTAAATTATCTGAAAACAATTTTTAGTGTAAATCAGCCGTCAGTAATATCACTGAAATAGTCATGACGTAACGCTACTTCGGCATCGATACGACGAGATGGATTACAAATCAGGAGTCGCTAAAATAAACATGTCAACTGACGAGTGTATAAATTACCGGAAAAAAGAAGTAATTACTCCATTCGATTGTAAACATTTTGAAGACAAAAGGGACCGCATTGTACAAACAATGTAGAAGTTGTAATTTCCTACTGGAAACAAGAGTGGACAAACGGAAGGAAAAGTTGCAGTTGGGGACCTCATTCGCGTTGTATTCAGAACAATGGAAGTGCACGGAGCATTATAGACATACCTGAAGTAAGTCGCGACCGCGTGCGGGAAGATTAGGTACCACTTGTCCAATTGTGAGAGAGGGGTGATACAGAGGCATCGGCTGGAAGGAATAAGAGTTTTCAGAATTAAACTTCGGTAAGAACTGACAGTGGGAAAACAATGTATCTTGAACTTCGGATTTCCGCAACTTTTGAGAACAAAGTAATAAAGCTTAGATTTTAGAGCTCCGGAATTTTTAACAACCTTGAATTCAGGAAGCTGCGAAAGACCTGGCCATGTGGCATCCGTAGGAGTACCCAGCATTTTGAAAATCCTTTTTAGCTGGTCATCAACATCAGCTCCTGGGAAAAGCGGCCTTCCGGCATTTGAGATTTCTGGAAATTCCTAATTATAACATCTAAAAATAAAAACAACAAAGAAATGGGACCATTTTATATTCCGTGAATATGAGAGACCTACCAGCAAAAATACATCCAGCAGACCACATATCAATTGAAGTATTGTAAAGTTTTGCACCAAAGAGGACATCAGGAGGTCGATACCATAACGTAACAACCTTAACTAATACTTTCATAAAAGCTTCCCCATATTCAAAATGTTATTAAATTTGCTAATTAAAGCCAATGTCAATTATTAAATCGTTTTTTGAAATTCACAACACAGAAATAATTAAAAACAAACTTCGGCGCTATAACATCTCACAGGTATGCCAAATGCCCGTGCCAATCCAAAATCTGCCAATTTCAACTGCATATTAGTATTTATTAATAAATTCTGGGGTTTTAGATCACGATGAAGAACGTTGTGTGAATGACAGAAGGCTAATCCACATAACAACTGCTGCATAAGTGACTTCACTATCTGAAAATTCAAATATACAGGGAAACTTTTTAGATTATGAAGTGCAATAACGTAGTTTAGAATTTAAACTTAAACTAATAATGTTAAACAAACACTTTTAAAGTCTTGGAGTACTGTTAATTTCCTTAAATCTTATAACGTAAATCAGAATATGATTAAAGAACAAGTGTGAGGTAGTTAGGAGTATTTCCGATGCAACATATCTTAAAAGGTTGTCGTTAAATTTAAATAAGCAATACAGCTTCAAACTAAGACCTTGGACAAAATATGATTATATGAATTTAAATAATTTAAAATTACACTATAAAGTAATGAACATTACCTGTTGATCAATTTCACCACTGCACGAATCGAAATATTTTTTTAAATCCTGATCACAATATTCAAAAACTAACGTAAGCTTACGCTCACTATGCACTACATCGTATAAGCGAACGATATTTTGATGTTTGAGCTCTTTTAATAAACATATTTCACGTAGTGCCGAACTTGGAACACCCTAAAAAACTTTGTACATACATGAACACTTTATTCAGTATTGTAATACTTTAAGTGAATAAAATATTTATAAATTTACCCACGGTCTAAACGTCTAATTAAATTCCGAATACCGCTGATTAACTATGTGTAAATATCATCGAGATACAAAAATAAAAATCACTGATTTGATTTGAAACAATACTGATCTGGTGATTTCAGCAAGGTTAGCTAGAAAAAATAACAAGGAAGCAAACCTCGTCGTCATCGTCTAAACGTACACATTTCATTGCTACAATCTCTTGAGTGTCACAATTCTTAGCCTTAAAAACAGTTCCATATGTACCTAAAAGATTAGAATGACGAATTTCATGTAGTCCTAACAGACTGCAACATTTCTGAAAATTGTGACAATATGCCAGTCTTGAAATTTTAGAAATTGCGGAAGAACAACAAAAACTTTAAATTTTGACTTAAAATAGTTAGGTTGGAAAGTAATAGATGGTTTCGTGAAGCAGTAAATTCAAAAATGATATTTAAACAATTCGGAATATTTATAAAAAATTCCTAGATTTTGTCGTGTTAAAATTTAGCATTTGCCTCACTAATTAGCAAACGGAATAACTTATTGTTTGAATAATTTTTAAAATAAAATTGAATCCCGGATTTTATCTTCAAACAGAAAGACAGTGAAAATTTTACTGTTCGTTATAAAAGAAATAAATGAAACAGAGAAAAGGAAATAAATAATACAAACCCTCTCCTATTTTCTCTAACTTCTCGTAATTTTTCATTTCAGTTCAACACGTGCTCTATCAATTTATCACGTTGATGCTTTACGTAGGTATGCTTTTTGATTACTTCTTACGTCTGCACGTATCCTTTTCTTTACTTTGTGATATAATTCAACTTTTGTTGACTGTCCATCACACTTTCTGCTAGTTCCACTTGATATATCTCAAAATATATCTGAAATTTATTGTAGAAGTCAAAAAGCTCGCATAGAATTAATCGACTAATCAACTGAACTCCACTGAGGAAAATCCCAAACCTCCCAATTCAATTGATGCTCAAACCTTAAAACAGCACACATAGGATGAAAAGTTTTCAGAATGGTGTCTCACAGGCAGCCTCATATCCGTATAACTCTTGCGTGTTTCGGGTGTTCGCGGTATCGCGATACCAGAAGGCGGGTCTGTATGTTTATGTTTTTTATTGATGTTTGTTTTTAAAGAAATATTTGTGTAAAACTAACGGATTTTTTTGTGAATCACGGACGGAAATTTACCTTAGAATAGATTGAACGGGTTGTAGCTTCTGGAAACGTATAATACTTAGAAAAACTGTATGGCATCGAATAAAGATCAATGTGATGGTTATTTGCATTGTGAATTGTGAAATGTCACAGACGATCAAGCATTTAGAACGGATTTATGATATGATATATCAGAAATAATTAGTACAAATGTTACTGAAAGGAATCATCATGGAGGTATGTTTTACGCAGACTTAAAAACATTACCTCGAAATACTTCGAAGCCATCTTATTTCCTTTATCATATGCTCTAAACATTTTATGTGTAATCTGCAGAATACTTTTTTAAACAGATATATCAGATCTGGAAAATGTTGCTAATGTTAAATTATTTGAATTGTTTGGAGTTACATGCAGTATATCGGCAATGTCATAGTTAGTTGTAATAATATTTATTCTAAATATTCACGGGCAATTTTCATCAATATCTTTTCTGGGGCTAGCTGAAATGTCGATCAGAAATTGCCGGACGTTTCCGGCTCCTCATAATTTTCATTATTGTGTGGATGATAGCAGTAGCATTGTATGTATCCGAATTACTTCTGCTGCAGTCATTCTTCGTGACACAACTGCAGGTGCACGTTTCGTCATTCCACATCTTATTTGGACCTTAAGTGTAACGTTTTTTAAACTTTTGAACTGAGGTCTACAATTTTTTCTTTTTGCTTATTTCTATGCAAAAAAAAAAAAAAAAGAATGATTATGGAAAGTTAAAGGAAACAAAGAAGGTAATAAAACTTTTCTTTCATCTTGGGGTGGAGACCTCAAAATCCAGTTAAAACGAAAAATGGAATCCCATTTACAGAATAGGATTTGAAAGTGATTGTCTATTCGATTCTGATTGAAATTTGTCTATAGATTAAAAAAAGGTCGTTTATGAAAGTTGATTTATCTGCTTGGAAGATATGTATTTGATTACCATTGTAAATCCAAATTTATCATTTCATTGGAAAAGGTTATTGAAATTTTTTTTTCGTATAAAATAAATTGGAGTCATTGAAGTTAAAATAATACTAAAAAAAAGCAAAAAAAATGAAAATTGAAGCCTATTGGGACAAAAAATTAAATTTCAAGATAATTTAGCTATCTAACTGCATATCGACCATTGAAATGAATTAGAATTCTAACTGCAGCACCGACCACTGAAATGAATTAAAATTCATCCTTCACTTGTAATTTTTTGTAATGAAAAATGTATTTTAAATCCAATTTTTTCTAAACATTAGAAACCTTGACAATTTTTTTTCTCTTCTGGATTTCTGCATTCACATTTACAGTCCGGACCAACAATTTTCTTTTGCGGGCACTGAATAGCTGCGCCAAATCGAGTGCATATTCGGCAACTACAAGCAGTATGTTGTTCGACCGTTATATTTCGCGTTTGATTGATTACAAATAGATTATTACCTGCATACAGCATTTCAATAATCTGCAATAAATTATCACATACTTTTATCTGTAAACGAAAAATTGACTACTAATCCACACCAAATTTGCATGTTTTTCAGCAGAAATGATAATATTCATACAATTCCTTTTTGTTTTCGTTAATATTATCTAATCGACTTTTTTTGTTAATATTGATGATACATTTTTATAATCAATCAGTAGGCCATAGATAATTGCGAAAGCATAAATTATTCCATCAGTGAATAACGATCATAAATTCATAATAGTTAATTGGGATGAATAAACGGTCAAATATATGCTAAGCTATCAAGTATTTTAGTTATCAAATTGAAGGCCGATGTTAAGAATAGCGTGAAATCATGTTAAAAATACATCAGTATTGTCTATTAACATAAAGAAGTTCGCTCATAGTGATATTACTGTATATTTTTATATATGAAACATAATCATGCATTAATAATTGAGAAAAATGAAAAGCGAAAGAATGAGGGAGCCTATTATATGAGCCATCAATTTTTTGTTCCTTTTATTCGATTTGTTTCATTTGTTTATCACTTAATTCGGTTACAAATTAATGGTTACAAACAATTAATGGTGGCTATTTTGAGCGTATTTGGAATTTGCGTTAGGTTAGTGCTACTATTATTTACATTGCTTCTTACTGGTCGATAAAGATAGCTTTACTTGCAACAGTATTTTAACGATAGGTAAAAGAAAATTTTTTTGACAATTTAAAATTTTTAATGATGTAGTAATTAATTTAGATCAAGAAATTTCGAATAAATGAAAAATCTCACTACATTTATTGGAATGGAATGGAATAAAAGGAGGAAAGAAAAGAAAAAAATAAAAATGGAACTATATATTTTAGAAATATTACCGGTTGTTGAATATATTCAGTACTGGTTGGATGGCAATGTTCGGTAAATTCACAACACGATCCAATACATTGTGTTATTTCATAGCATTTCGGAAATATCAATAATCCAGGATCAGGATTTTCCGGTAATATAGGAATACAAGCTTTTTGCAACTCACATGTATCTTCACCTTGTCGAATTGTGCGTAGTATCGCCAAGCTGCTCACTGTATTATCTAATTTACAGATTTTATTTTGCTGCAATAACTGCACTATTACGATCGTCCTTGTGAATTATTGTGAAAGTAAAGTTAAATCAAAAATTGAATGATTTAATAAATTTATATCAAATCATTTTTTTTTTCCTTTTTGTCTTTAATATTATCAGATCCCTATTATTTACTGTTAAAATTTTGTATACTCCTTAATTTTAGTGTAAAAATACTAGTTATAGCTTATCAAACATATTACGATTTAAAAATATAAAAAAAAAAAAGTGTATGAAAAAAAGCCTTCATAAAAATTGGAATTAAATGTAGTACAAAAAACGTTTCGCAGGCATTTCAACGCAGTAATGGTTGTATTATCATTAGCGATATTATGAGAAATCGTTTATTTTACTTTTGTTAATGTTTCCAAGTTATTCCTTTGGTATCACTACTGAACATTAATTCACTTATGTTCAGTTGTAGAATTTGAGAAGTAGTAGATGGATTTCATAAAACTTCTGATCTACTAAAATAACTGTTGATAGTAGTGGTAAGAGCTAATATCGATACTTTTAGCAGCACAATTTTATTTTGAAAATTCTTTTTTTTTTTCCTTAATTGAAGAATATAATATCAGAAGCATTTAATCTTGATCAATGTACTTTAAATTTATGATAATGTAAAGAGAATTCGTCATCTTTATTTTTTTATAATCTCACTTCTGAGTTTGGTAATAACTTAAGAGTCGATATTATTTATTTGTGTTGTGTATCATTATTATTATTATTATTATTATTGTTTATTAACTATTATTACTATTAATTAGTTTTTAATTATTACTGATACAATATAGTCAAATAAATGTACGTAAATGAAATCCAAATAATAATGACAATAATATCATGTTCTTTTTTTTGTTTTTTATAAAATTCTTGGATACTAGATTTTTTTTGTTCCTCAATTTTTTTTTTTCAGAATGCAGTAGAAAAGAGTATGAAATATGCAAATGAACAAACCATCGGCAGTTTGTTGAGAATTGGATTTTCTTGATAGATCAAGTCCGCGAAATCCAAGGAACTCAGCATTCTGCGTGCGGTTCATGTAAGGCCCTATTTCAGTAGCTTGTAATTCCTTGTGATGCTTCAACATTGATTTGCCCCCATTTCCAAGTAAATGTGGTGCAAACGAAAGTTGTATGACGGGTAGCAGTTCACTGAATGTACGCGCTTGGCTTACCTTTTCACGTATCTCATCAGGTATAGTTTTTTGCGCTAACGAATATTCATCCAGCAATATTAGTAGTAATATCGGTAGTATCAGGGTAAACAGTGACATAATCTGCAGCATACAAATTTTAAATTGTTTTTTAAATCTAGTTTTACTTTTTTTATTTAATATTTTTAAGATGAATACTTAGGTTTTCCATGTAGTCTCAACATATATCAATTTACATTTTCAAAAACATTTCTAGTTTATGGGTGAAAATCCAGTTTAGATTTTATATAATTAGAATTTAACAGACAATTATAATCTTAATCATTAGTTATAGTTATTCAGCAAATTTGAGGTAAGGATTTTTCTTTTTCAACTAGTATTAAGGCATATCCTTTAGGTATCTGCTAAATGGAATTTGTTGAAATTAAAAAAAAAAAGTGAAATTTGGTAAGATTTCTAGTTTACGATGAGAAAAAGAACTGGATTTAATGAAAACTATAATATATGAAAGAAGTGAAGTCTCCAAGTAGTTCGAGGATGGATATAAAGATATTAGTTTAAGCAACTGTGTTTCGAGCATTTGATCATTTGTTAAATGTTATATCATTAATTTTCTTCTTTTATAATGTTATCGAACATTTTATTTTTCCCTTTTCAATTTCTACCATTGATTTGACATAATTTTCAAGAAGAAGAATGAAAATTGTTCCAGTTAAAATTTTTATGGATAGTTTTTTTTTGTAAATGAAAAGAAGCTCACAGCTGAGGTAAGTTATTGATTTCGAAAAAATGAATTCAAATAATTGATCACTTTTCTGAGGATGGATGTGTGATGGGCAAAAGATGGAAGGTTAAGTTTAAAATGACATTAAACTTCACTGAAATATGATAATACAACAGCGCTATAGTATAATAATATCTGTAAAATGCATTGTATATTGGACTTTTTAATGTTAAGCAGCATTGTGATGATTCATCAATGCTAGTTCTTTTTTGATTATATAATGGCATCCTCTCGTAAAATTCATTCATTTTCAGGAATTGGTTTTACAACAGAGATCTGAACTTTGATCTTTCTTTGCAAGAATGTCCCTTTGAAGTTGCTGCGAGGTTTTCTTTAATTTTCAAATTTGCTAAATTTAATAATCTCAGGTTTTGAAACTTAACCTCAGGTTAGGTTGATTGGTTTAATTATCTCTATTGACAACATACTTTTCTACTAGCTTATAATTAATTTGCTTACATTTTTATGCTTATAGTACAAAACATTATATTGAATGATGAATTTTTAAGATGATTTGTTAAGTTTTTTTATTTATTTTTGAGTCGTTGTAATAGTATATTTTGACCTGGTAAATTAGCTTAATGCTTGAGTCATACGAGATATTGTTTAATGTAAGCCATCTTCAGAAGCCCCAGTCCACGATACATTCATTTCTAATCATGATCAAATGTTTTCAGGTCTTATGGTCATTTCAATAAGTTATGATTCTCCTTCTTCTTCCTGCTCTGGATTCTCTTTACTAGTTTGTTTTTGTTATTTACTAAGGTATTGCCACTTCAATCATTAGAATCGAATTATATCATTGGAAAAAACTATAAAAAGCGAGGGAAAAATATTGAATAATTAGTTTAACAATAACAGTTTAATGTTCGAAAAATAGGAATTATTGTTGGATTAATTATTCGACACAAATTGGAAAGTTTTTTTTTTTTTTTAGTTTCTTATCTCATTCTGTAGTAATATTATTTGAAAATACGTTAACTTGAATGGATTTTGCAATTTTAATTTCATTTGGTCTTTTTTAAAACAAACTAGTAGATCTATTGCTTAGAAAGAAAGTCACAATGATACGGTTGAATGAATTTTGACAAATGTGGTGTATTGTAGTTGAAGGGTGCTAGTGCTGATTGATTTGTCCTCTTTTCGTTTCCATTATATATCTGTAGAAGGTGTGCTGCTGCATCATTCACACATTTTTTATTTCTCATTTGTAAGTTTGTTGTCAAACAAAATTTTTATTTATTGCAAGCAAATCATCTGAAATGGTTGCAAATTACATGTGAAAGCTGAAATAAAAAAGCATGAGGTATGGTATCATTTCAAACAAATTGTACATACCTCAGCAGATTACAATATTTCTTGTTTTTTCAGTTTATAATATTTCTTCTTCTTTGAAACATTTTCTATGAATATGTTTTTTTGAATCTTTTAAACCCTCTTTTAATATGATGAAAAAATAACTTCTTTGAATATTTTAAGAGTTTGCTTCATTATTCGCTGCCTTGCGCTACATCGAATGACTGTGGTCTTTAAAATTGTGTACTTGCTTGCTTTCTTATTCGTCTATTTACACATTTAATTGCACAATTTAAATTCCAGTGAAACTATAAAATAACTTGCCAAATTGTTTCATTTATGGATGAAAACAGATGCATTTCATTCAATTGACATGATAATATTTAGTGTCATTGAAACATTTTTGATAGGATGCCACCAAAATGTCTATAAATGTGTATGACCCGTAACAAAAACAAGTAGTAATGATTGTTGATTGGTAGTGGTGGCGGTGTTAAGAAATGCGCACAGTAAGTGGGAGAGTGTTGATATGTTGTCCCAATCTGGTATATCACTTTCCATGCCCTCATCCTCTTAGTCACATGTTCGCATTATTCGTAAATCATAAGGAACAATAACATTTAATTGGGTGGGTATCGCGACGGAAAGATGGAGAATTTGGGAATGTAGATGAATTGAGCTGGCAGTTATTGTGCAGAGGACAGATTCGGGGAAAGAAAAAGTGAAGAGATGAAAAGGAAGAGGTTGGGAAATATATATATTGATGTTGTTATATAACATGTGGTAACGTTTGAAGTATTGTAAATAATGTCTGGTTAGTAAATAAGGAATAAAATTTAATAGGGAAGATTAGACAGAGATGATAAAGCTGAGATATTTCCAGGAAAGAGAGAGCGAGAGAAGCGTGTTTAATAAGTGTTTACATGTGTACTTAATAAATATGTACATATGTGATGTAGTGGCATTTGGCATGAAATGAAGTGAGAGGAGGAGAGGTAGATGACTGAGTGAGATGTATGATCTAGGATTAATGAAGTGGAGGTAGAAAGGGGTGGCAAATAAATGATGTAGAGGTACTGTAAAGGATGTGAGTAGATGACCATGATGTGAAGCAAGATATTTTGTTTATGATGAGAAATGATTATTACAAAAGCTGTATAAAATGAATTAGTTATTTTGAAATGATTGGTAATTTTTTGTGGTGAATTACCAAGGTAATATGACTTATTTTAGAGAAAAATTGTAAAAATGAGAAAATTTGAAAGAAAACTTTTCCCTTCCTTATTGTCTTTCCCCTCTTTAGCTGGGTTCAGTTGGAATTATTTATCAGTTTATCATTATATGAAGCAAAAATAATAGTGGACTGAATACAACAGAAATAACATCAAAAAGATGGAGTAGTTTTATTTTTTTGAACAGAACTTAAGTTATAATACCGGATTTCTTTCAGGAATGGTTTTATTAAATAACTTAAGGATGATGGTTAGCAGTGAGAGCTCAGAAAAATGAAACCAAATGTTAACGAACCTTATAAATATTTTTCATCAAAGTTTAATCAATATGAATGGAGATATTAAAGATAAGTTGAATGAATACATTTGAATTACAATTCTCATTCACACAAGATAATTTTTACATTAGCTTTTCATTTTATGTTAGTGATCATCTCAGGGTGATCTCTTCCTACTAACCATCAATCTTAAGTTGTTATTTAAGAAACCATTCTTTAAGTTTTGTTTTAAGAAAATAAAATTACTTTTTTGACGTTAATTCCATCGTATCAGTCATTCAGATACTTGTTTCTCAATATCATTAGTAAATATTAGTTATGTTTCTGTTATCTATTTTATTTCAGGAATAAAAGATGATTTATCGGATGACTTTTTTCTCTGTTCATAGGACAATTCGTGCCTCTTGTTTAATTGAGTGATTGTTATTATTTATATTAAAATATGTATTTTTTAAAGTCTTATCTTTATTATATTTGAAACTTTACATTAGTTACTTTGCATCAAGAATGTGCCTTACGAATTATTAAACTTGATAGCCATTTACACTAGAGGAGCTGACCTTCACTTATTTGAATTCAAGTCTGCATATACATAAAATTAAGAAGAAATGATGTGCTGCGCTAAATACCCAAGTGAACAGCTCAGTGTTTCATTGACAATCCGACTATTTCATACGTTTTTCCTTTTTTTATGTATTTGTAGTTTTACTCTGATATTTAACGAGGTACCTATTCGTTGTATCGCTAGTCGTTACCCTTTGTACGATTATTCTTTTTTGTCTTTTGTTGATATATATACTTAATTAGCTGATACGCATTTGCAGGTATTAAATGACTTCAAAAGGAAAGGAAATTTATAACACGATAAAACGTTCCCTTGGCTCTCAGTCATTTGGCATTGCTGGTTCATCGAATCATACGAACGGAGTTCGATATTCTGGTGGTACTTCATCTAAATGGATACATCCACCTGGTTTGTTTATTAGTTTGTACTATACCGCTGAAGACTTCCCGGAATTACTTGTCATTCAAATCTTTCTCATTTGAAAATGTTCCGGAAGATGTTCTACTATTGCAGATGTATTATTAAATGGTCGTGTCGAGTATTCCGTGAAAATGCTTGGTTTTGCGGAAGTATCGGAACCGAAGGGAACACATGTGATTCGGGATGCTATTCATGCGATACGATTTCAGTTGCAAGTAATAATTCTTTTCGTAAACCCTCAGTTCTTTTTTGATCTTCTATTTTCACTACTTGCTTAAGAACTCTTCTTTCGGTGTTATAGTTTGGATTTTAGAAAAAATACCGAAGAGTATTTTCATCAGGTCAAGGAAAAAAAATATGATCAAGACTTATGCTGATAAGAATGGATTTTACTGTTTCCACGTCCATCTTAATGCTTCTTAATATTTTCAAATAATCTAGATAAGTCGAGGAGTTACGGGACATTCGGGAGCAAAACTTAAGAAGGTGGACTTGCAAATCAATGTGGATGGTTTAACAGTTATCGAAACAAAGACAAAAATGATTTTATTCAAGTATCCCCTCCACCGAATTTCATTTTGTGCCGATGACAAGCAGGTTTTTTTTATATCATCTTTTTTAATCTTATCTGCTGATGTTAATTTTTACATAAATCGTTTTGCTTCAAAAAAATAGCTTCTATGAAATAACATTTCTTAATTTAACTACTAATTGAAAATTGATTGGTGTTAGCATTTGATATTATTATTTGCATGACATTTCGCTGTGGTAGACAATGCATTTTGTATTTTTCTTTTGTACGAAACGGAAATTAATGTCCATATTGCAGGACAAGAGGGTTTTTTCATTTATTGCCAAGGCTGAATCTTCTACTAGACATGATTGTTTCGTCTTTTTAAGTGAGAAATTAGCAGAGCAGATAACTCTCACCGTCGGCGAAGCTTTCGATCTTGCATATCAGGTGAAATTATTTAATGATTTTGGTTGGGCTTTAAATAATACAGTGATGTGGCAATTTATTTAAAAAATACTGAATTTTATAGTTTATATTCGTATACTATGATGTTAAATGCTCCGCAGGATTTTGGTAGCAATTATGGACAAACAAGTCATAAATTTTGAAATGCTTAATCGGCATTATAAAGTCCAACACTTTTCGTTTATTTTTTTACGCTTCCTTTCAGAAATTTCTGGAAAGAAATGGTCGAGACTTGGAAAATAAAAAACAGTTGATTATGCTAAGAAAACGAATAGCAGAACTGGAGCAGGAAAATAATGAACTTAAAGAGAAGCTTTATACGCAGCAGAGCCAGAAGGTTTCTTGTACTTCATCTTCGGTAGACGTTTCATCAGTATCCTAGGAGAATTATGTCAGAACAGAAATTCACTCGGTTTTCAAAAAAAAGTTTTGTTCCAAATCTTTTCTTGAAATTTGTTATAAATTTCTTCTTTTACTTAACTGAATTAGTTGTTAGGAGGATTCTGTACCACCTCTACCAACTTCTCCGATGCCTCGTGAGCCACCTCCGGGAATCACGCCAAATTTAATGAACGACATAATACCCGCAATTGTTCCGCCGCCGGCTATTCCGCGGAGACATCACGCAAATGTTATGAATACAAATGATCCCACCACAAACGCTATGAATACAAGCGACCCCACCGTAAATTTCCCACAAGTTTGATTTGAAAAAATTTTTTTCTAATTTTAAAATAATTTAAATTTTTTTTGAATCTTAAAGTTTCGTTTAGTTTTTTTTTTTTTTTTTTTAATTTTGTAGTTTTAAAATTTCGTTTCTAAACTCTAGTTAGACAAATCGTTTGACACTATGAGCCTGTTTGGTTTAGAATATTATCAAGTTGCTATATCCGTCGTAACCAAACTACATCAGCAAGACTGTATCTTAGTAAAAGCTTTGGGCCTTTTGTTCTTGCGTTTTACAACAATATTTATTAGTATTTATCAATAATTATTTAGATAGTAGAATCCGTTGAAAGAAAACTGATATCCTATTAGTGTGGGGTTCGTTTCAATCCTATTTTTTTCTGACGTAATCACAATAAGGATGTATTATCATAATCAACAAAACAGTTGAAATTGAACCAATCAGTTTCGGAATAGATTGTTGGGTAATACATCCTAATTGTTGTAGAAAATGGTTGTGAATAGGAATTTTATCTTATAAATAAACAATTTTATTTCATGAAGACACTACTGAGTAATGGGCAATTTTTAATTATTTATCTTATTAGAAGTTATTTGTTTTGGCATTTTAAATCATTACTTCCAAATGATGTTCTGCTGCAGCAGAATGTATTTTTACAGCAAGTACATCAATTTTACAAAATCTTAACGCGAAATTTTAAGATCAGCACACTCGAGTTCTGAAACAAAAATAGGCCGTAGGTTTTGCAATTTGTAATTTCATTCATCATGTAAAGTGATTTAAAAAGTTTAGGTCGGAAAACGTTTCGAAAATTTACAATTGGACAAAATGGAAGATTTATTCGATGACGAATTTGATCCACGGGCAGATGAAAGAAAAAAACCAGGAGTAGGAGTGAAAAAAGAAAAAGATAAATTTGGCCTTGATCCCTTTGGGAATGATTTCATGAACGATGTCCTTGTATGTTTTTTTCATGTTTGCTTTATTTTTCGATCTAGTAATATTGTATGGATGTTTGATTTGTTAAGATATAACAAAAACCTTCAGTCTTTCTATTTTTTTTCTTCCTCCAATTCTCAGTTTCTCGAAGGAGAATTACGTGAAATACGTACATGTCTAGTGGTTTTACTTTTGTTTTATATATATATTCCAATAAGTCTGTTTTCTTTCATCAGAATCTGGAACGAAAACCTGTTTCCGATGTACCATCTACTTCAGAACATGAACCAACGCCGGAACAATTCGATGAAATGTTATCAATAGTAAGGGTTTTGAATCTTTTTTGAAAGTAAAAGGGAAATTAACTTTTTTCACCATTTTGTTAGTGATGGCAGGTGGTGGAAGCGCTGTTATAATCTTGAAATTATGGTGATTACATTTTTCTTGAAAATTAAAGAAAAGAAGCTTAAGAATGATGAGTTTAGGAAAGATTGTTTTGGCCTTTGCAAGTTTTGCTTGTAACGTGTTTTCCATTTTGCAATAAATAGTCTGAAATCTCCAAAGTTTTTCTGAAAATATTAGGCTATATTCTTAGTTTAACATCTGAGAAGAATGGCTTATTGCTGATTACTTATTTTGTTTTTTTAGGTAGACAAACGATTAACAGAGCTACGAGATGGATTTGCTTCAGGAATTTTAGCAATGGGTGATACGGGTGATGCAGCACGTGATCTGCACAATATTTATAGTGTACCAGTTCAGTCTCCAGAAACAAATATCGGTGAAAAGAATCAAGTAACAGCTAAGCAAAATGGTCATACTTGATCAGATTTCAAACAGTCTTTACCCGGCTGAATTATATCATGCAGATTGTATCATAACGCTTTGCTTTGCCCAGATAGTTGATAAAATATTATCGAATATTTGAAGGAAGAGAGATAATTGAAGATATCGGTCATACAGTAGGAGATCTCGCTCAAACAGTAAGCAAATAGTTAACTCTGGAAAAAAGTACTGACAAGAAAAGTGCTGCATATTTCAATAATTTCGTAGAATGGTAAGAAAACACAACCTCATGTAACTTTGAAAGTTATCATTTTTTCTTATTTAGTGTTTGGTTTTATGATATATTCTGTGGTCGTTAAACATGTACCTGTAATGTGATTTGAATGAATTCGAAGAACTTAGTTCGAAATTGTATAATTTAAAGTTGAAATTTGAAATTATAATTCTTGAAGTTGTATTCTGATTGTAAACAAATGCAATGTTAGCAATTGTACCATTAATTCTCTTGCTCAAGCAGTCACAAATGTTTCACTAATTTAGTGCAACACATTTTGTTATTGCGATAGCACCACCATCACTACCCATAGATAAGAGGTATAAATGTATTTTCTCTGAGAACTTAAATATTTTTTCATAATTGTTTTTGCCTTCTTAACACTTCCAGGAATTTATCACTTATAGGAAATATATGATAAGAACAGACAGGTTTTGCCTGTTTATCCGTTCTTTTTCTTTATGAGTTTATGATAGATTTCAGACGCATAATATTTGTATGATATCATTAGATGAAATATAATCCTATTATATATTATTTCTGTGGTGCACATTTCTACCGATTTCTATTCAAAAAGAGGTAACTGCAAATGTATGAAAAGGCGAAAAGTCATGACCACTCTTTCATGTACACACAATGGGATCGTAATTGAACTTTAGGGATGGTAGTTCTATCCTTTCCTTGTGTTGGGTAAGAATCCAAAGGAAGGGAAAATCGTTAAGGTTACTGTTGTGATGCTTTTAAGAGGATTTTAAGTTCAGGGGAACAATTCATGAGGACAATGAATTTGATGACTATGAGACACGAAGTTCAACTGATATTGTGAGGTTTTCCCGGTAGTGATGTATGTCTGTATGCAAGATAAGAATTACCAACACCGCAACGGTCCCAAGAAATTGCACCTGTTTCAAAGAGTCAAACCTCGGGAGTGTACATTGAGCATTCCTACTAATAGTGCAACTATTTCAACCGGTGAGATAATTTTTTCATAACGTTCTCCGTCCTATAATTTAGTTTTATTTTTCCCGGCTTTTTTCTCACCCTTCTCTAGCAGAGAGGAAGAAAAGTGGTAGGAAGAGTTGTTGAGGAGTGGATGAGAAAGATAGTGGCAAATTAGATGTCGTGAGGAAGAGAAGAAAAATAGTGAGTGGAAAACATGAGAGAGTGGTGCAAAAACTATGACAGAGTACAAATCTCTGTTAGTGATTTGGAGCGAAAAGAAAAAGAGGAAAAGTGGATGAAGAACGAGAATGATGAATTCTCTAATTTGTTGTTGTTTAGTAATCTTGTACAGTAAGTGATAGTTACTGTTACTTGTGTAAATGTCATCTGCAGTTTGTTTATTTTGTTTACATTGACTAATTTACATATTTATTTGTTTATTAACATTCATATGTGCACATACGTTATTTTGTTTTTTTTGCGTTTATCTATTTACTTATATTATTTGTTTACTTGTCAATTTTTTTTACTTCTTTCAAAGTTGTAGTACTGTGATTCAGTCATTGTTATGCAGGATAATAATTAAACAGAACATGATTAATCATAACTCAGTCTAAATGTTAGTTAAATTTTCCTCTCATTTTCTTGTTAATGATAGTTAGTGATAATTATGGGATCTTACGAATTACTTGTTTTTTTTTTTTTTTTTTTTCTCATGTCTTTTTCATCACTGATTGTTTTCTTCAACTGTTTGTTTTTTTTTTTTGTTTTCTATTTCTAAAGTTACCCAAAGTAATTATACGTGTTTTTTTTATTTTATTTTATTTTTTTGTTTTCGAAGTACTTTAGAACGTTGAGAATCAAACTGTTCTTTTTCAGATTTAAATTAAGGATTTTTTTACCAAAAGATCCTTAATTCAAGTTTGAAAAAGTTTGATATTATCATTACTTTGCAGGCATTAAAAGGATGGGATTATTTAACTTCATGTAATGCATGTTTTGTTAATTTTTCTCAGTGTTTCGCTGATAAGTTTTCAATTTTTTAAATTTCAGTATGACAGAACTGGAATACAACAATATCTATCAGGAATATATGGGCTTAATGGTAATCATTTTTTAATATAATTTATCGGATAGTTTATTGTTGAAGATGTACACGAGCATAGGTATGGGATATGTATTATATAAATGGAGCAAACATGCGAACAGTAAGTAGTACATGTGGACAAAGGAAGTTTGAAAATGTCATTTGCATTTATATAAAGTTGAATTCACTTCATCGTTGAAGATCCGAGGAATTAAAATTTTGATCATTTTGTGAGATTTGTTAGCCTTTTTGTTCAATAACTTTTTGTAGCATCAAGGACGCATAAAACTGAGCGATTCGCAAATAAACTTTAAAAATATCAGAAATAACCGACTACAAGCCATTGATTCATCAGAAATCGAAAAGATAGATTGGATGCGAGTTGGAAATAAGCCTGGCTTACGAATATGCATGTCTTCAGGAATTCGTCATCGTTTCGGTGGATTCGCTGAAAAGGTTTTAGCAAGTTTAATCTTTATATGGCGAAAATGTTCACTCTAAAGTTTTGAGGGGCACTCTTTTTTTTATTTTTATTGACAGTGTTTCTTTTGTATTTTCCTGTTATTTAATGGTCTGAATTTTTGTTTTATAGGATTTTGAGGATATTAAAAAATTTGCTCTTGATAGGTGGAGTATTGATGTTGACCAGGTTGAACAGTGTATCAAAGGCTGGAATTATGGGAGAGCGGAAGTGAAAGGTTATTTTGTTTTTTATAATTGTCTGATTTATCGTCTCAGATCTTTTTAAACTGCTTTGGTTTCTTGGCTTCTTTTGAACTTCAAAATACTACATCTTTTAAAGCGACATTTCAATTTGATTCAAATTTGTTGTAGGGCAAGTACTCGAATTTGAAGTTGATGACAAGCCATGCTTTGAAATCCCACTTAATACCGTAAGCAATTGTACTGCCGGAAAAAGTGAAGCAGCTTTGGAATTCCACCAAAATGATGATTGTTCTGTATCACTGATGGAAATGCGTTTTCATATTCCGACAGATCCAGATGCTGATGAAGATGTTGACCCAGTGGAAGTATTTTTTTGCTTCATTTGTGCATAAGATTAATTTTGTCCTTTAACATAATTCGAGACTTCTTGTTCGATTTTTTACAGTATGATTTTTACCAATTTGTTTTTATGTTTTCCTTTTTAGGTGAGAAAATATACTTTTTTTTACAGGAATTCCGACGTGCTGTAATGCAGTATGCTGGAATTGAGACAGAAACAGATCAACCGGTAGCGATTTTGCAACAGATTCTGTGTACAACACCTCGGTAATAAAATTTCGTTTGCTTTCGAAACTTCAGTGAAGACGGGATTCGAGCAGTATACTGTCTGATAAAAGAAACTGAAATGTATATAACAGTTTAGATCTCTAGTTTATTTCAAAATCATCAATTAAAATATTTGCAGTGGTCGGTACGACATTAAAGTGTATCAGAACTATTTGTCGTTGCATGGTAAAACGTACGATTATAAAATTCCAATTCGTACAATAATGAGGCTATTTTTATTGCCTCACAAAGATGGTCGTCATATGTATTTCGTGGTTATTCTTTAGTTATTCCGTCTTTTTTTTTCTTGATTTCTAGGTAGAAATATTGCTTTTTACTCAAAAAGGATTAAACATGTTGTTCTTGTTGTACTAAATTCTTTATTCTTCGATTTGGGTTTGTTTTCACATTTAAGATCAGCTTGAATCCACCGATTCGTCAAGGTCAGACTCGCTACCACTTTTTGGTTCTTGAATTCTCAAAAGACGAAGAGGTTGATTTGGACTTAGGTCTTACGTCGTGAGTTTTCCCATACTTTAATGCATCTTTGACATAATTTTCATCAAACAGGAATACAATTTTATCAATGTTTTCAGTGAGCAACTGAAAGAGCAGTACAAGGGGAAACTGGAAAAACGAATGAGCGGAACTGTGTTTGAAGTTGTATCCAAGATATTTCGGGTTATGGTTGATATGAAAATAACCGTTCCCGGGAGCTTTGTTGGGTACGTCTATTCCTAGAATTATTCATGTTTTTGTAATTCATAGATATCACTCGAGTATTGTGTAATTTAAAAGTTTGCATGTTTCTACAGGCACTCTGGAACTCCAGCAGTTATGTGTGCTCACAAGCAGGCTTCAGGGTTTTTGTACCCTTTGGAAAAAGGATTTGTTTATGTTCATAAGCCACCGATGTACATTCGTTTTGAAGAGGTATTTACAATTTTTTTAAAGATTGGACAGACTTTTCATCATCACGCAAATTTCTGTGCATTTTTTCTTTCATTTTTTGAGGTTAAAAATATTACATTTTTTTTTTTTCTGAGGAAATAAGTTTCAACAATTCTTAAAATCTTTCTTATGTTTCCTTTTAATCCCATATGTATTAATATGAATAAATTGCAGATAAGTTGCGTTAATTTTGCTCGATCGGATGTGTCAACTCGTTCTTTTGACTTCGAAATTGAAATGAAAGGCGGCAGTTTATTGATTTTCAACAGTGTTGAAAAGTTCGTCGTTTAGGAATGCTTCATACTTTTCAAGTCTTTATGTACCTGCCACATTTGTATGCACAGTTGTATCATATCATGAACTTTCTTTTTAATATTTTAAGAGAAGAATATAATCGTCTGTTCGACTTTGTGAACAATAAGCATTTGAGAATCAAAAATGCGAAGCGATTGGTTTGTTACTGTTAATAAATTTGATAAAGTTCAAAAACTGACTGATTTTTTGGGTAATTCATTATCATTTGAAAGTTTTAACGAAATTAAAAGGGGTTGAATTGTGTTGTAGGATAAACCAACATATACAGAAAATCTTGGTGACAGTGACGAAGAGCTGGATCCATACAAAGAGACGCTGAAGCAAGAAGCAAGAAATAAAGAAGCGGCAGAAAGTGATGATGATACGGACAGTGAAGATCGTCTGTGGTTTTGTTTCTATAAACTTTTAGTTCTTAATAGGAAATACAAGTGCAAGATTATTTGCTTAAAGTGTATTTCAGTTAGTTCTAGTATAGCCCAAGTATTATCTCTCATCTTCATATGATATGTTTAAATTCTGGGTTATGAGTGCCGTTAGCTTCTAAAAATGGTACTGAGATAATGGAAATAATCACTGAGAATTATTTAACTGCTATTCTTTCATTTAGCTTTATCTCAACATTCACGAGAATCTTTTAGATGATTATGATCTCGAAGAAGATTTGAAGAAAAGAAAGCATAGCTCCTCAGAAAATTCAGGAAGTGAACCAGATGAAGAATATGATAGTGATGCCGCTCAGTCATCGGAAAGTGATTCCGGTGATCACAAACGGAAAAAATCACCAAAACCGAAAAAAAAGGTAGAAATCGCTCTTGTTAAATATCTATATTAAATAGTTTTAAAGAAAATTTTGCCATTGATGTTTTAAGGTACCTTTTCACTCATCTTTCTATCGCAAAAGTCCATTTTTATATTCGGACTAAATAGCTATTAATATTCTAATAAGTTTTTGCGAAACACCTTAGCGATATGGATGAAAGTGCAAAAAAAATGTTTCACGAGAGCATTGAGGAAATTCATTTCATTTTGCACCCATAATTACGTATATGCAATAACAGACGAGGATAAGTATATAAAGTACGTGTTTTAACTACGGATTTTTGTAGGATTTATCGAAATCTTCAAAAGGTAGCAAGCGAGAAAAAAAGAAAAAGGATCCAAATGCTCCGAAAAAGCCGCAGTCAGCGTATTTCATTTGGTTTGGTGAAAATTACGCAAGCTTTAAAAAGGAAGGAGTCTCTGTGACGGAGGCTGCCCAAAGAGCTGGCAAGATGTGGAAAGAAATTGATGAGGAAACTAAAAAGGTTCTTTACTTTTCGAGATGCTTTATAAATTTAAATTTTGGAAGGATTCTTTTTTCACTAATAACTTAGACTTGATTTTTTTTTTTTTCAGAAGTATGAAGAAAGAGCGAAAGAAGATAAAGAAAGATATGCTCGCGAGATGAAAGAGTATATGGCAAATGGAGGACCTGTATCTTCAACTGCATCAACAACTAAAAAGGCAAAAAAGCCAAAACCAGAGTAAGCAAATCTCTTCTTTTGCTAAGATTACAATATTTATAAACTTGTAGAACAAAAGGCTATGATTCTATCGACTTTTAGCTTTGCCATTGATAAACTCGTGAATTTTGATTTCTGGAGTTTTTAGAAGCAGTATTTTCATCTTTTTGATTGATTTTTCTTGCGAATTCGTTTTAGTTCGCCTGTGAAGCTGAATTCAAAGACGAAATCAAAGGAATACATTAGCGATACAGATAGTAGCAACGAGTCAAAGAAGGATAAAGAGAAGAAGGTTCATTAGTTCACACCATTCGATTGTATATACTCTGTCAAGTTACTGATGTGACAGGAATATGTTATGATAATTAAAGCTTAGATAGGGTGCAACCGAAGTAATGGATTTCATATTTGTTGATTAACATCCAGAAGCTGCAATTTAGGTGGCAAATATCGTGCAATGAATTGTAATCGTTGAAATAGATTTATGATCATTTGGAATACTTATTTGCTTTTTGTTCACCCTCAAAGAACTGTTGAATCTCTGAAAAAAAAATGGATTAATTGTTCATTTATTTAGAGAATTGTAGTAATTGTTTACTTCCTTAATTTCGAAAAGACATTTCTGTCTCCAGTTGAATTTATTAAAGCGAGAAGTAAATCAGTCTATTTCAGGACATCAAATCGGAAAGCAATGATAGCAGTAACGAAGGTGATGACTCATAGAAATAAATAAGCGGCCGATCTCATTAATTAATTCCATTATGTGAAACCATTTTGAATTGTTATGTATTTCCATATGTATAAACTGCATGCAGCATCCCCAACATTCATACAAAATCGGTTAAGACTTTCATGAAATATGGAAAAAAATCTGCGTAAGCAGGAGAGGAAAGGCAAATTAATATAAGTATTGGTTCTTTCCAAACTATGATTTCTTTTATCATTGTAATGTGTCGCAAATATTTAAGCTTTCGTTTCAAAACGAGGACTAAATCTTTTGCGCTCTAATTTGGCATTGTTTGACGGCAAGATAGATTGGAATAGTCGTTTGCATTAGACTATGATTCGAGGGTTAACGGGCCACTGTTATTATTAATTTTGGTTTAGGTTCGTTTTATTAGTATATGAGGAAGAGGTGGGGTCTGTGTGTTGGTTTGTTTGTGGTTTTTGGTTAGGAGTTATGGTTGGAAGAAGAATTTGAATAGTCACGAGAAGTGCCGAGTAAAATCTAAGTGGAACGATGTTATTGTCGATGTTGGCTTACTTATTTGCTAGGAACATTTTATTGAAAAGGCAAAGGGGTGCATGATGGACTGAAAGTTTGATATAATAATTTTGTATATTCTTCTTTTTTTGTAATTTTGTATATTCTTTTGTATATTCGCATTTATTTTGTTGTAGAAGATGTGAAGGATGACAGAAGAGTAAGAGGAAAGAGGAGGGGGATGTTGTAATTTAAAAATATCATTCGTTACAGATTCAGTTTTATAATGAATGGTCGATCATATAGCGATGTTTGAGATTCTTTAGTGTTTATTTTTATTTGTATGACATGTATTTACAGATTAGCTTATTTTGTTGTACAATGGATAAACCAGTAAAATTGGCGAAAGTGACGAAGATTCTTGGACGTACCGGTTCACAAGGGCAGTGTACACAGGTTTGGTGACGTTTTTATTACTTATTAGTGGCAGTTATAAGTTAATTGGAACTACGGAACGAGTTTAAAGGATATGAAATGTAGAGCATGAGCGATGAATATGGAATGACAAGTGCTGAAAGATATACATGCAATAATAAAGGTAGAGTGGAAGTGGTTGGAAGAAATTAAAGGAAAGATGAGGAAATTTTAAATTCAACAGAAATTTAAATAACTGTATTTCAAATATTTCTAGAATTATTATATTTCTTCAAATTATGATTCAGATGTTTCTCGTTATCTCCTTTTATCATTTGTGCAGTATTGTTTACATGCGTTTTTATCGCTTTTGGATTATGAAGCTTGTTTGTAAAATCTGGTTTACCTTAGTACTAGTTGTGAATTGAACATAACGATATTCTTGAATTTGGAGGTAAGTAATTCGAATTATAGGTACTTGTTGACTTCATAGACGATCCTTCAAATCGGTCAATTATCCGTAACGTAAAGGGACCAGTTCGAGAGGGTGACATTCTAACATTGTTGGAAGCAGAAAGGGAAGCCCGTCGACTTCGTTAACCTTATTGTTATAATTTTTGTTTCTACAATGAAATTTTTGGAATAAATAGTATTTTTCAACTCATTCTCACTTATTACTGTTACACAGACATAGAATGATCCTTCCCATATTTCGTTTTTTAAAATCATTATGTTTTCTTTCTTTGGTCTTAAAAAGAAGACGGATTTTTTTCTTTTATGCTAATCCTGGCTATCCGCATTTGATTTGTTTTCGTTGGTTGTGAACTGGGAAAGAGCAAATAAATATAGCACCAAAAACAGGAAAGAGCTGTAGTTTATTGATACTAGTGGAATTGTATTAAAATGTAGGATGGAACTGGATGATTGAATGCAGTATAGATGTAGACGGGTTGGAGGACGTTGTCTGTTTCGTAGCATCATAATTTAGGAAAAGGAATGTGTGAGGAAGGATGACGTATGGAATAGAAAGAAATTGTGGTGATCATGTTGTGTGGTAATGCAGAAAATATGGACTGCTTGCTAGAAATGGATCAGGCTGATAAAGAAGTGTCAGAATGCAGGGTCGACATCACTTTTATAGGTCGAGGATGCCAAAGAAGTACGAAATGCTTGAATTGGTCAAAAGTTATCAATGTGGTGGCATTTGCTTCAGCGGGAGATATTTGTTTTGTGATTCCCGAGGTAATGAATGATATGTGCGGTTGTTAGCACATTCCTAATCGTCAATTTTAGCTTGATAATCCCAATAAGTGTTGCATTATTGACATTTTTATCCCTTACGGTAATGCTAATTTTATCCTCCATCCCCTTTACACATTATTTTTAATCCATTTGTTTTTTTTTGGGCTAGTGAGGAACAAAATTTTTTCAGCAAAATAACCGATGTATAGCTATCAAACATGCGGTGAAGGCTCATGATTTTCCAATAACTTGTTTGAGATTTATTTCATGGTATCAGTATAACAGTAAGTTATTTAACTATCTTGAAAATGATCTGTCTTACTTAGAGACTAAAAGTCCAGTTTAAATTTTTGATGATAAATGCTTAATTTGTCAGTATTGAAATAACAATTCCATATATCTTTTTAGAACATATTCAGTTTATTTTTGATTCCAGAATGTAAACATATTTAGAAATTTGAATTGAATATTAATCAATATGAGAGGAAAATTTTTTTCTGTAGACCATTCATTGACATAATCTTTTTCATTTTCTGTTACGGAAATATGTAAGAAATGTCTTCTGTAATTGCTGAGATACGAATTTTTAGGTTTTGGTTTGGATTATCTCATAACTGGAGCAGCTGATGGAACTATTCGTTTATGGGCTGTGCAAATATCAAACAAAACAGTTGTTGTAAAGTTAATCAGTAATAGCGGTAAGGCATAAATTTTTTTCTGAACTTTTTACAATTATGATTATAACATTTAAGATGTTTATGGTATTTTTCTATACTAACATTTGATATCTGCAATGGATTTTGGAGCTTTTAGAAAATGTAAAAGTCATTTTGAATTTTCCTTTTTAAGGAAATGTAACAACAAAACGTCCTGTAAATTGTTGTGCTGGTGCAGCATTTAGCGAAGCGTATCAAGATATTGCCATTGTGAGTTATGCTATTCCGGATGGATCAGTAGTTGCTGAACAGATTGCTATTGATCGAGTGTCTTTGGAAGAAACAGAAAAGCGAAGCTATGAGAGAATCATGTTTCAGCCTGCCTTGATAGTTTCTGTTGCTGTTCAGATCATATCGAATGGTACATTTTTGACTCCATATTTCGTCTTGTTTTCCAAATAGTATGTATTTTTATAATTCTGAACACTTTTACAGATAATATATTGTTCATTTTGGGAACAACGAGCAATAATGTTGAAATTATTTGTGCCAAACTTGCTTTTATTGTAAGCTTTTTTATGTTATTTATTGAATTTTTTCATATTTTCCTTCATATTAGTTGGTGTTAATTTATTTTTATTTGACATATTTTTTTCTTATTTTTTAGTCTTCACAACTGCGAAAAGCCGTAACTCTCCAAGGTCATACTGATTGGATTACCAGCATAGATATTCGAGGTGAATTTTAGTAATTCTTCCTTACACGAAGAAGAAAAGTGGCTTCATCAGTTGAAGTAAAATCAGGCTTTTATATGCTCTATTTTATTTACTTTCGTGAGTAATCATTTTCAGCGCTTTGTGATACTATTTGACTATTTGAGATTGGACTAAGATCTTAAAATATTTTAATAACACTTCAATAAGTTACGCCTATTATTCACAATAATGCAGATTTTTTGTTATTTTGACGGTAATAATTTCTGCTAATCCTATAGGATTTGGCAGAAGGAGGGACCACAGTTGAAAAAATTCCGTAGCGTTTATGAAATAGTTTTTCTCAAACTTAAACATTTCTCATATTTCATTTTGTTTATAATTTTTATTGAAAGTAAAATTAATAGTGTTATTTTTTTCTGCTTTTAGCCTATGAAAATGATATTTGGTTAGCAAGTGGTGGACAAGAAAGCATTCGTATTTGGCGTTTTGAATTACTTCAGGGGAATAAAATGCGTGTTAATAGCGATACTCAATTAAAAGCCCAATTTACCTTATTTGATGAAGAAACTAAAGGTCCTTTCATTTTTAATGATAGTACAAGGAATGAATTCTAGACAGATAAAGTTCTTATTTACTTTTGTTAAATATCATCGTTGAAGGATATCAAATGTGAACTATTACAAGGACTGACACAATAACTCGTAATGATTGCTTTATTATTACTGATCCTTTCTCAATATGGTATTTTTTGATAGTGAAAAACTCGAGTGAAAGAAACTATAGATATTAAAGTATATTGAAATATTATATTATTAGTAAGGAAAACTCGAGCAAAAGGGAGATAAAATAAAGTATATATTGTCTTTTTAGTTATCACTTACACGATAAATGTCACTCTGCAAGGTGTTTTAAATGCTCATGAAGATTGGATCTGCTCAGTGGAATGGCATTCAAGCAAGCTGCAATTGTTAAGTGCGTCAAACGATAAAACAATGATTATATGGGAACCGTCTGAAAGTGCTGCTGGATTATGGTTCGATTCTGTATGTTGTTTCTATATTTTAGAAGTACTTCATAAATTTGAATGTTATTTTATCTAATGATTTTAATTTATATGTGTGATGCTTGAGATAAAGAGGAAAAATAAAGGAAAGAACGAAAGAATATATAAAAGGTAGAATGAAATGAAAATAATACACTTTATTGATATATTCAATTTTATGTGGATCAGTTACTGTTAAATTTAAATAAATAAATTTAGGTATGTGTAGGCGACGTTGGTGGACAAGCAGTCGGTTTTTTTGGGGCTTGTTTTTCTCCTGATGGTTACGCGATCCTTGCTTATTCATATTTTGGTGGCTTTTGTTCATGGCAGATAGAAAAAGTAAATTTGCAAATTTAAGACTTTTAAAGCATAACTTTGTAGTGAGCGATCTGAAAGATATTCTTAAATATATATTTAAAGGAAGGAAGTAGCTATTGGAAAAGTGTTCCAACTTTCGGTGGACATTCTGGACAGGTCAGAGATATCACTTGGGATCCTACCGGAAGTTATTTGTTATCATGCTCACACGACCAAACTACGCGATGTTATGCCCCTTCCGCGAATCATGTCTGTTTATTTGCTCTAATTATCATAGATATAAGTTTCCCATCAGATACAAAATGGAAATCATAATCATAATTATATTGGGCATTTTAAACTGATATTTTTTAAAGGATTGCTTCAAGAATAATATCTATCCTTGTGTTATCAATTTGAATATTCTTAAATATTTTACGAAGGTGTCTTAAAGGTCTTTCTTGATTTTTTCGAAATCTTTTTATTAAAATAAAGTTATCAAAAAATTAAAAAATAAAATCATTAATTGAGATGCAAATGAATGAAAAAAAAATATATATATTTGAAGTTTACAGGGCGTAATAAGCGAGATTGCACGACCACAAGTGCATGGTTATGATTTGACAAGCATCGCATCTATTTCGAGGTATGTATCTATTAAAACCATAAATTTATAATTGAACTTATTTCCTTCTTTATTTGTATTTAACTTTATTTACTGTATTTTAGTAGTCGCTTTGTTTCTGGTGCTGATGAAAAAATCCTTCGCGTTTTCGCTGCACCGCGTAATTTTGTCGAAACACTCAAGGTTGTTTCAAAGTATGATTGCCAGAAGGTGATTTTTCAACTTATTGGACTCATAGTATGAACTATTGTGGAACTGATTATATTTCATCAGTTTAGTATCTTGATTTTAGGCTTTTTTTTCTCCTTGAAATCTGGAAGAAAATTAATAAAGCTCTGCACAAATCGTTTTCTTCACATATCAAAAGTTTTTGCAGCTATTTCCGGATCCCACTCAAATTGTAGGATATAACGCAGCTATCCCAGCGTTAGGTTTATCAAATAAGATTACTAGTGTTGTAAATATTGAAAGTAATGAAAATTCCTCAGCTGATGATACAATAAATCAGAATGTTCCTTTCATGAAAGGTTAGTTTTCTTGTTGGTTTTTATTATGAATTGTTAAAGCTCTTTGAATAATTTTTATGAGTTAATGTCATACTGAATCCTTAAACTTTATGAAAAATCATTCGACTATTTAACATCGGGCTTCAGGAGTACCTATTGAGGAATGTCTGATGCAAGATACACTATGGCCAGAAATTCACAAATTATATGGACATGGATTTGAAGTATTTACTGTTGCATCAAATCATTCCGGTACACTCATTGCAAGTGCATGCAAGGTTGGTGAATTCATCCTTACTGTCATGTTTAAAATTAGTTCTTATCAAGGCAAACAGTATTTGAAATTTTTGCAAACATGAAAAAGGAGCAGCTTTTGTGATAAAATCTTGGTTTATATAAACTCTTTGAATTTGAATGTTCGAAGAGATTTCACAATTTTACTGAATCATGCAAATTTATACGATGAGCTAAAGTTACAGTTATTTTAGGCAAGTCGTGTCGAAAGCGCCACCATCATTATATGGGACAATAAGGAGTGGAGACGTCGATGTGAGCTACAATGCCATAAGCTTACTGTAGTACAATTGGCTTTCTCAAACAATGATTCCTTTTTGCTTTCTGTTTCCCGTGACAGAACTTTTGCTATTTCGGTCCGATCTTTGCAGGGTAATAAATAGTTTGTCCTAGGAAATATCCCATCTATATTTGAATATGGTAGTGAAATAATAAAACAACAACACTGACTTTTTTTTTCAAACCTTAATTACACATTTATACAAATACGCTGTTTTAGTTCTCGATTCTCATCTACGATGGAAATAAATATAAGAATTTGATCATGAAACCATTAAATTGCATTTTTCAACTTTAAAAGTTTGACTGTGACTTTTCTTAGATCCTTTTGAATGGAAACTTCAGTTGACATCAGAGCAGAAGTTTAGTAAAGTGCATTCCCGTATTATTTGGTGTTGTGCGTGGACTCCAGATGATAAATATTTCGTGACTGGAGCACGAGACAAAAAGGTAATATGTCGAGCAGTTAAAGGTTTTTTTTATTCACGAAATATCACTTTTAGCTGATTAAGATCAAAATTCAGTATTAAAATTTTAAATCATTTTGAAAATTTGCAGCTATGTCTTTGGCATTTTGATGGCGATGACATCCAACTTATTGCGGAAAGGAAACATTTGTATGCTGTTACAGCAGTAGATTTTGCACCAAAATTGTGGAATAAGTATATATTTCTTCTTCCTCCAAATCATAAAAATCATTTGGTTATATTATTGTAACTTTTCAACCTTTCTAAATTTGAAAAAATAATTGTAGATAATACAGGTTACAGTGTGTTAGGACTCTACTTTCAATTTCAGACATTACATTCTGGCTGTCGGTTTTGAAAATGGTGAAATCGAAATTGAAAAATGGAATTTGCGCCAAAATGACATCAATACTAGTGATAACTGCTTGAAGCGATGGTTGGCTCATTCACAAACGATAAATAGGCTGAAGTAATTGTTTATTATTATTATTGTTACTATTTATTATTACCACTAATTATTATATTGTTAAGTTCTTAAGGCGAAGGAAAAAAGTAATTTCTAATAAGTGATTCTAATTCGAAATTAAACAAGTAGTGCAAAACTAAATTCTATCATAGTTAATTGAAATAAATATATCTTATAGAAGTCGATTTGTTACTAGATGATATTTTAGAAAGTTTTTTCTTTAGGTTTCGTCCGAAACAAGGATCTTGGTTATGTAATGGTGATGTAAATATTCATATTTGGGAACTTGCTTCAGCAAGTAATGATCATTCTGTCGTAGTTCATCAGTTAAATTTGTTGTAAGCAGGCTAATTTGTTAAATGAATTGTCGTAATGCTTAGTAAGTTTGTGTTAATAGTGGAAGGAAGAGTGCTTAAATAAATTGTTACTTGAATACTTGGATATGATCAAATTATTGGATTAATAGGGATGACAACTGTTGGAAAAGCGTGGGTTTGACTGGGAAATAGTTTCCTGCTTTTGTGATAATAATTAAGTGTTTCTCCATCATTTAATTATTTAATGTATGAATGTATGTGATACTAACAGAAGTATATTGCTTTTCTTATTGGAAATTAACGGCAATTGTCATTTACCCAAGTGTATTTTTCTGGATTAAAAAAAAATTCTTTTCCACTAATTACCTGACAAATTTTATTTGTAATAATTCATATAAGACGACAAAATTTGCAAAGTCAAATCGATAGCACTGAATCCCTATTAATCAGAAGATTTCAATACTCCAAACACCAAGGCTATTATTGAAAATTCAATTTAAGTTAATGCATAAACTGATCGAATAGTGCGTGATACATAGATCGTCAATCAACATTCAGACAGGTAATATATTAGTCATGAAGTTGATGCAGTGTGCAATTATCTCAATTATCCTTGAGCATGAACAAGTGATTAATAACACATTGATAGTAATGGGAAGGATATGTAGCTAACGGTACTAGAACAATTGTTGATTTAATTAGTCTAAATTAGTATAAACTATTTCATTCTGAAAAATAATGTTGATCAAATAGAGTGATTAAAATTTTAAAATCAAGCATAAATTCAACAACTCCCTTTAAATACAGGATTATTAAAATAATTTCTTTACAGTTGTTCAAATATTAAAGCTGTTAAATTTGGACGAAGTTAGTTTTATCCTTGTTAAAATAAAATATCTGAAAGTGTGTATTAAATTTATTACAATCAATAAAATGATAGAGAACTAAATGAATGAGTGAGTAAATAAAAAAAGGGTTGAGATGATGAGTATCATGGGAATGAATGTTATGGTTATTATTTCGGACCAAATTAATTATTGCATAATTGTAAGCTTTGATGTTTTGTTTAGGAATGCGAGTTTTTCAGCAACAATTAATCCAATCATTGTTTTATCTAATTGTTACCATTTAATAGAATCATTCTATAAGATACATGAATGCATACACATATATAGCTTATTTAAAAAAAGCAAAAGTAATTGTTAGAAATGACACCAAAAATTTTGAATCTTTAGATTATAAAATTTTAACTTCACCTGAATTTAATAACTTTAATATTTGAACAGCTGTAGGAAAAGTAAAAAGGATTTCGTTATCTAATGAAATGATAATTTAGAATTAATTAACAGATATTATAAATTAACCTTACTGATTTTAATAAATTTGGCATTTAAGGAGAGTTTCGAATTCATGTTTGATGATTTAATAGAGGGCAATTTCAACCATTCTATTTCATTATGCTAAAATTACTTTTTATTAATGAAATTTATTATTAGTTATATAATTCAGGCTTATTTATTCTTTTAATATTAAAGTATAGTGAACGATAAAAATGTTTAAATTTGAAAATTTACTACCAGTAATAAGACAGTGTTGTCTGATTATATAAATATTGCAAAATACGCTTTAAATGAAAAAAAGAAATTTAGATGTAAAAATAAAATTTATAAGTTTAAAAAGTCAACATTTCTCATCTAAACAAATTTATCATAATAATGAAATATTCCTCTTAACAAGTTAACATTTCACATCTAAACAATTTATTCTACATCTTTAATAATGGAATTCACCGGATCACATTTTAAACTAAAAAAAAAAAACATTCTTTTTTAATTCAATGAACTATATCAAAGGAATATATCTAACAATACTGGTAACGGTCATGTTAAATTTTGAAATAAAATATGAGAAGAAAAAGTTCATAGCTACTATTTACAAATATCTGCTGGAATATTTGATGTTGAATGAAATTTAGACGTTGTTGACATTTGTATCGGGATAAGCTGATTAGATTCAATATGTTGCACATTGATAGCATCTATGAAGCTACTATACTGATTTAAGTTTGATGAATGAATGGATGAAATGCATTCCGAAAGATTAGTTGTTGATTTAGTAGGATATAAGATAGATGTAAGATTATGATGATTATATTCATCCTCTTGTAAATATGAATGATAATTTGGATGATAACAAGGAAAGCGTTGATAACGTTGTTGTTGATGTTGTTGTTGTTGGTGCTGGTGTTGTTGTTGTTGATGTTGTTGTTGTTGTTGGTGCTGTTGATGATGATGTTGGTGTTGGTGATGATATTGCTGCTGTTGAGTTAATGCAAGTAAGCGAGGTGGTACACGAAGTAAGGTTGCAATTAAATTTGTTGTTGTTTGACTCATTCCATTACTTAACATATTTGCATATTCTAAAGCACTTGGTTGTACATTACTATCCAGAATATGATCCAGTGCAGCTATATAATTCCTGTAAAAGAAAAAGAAAAATCATATCATAATATTTATGAAATTCAAATGATTAACTATTGCTATCGCTGATTATCAATTAATTAAAAGGAATTAGTTTACATAATAATTATTTGAGATTAAATTTAGAAAATTACTGCACTATTACTACCACTGCTACTACATTTTCATCATTAATGATGATCATGATTATATTGTTATTTTGTTTGATTAAAATATATATATTTTTTATTCCTAGTAGTCCATCGAGAAAATGTTTTGGTAAAATTAAAATTAATAATGCTGAGAGGAATAAGTTTACATAACATAAATTAAAATAAATTATGATTAGATAGATCAAATACATAGTATATTTCGTGAAATATGATCTTAATTTCTTATTTTTTAAGTCAAAACTTATATCAAAAATTAAGCAAAAGACTGGGAATTAACTGCAAAAACAATAGAATTATGGAAGAAAATTAGAAACTATAAACTAAGAATTATCAAAAATTGCAGATTTTAAAATTAGTCGCTATTAAATATAAGGAAAAAGTGCAAAAAAGGATGCGAGGAGGAGAATAAAGGACAAATCAATAAGTAAAAAGGTGATGATATAAGGATAATAATTAAAGGTAGATAGGTATGAAAAGGATGATGACAATTTAGAAAATGATCACCAGATGAGATCAGAAATGAAGTGATGGAGAAATTATTGTTTCTAGTCGCAACGGCTCATTATTATTTTTATTGAAATCATTGAGCAGTAACGGTAGTATGTGACAAGGTCAACCTTAGCTCTTATTTATCTCATCTGCTTAATTAAATTATTTTATATCGTTCAACTGCATTAGAATTATAATTAATTATTGTCTTCTGTATATGTACGTGTATGTGTGTGTGTGTGTGTGTGTGTATGTGGGTGTATGTGGGTGCATTATTTCAGATAAGAAATACTCGTTGAAATGGTGAAATTTAACATAGCTGAAAAAAGAATGAAAGGAAAAACGGATAGGTCGCTTCTGTTGAGTTAACAGTAAATGATAAACAATGATTTTCCAGAAATGCTAAGAAGCAAATTGAAAACAAAAATGGATTAAACCTTTGTAAATAATAGATGACACTGCTGTCTCAGCACTGAAATACAATAATGCTAGTAATAAAAATCACAGTAACATTAATAACAATAATAATAAATAGTGGTAATAATAATAATAATAATGGATAATCGCAAATGAAGCGAAAAGTTTGGGAAAGAAAACGTTACGATATAATTACCGTAATCCTTATTTGTAAACTAGAAGTTATTACTACTTGAGACAGTGCGTTATTTATCGAAAGGTTTGTGCGATATTTAATGGCGCCTTTTGATTAGTTTCAATTTTGATTGATTATACTTATTGACCGTAATCTGATATAAGTTTCATTTCATAATAAATAATATTGCTTAAAAATGATGAAAAGTTATTCGTTTAAGGCAAATATCTGAATTATGAAGGAAAAGCGTGAAAATGTGTAAATATAAATTAGATGTATAAATATTTAAGTCATTAGAAAGTTATATTTGGTATAGAAATAAAATCGAGTATTCAAAAAAATATAATAATTTTTTGAATTTATTATTAATTAGTAAATTAAAAAAAGTTTTTCTTTTTAGATAACATTTAAATGAATTAGCCATAATATAATTAGCTCCTTTTTGTCTATTAAACTATCATCAGAGTTATTATAATCAAAAATTAAGACATAAAGTGTGAGCAACCATAAAACCTTGCTAATCGTAACGTTTCAATTTTGGAAAGTTTTTGATGTTGAGTTGTTATTGGGACACGTTGACGTAACTTATCCAACGCACGATTTAAGCCGTGCATGCGATTCCTTTCTCGCGTGTTTGCTTTTTGACGGCGCACTCGTGATTTATTAATAGCATCAAATGTCGTAGAAGTTATTGTTGTCTCACTTGACGCAACTGTTGATGGAACTGTCATTATTCTGTAAACAGAGTGATGATGACATATGATACAGTAGCAGAAAATATCAAAGAATATCGATAGGATAGGAATTTCTTTTTTTTTTTTTTTTCGGTTATTTAGATTTTTTGACTATAATTTAATTCTATTATTAGTTAAAATTGTTTTGTATTTTGTTTTAATCATATGCTAGTACTACAGTAAATTTCTGACTTAAATAATAATATTGACTGAATTAATCAAAAAATATTATTGTAATTTATGCTTGCCAAATTTGACAATATGATAACAAAATTTTTTTAAAAATATTGTACCAAATTTCTAAAAATATTATATCAAAAATTAGAATTCGGGAAATTGTTTCAGGAAGCGGACAATAATCCGTTCCTGTACCTGATAATACGATCATGTCGGATATGTATGCTTGAAATGGATAGTAGTGGGGAAGGAAGGAATAAAAAAGGGTGGAGAAATGGTAATTGAAATGGCTCCGCCTTTAGGCTCTCAGAAAATGGTCCTTGACCTGCTCGTGATTTTGAATTATTATTAAAATGAGTGTTCGGTCCTTCTGAGAAAGCGAAAAGATTGAAATTTACAAAATTTAATCAAATGGTACTAATTTCAAATTCATTCGTTTGCTTCTAATTTAAATTCAATGAAAAAAAGAATTGTTTGATTTTTAAATATGTAAATTAGCAGAGGCACCTGAAAGTTAATGACAAATAATTAAAATGAAATTTGAATGCTTCATTTTTTCTTATTTTCTTTTGTGATTTTAATTCATTTTAATTTCCCGATTAATTCATTTTATTCCATGAATATACTTTTTGTTGTTAGCCTTTGACTTTAAATTCAAACAAATATAGAACAGGGTGAAAGATATTACTCTTACAATAGATACTTGTAAAGTAATAGTTCGGTGACAATTAAGTTCGCTGACACAACTAAATATGCAAATTTTATATTAAGAAAATTGCAAAGAAAAAACAAAAAAAATTTATGCTTTTTCAGTTTCTCTTACATTGTTCCTTTTTTTTTCTCTTTCCTTAAAAAAAATATTTTTTCTCGGTTCATTTCATCTTTCATATCCTTTGACCTTAAAAATGTAAACAAGTGTGAAGTATGGCGAGAAGAGATATTACCTCGCAACAAGACATCTATCGGGGTGGTAATTTGATGTCAAAGGTTAAAGGAAGCGGATTAGCCTTGACTAAGAGAGGTTTATCGTACTGTTCATTTGTCAGATTAAATATCCTCCAAAAATTTCTTTCTTTTCTTCCTCTCCCGCTTCCTGTTTTCTCCTAAACCACTCACCGTTTTCCTCTTCATCTTAAAATTCCTCGCTCTTTTATTCAAAGTTTATTAAAATTAATCCAATGATCGATCCTGTTCCTTTTTGCTTTTTCTACTCTAAATTTAACAATACACACTTCTATTACTACGGTAAGATAAGATCAAAATTAAACAAAACAAAAACAAAAAAGAAAAGCGCAAAATGATACGGTCGTAAAGTGGGAATTGTTTCAAACAAAACATTCAATCATAACATATTGACCGAACGATAATTCTGTCCTAACCATGAATGAAATGACTGTATTGTATTTGGTACTCCTCGAAATCTCTCCTCAGAATAACAATACCAACAAAAAGGCAATAATCTGCATTATCGTAAATGGAAAAGCGGTGCAGATCAAAGGATGAATAAGACTGACTGACGGACTAACTAACGAGCGAAACTAACTAACTGACCGATTGGCTAATGCTACTGATCAGTAGAAATGATCGAATAATATCGGCACGTGACAAATGGACATATGCGCACACACACGCACACACACACACACCACATACTACATACATACACATACACATACACACATACACATATGTATATATACATTCATTTGTGTATGCAGGTATGCATGCATACAAATAAAATAGCAATTAAGACTGTTTGTTGAAATGATTTACAGTTATTTCTTTTGTTTTTCTTTTTTCTTTTCTTTCGGATGAATCTTTTCATCGGATTCATTTGATAAATTTGCGGTAAAATTTATTCGTCCATTTTTAATAAACTTACCTTTTTTCCTTCTTTAATGCTTACCTAAATAATGGATGAGATAAATTTGATCGATCATTATTGATTTTTCAAAGTAGAAGAAAACAAAAAATTATTTTATTCGATGATGTTAAAAAATGATAAATGGAAATGATTAATTGGAATAATATAAATATGAGCTAATTTAATTTAAATCTGAAACTTAGCATTCAAATACTTTAGTAAAGATTGGGATGCAAATATATTTTTGTGGTTTAAATTATGTGAAATAAAAGAAAATGAGAAGATAGAAACTGCAAATTATATAAAGTTTAGATTTAAATATTTCAAAGAAATAGAAAAGGAATTATTTACTAGGATAAACATGGTTTATTTATATAAGTGATAAACATAGTTTATCACTTATATAAATTACTTTTTCATCTTATTATAATACAGTAAATTTAAATAGTCAAATGATTTATTATAATTTAAGAGATTTAGTAGACTTGCAAAATTAAATTTCAAATGCATTCAGTTAATTTTGTTGCAGTATAACTATTTATGCATTACTGTAAAAGTAACGAAAATTTAGCGACAAATTTGTTAACGTAATTAGGAAATATATATATGAAATAATAATTAGCCATCTTCTAATCTTATGACAAAGTTTTCTCGGGAATTTATGGAATAGAAGAAACATAACTTTGAATTACTCATAAACGAAAAAATTTCTTTACTATACTTTTAATTTTTTAGCCGTAATTTCAATTTTTTCACTTAATAATTTTACTGCAATATATCTATTTGTATATATTTTTTTCTCCTTGAACAATACAATAATATTTTTCCAAAGAAATTCGTTTTTTTTAAAAATGAAAGTATAAAAATTGCTTATGGAAAATTGTGGTATTTTTTTTTTTTTTTTGAGCTGAAATCATTGAGGTATTCTATATTAAAATTAATTGATGCAAATTTAGTGTTAGCTAAAAAAGAGTACGTTGTCATTTTCATTCATTCTGTCATTTTTCTACCTTTCTTCAATCTTGTCACCTTCTTTTCTCTTCTTTTTATCTCTCTTTAGTTTCTCTTTCCTTCCAACACTCCGCCATTTCTATCTTTTAAAAGAGAAGAAAAAAAGAAGGAAGCATTTGATGTTATTCCGCTTCATTTCAGCTCCATCTTCTCTTTTCCGGAAGGATTTATTAGAACCGACAAAGAGAATTTGCTAAATGTGACATAGCCATTTCTCTTTTTCTCATTTAACCCGAATTAATACTTTTTGAAATCTGTTCGAGACTGCTCCATTAGCGCCCAACATTATCATCAGCAATGTGAAGCGGTATTTAAGAAAAGATATGGCAGTGACAAAATCATCAATTTTAGTGACAATAATAGCGGTAATGATGATAGCAATAATAATGATGATGATGATAATGTTGATAAAAGCGCAGATAGCATTGCATGCTTTGGTTAATCTTATTATTTGTGACACGGCTAAATATCATTTGATTGATAGTACATCATTACATCAAGGTTGTTTATTGTTTACTGTAAAATGTTTAAGATATTGAAATGAAAGAACTTGATATACCAGAGAGATAGATAAATAACGTCGTGAGAGATAAGCTAAGAAGGAGTGATAAAATATCCATTTAATCTCTCCTGAGACATTTCTACCATATTTTCGAAGCAGATGCTAAGTCTGAAAATTTGTCATCATCATTCATTGGTTTAGATGAAAAATTAAAAACAAATTTGGATGTTCTGACACAACATATATGATTACTTTTGCTATCATTTATATCATGATGATAAGTATAATCATAAGCGACTGAATTCTAATCTGTTAAAATAATTAGCTTAAATTTAAATCAAGGAAAATCATACTTAAATATTTTTCTCAAAGTAACCACTGTCCACAGAATTGAGGCACAAATTATATAATTTTCTAATTGAATTTTAATTGTATTATTTGTATTATACTTGCATTATAATTATTAATACATAAATACATATGTTAAAAGAATGAAATAAATTGATAGCAATTAGATGTCAATGTAATTGCTTGATAATATTTGTTTAAGTTAATGCTTTCTTAAGTACAGTCATAGCGTTATGAAACGAAAATCTTAAGTGAAGCAAAATAGTAAAAGATATGATAAATGACTAATTTGATATTATTAATTATGCTTGATGAATGTTAAATAAAAATTTGTATAAAAATATAAATATAAAAGCAGCATCTATTACTAAATTTATTAGTTTCATACAGCTCAGTTATTTAATTGAACTAATTTTAAAGCATAAATTAGTCATAGCTTTGTAGAAAATGACCGAAAATAATTAGTTGAATATTGAAATTTAAACGAATACACTGAAATTGAACAATTCATTAAATAATTTATAAAAATTTGAAATTTAAACGAATACACTGAAATTGAACAATTCATTAAATAATTTATAAAAATTTGAAATTTAGTTTCAAAATTTTGTCACTCATGAATTCAATCATTTGAAAATCAACCTTTAATCAACAGCATGTAATATGAAATATTATTAAATGCTTTTCAAGAAGAATGCATATGTGGAATTGATGTAAGGAAGTATCAAGTGAAGGAAAAAAATTAGATCAATTGATTTGGAAGCTCAAAAATTACTAAAATATATTATATAAAGGATAAAATACAAAGATTATTAAAATATTATTATTTCTTTAAAAAAATTGAAATAAAAATAAACTCTTTTCTTCTTTCTCAATGTCTTCTTTTCGTAGGTCAAATTCTACTATTTTCTTATTTCTCTTTCTTATTCTGCTATACAATCTCCTTCACTGATCATTTGTAAAAATAAATAAATTTTCGCAATAAATTTATAAAATACTCATTTTACATTTAGTACAATTTAAATTTAATTAAATGAAAAATAATGACAAAGGAGGAAAAAATTAAATTTACTAAACTGAACGAATAAAAAATAGTTTTAAAAAAGAGAAAAAGAAAAAGTGATTGGATGAATTTAGTTGAATTGGATATAAATGTTAAGTGCATTTATGCATATCGATAAGAATAGCATGAAGTACTCAATTGGTTGGATTATTTGGGATGACAATTTTACTACACTTTTTTCTGAAGTGGGTAATAGTCAATCGTTCATCGTAGTAGTAGTAGTAGTTGTTGTTGTTGTTATTGTTATTGTGATGGTACTCTTTTACAATTATTCATCCTCTCTCTCTCTCTCTCTCTCTCTCTCATTTGTTTCTTCACTTTCTCTTTTTAATCCTTTTATTTTCCCTAAATCCTTTCTATTATTTTGCTATTTTATAATCAATTAAACCACAAAACCTACAATTTATTTGTTTTTATTGTACGTCTAGCAATAGCAATCGTAATAAGCACACAGTAATAGTCATAGTTAATAGTCTAAAATACCGTAATACTCAATGTATCTATGTATAATTGAATTCATCAATTGGTACTTTAAGTGGTCCAAGGGAAAATGGATAAAAATAGCCTAGAATTAATGAATTGATGCAGTTTACCAATCTTCTTGCCCTTTCTCTCTCCTCTCCACTTAGGTACCAATTTTCATAATAAATACTATTTCCTCCTGTTGCTCCTTCTGTTAATTCTACTAGTTATTGCATTGTTGCTATTTAGTGAAATGATTTTTGAGCTAAAATTACTTATTATTTTATAATAAAATTTTACATTTTTCTATTTATTTATCCATTTATTTATTTATTTTACTTACTTACCTAATTATTTATTTCTGTAAGTATATCTATCATTCACTCATTCATTCATTAATTCATGATCCATCTATCGTAACCAACAATTATACGATATTTTCATCCTATAACCAATTATCAATGATGGAAAACTATCAATTGTCGACTTACTTAATGCAAAATATGGAAATGTATGTAAAAAAGAAGCTAGATCTGTCAACTCAGAATAAATAATTTTTGTTATAATAATGCGTTCAATTTCAATCTTTGTTGTATTATTGTAGCATTACCTGGTTTTCGTTATGTCATCGTAGCATTAAGCAAACTTTGTTATATCATTGTAGCAATAGTCAATTTTAGTAATATAAGGTAAATGTTATAGGAGAAAGAGAATTTGCATTTAGAAATAATGATAAACTGTATTTATAATTTATGTGCGGCAACAATATTTTGATTAGAATTAAATGCTAGCTAAACTGCTGTTAGTTATTTATTTCATTAATGCAATCCTATATATATATATCACTAACAACAAAAAATATTGTAGTAAATGTCCGGATCAAGCTTCACCAATACTATGCTATTCAATTTATCAATAAAAAACTGATAAGACATTATTAGTTGATAACTATGCAATTTCTGTATAATAAAAAGACGAAATGAAGTAATCAGTTTAGTTATTCAAAGTGATAGTTTGTTGTGTCATAAATATTCTAAAAATATTTCTGTGGTTGGGTTCAGATACTATCAAAATTTGTTCATGTTATTCGTTTTCACTTCGCTTATTTATTTTTTATTTACTTATTCATTCATTCATATATTTGTTTATTCATTCGTTCAAGTAATAAATATTCATTTATTTATTAAGCATAAGAATTTCAACTACATTTAATTGTTTAAAGCTAATGGTTGTATTATTTTCAAACATTCAGTTATTCAGCAGCAGTGTTAATTGATACATTATTTATCCTATTTAGTAATTTAGTAACAATCATAAATAAGCAGAACAAGCAAACAAATTTTATAATATTTCTCAATGATAGTTTGCTCAGTAAAATCTTTTTTATAATTTGCTTAAATTATTTCTTTTTTTTTGCATCACCATCATTAGTTTTTAAAATCAAATGAAATAAGAAGGAGATGTGTAATTAATCTTTCATCAAAAAACAATATCACTCGGGATAGAAAAACTAAGTAAAATTTTTTAATGCAGCAGCAATGGAACCTAACCTTTATTATCTGATTATCATTAAAATAAAATGATATTTTTGCAATAGTAATAAAAACTACAATAATAATTGTTGTTACATTATTATTATCACTATTATTATTACTTATATAATTATTGTTTTTTAATTCGAACTATATTAATTTAAATAAAAATAAAAAATAAATAAATAATAATGATGGAAGGATGTAATTTATAAGAATAATTCAGTCGGAATGATACTAAAATTATACCAAAAGTAACTCATTCTGTAATTCTTTGGCAAAGGATTAGCAATCATCTAACCAATTAATTAACTCATCTCCCTATGATGCATTAATTGATCTCATAGCGCATTAGTATTGGAGGAAATGCTAAATTATAATGAAAAAGGTGGAAGTGTAAAAAGATTGAAGAAGGAAAGGATCAGTGACATGAAAATGAATAATCCATTTTGTGGATGGCGTCATCAAAGCCAAAGTATTGTTGTGGAAAAGAAAGAAGCCGCATGGCTTACTGTTGGAAGTCCTGCTGTGATTGCTTGATTAAAATAAACATTTATTAGAGATTATATATGCAAAAATAAATATGCTCCTATTGTTATCACTATTGCTACTGCTAGCTTTTGATCTTAATCATTGAACAAAAATTAATTTTAATAAAAAAATATAGAAATGAAAAAAGAAAATAATATTATACATTGCTGATAATTGCTTGCCAATAGTAATAATAGTAATAATAATAATAATAATCGTTGTAATCTAAGTATGGATTTCCTTAATTATTTCGTTGATTTCTTTTTAAGATACCTACCGTAAGTATTTCAAAAATGTAAATTTTTGGATAGTGATGATGCAATGAATCCATTCAATATTCAGTTATTAATTTTACTAATTTGTGGATACAAATTAGATAATTTCTTCTACTGACGTCATAATAATAATAGTAAAAAAAAAAAAATAATAATGAAGTACTGAACACTAGTATTATTACCAATCGTAATTGAAATAATGCTAACCTAAAAGTAATGGTACCAAATAATTAAGTGAGAAAAAAGGAAAAAAGAAAAAAGGAATCTATACGAAATGGAATGCAATGACTGACTAAACAATTAATCTATTGCATAATCATTAATAAGGAAGGGAAAAGAAAAAATAGAAAATGGTACCATCGTCATATTTCAGGTCATTGAAAATATATGAAAATGCAAACATAAAATAGATAAATAAAACGTTAAAATTTTTGATTGTGCAATTATATTAATTTTATTGCATTCAATTTCAATTTTTTCTAGAGAAACGATCAAATATGTAAATGTTGAAAATGATATGAGAAAAAAAAAGAAAGAAAGATGGGAAAAGCGAATAGACTAATTGTTATATCAAATCAAAAACAAATGATAGAAAATGATTTGCCTAAAATCCTAAAAAGCGAATTGGTGATAAGGATAATTGAATTTTTTTATAAATAATAAATGATAATGATGGTAATAATACAAAGCTGATAATCAACTTTTGATGAAAAAGCACACAAAAAAAAATTAATTTTCTTTATCACGAGTAGATAAAATGAATAGATGTAAAATTTATGAAAGTAAATAAAATATTTTGAAGAGATTGAAAAATGTTTCAAATGTTTATGTTTGTCAATCTGTTTGTAAAAATAATTCTTTTCATGTTGAAAAATGCAAATATTTGAAATTAGAAAAACGCAATGATTAATAAATTTGCATACCAGTAATTATCAGTTATTAAAGTACCAGATTTAAATTATATTCTGCTTACATTAGCATGCATTACAGTATTTTTATTGAAATGCATGTTACTATCATATTTTACAAAATGTATGTGCGACAAAAGTGAAAGTTTCATTTACATAACTTTCATCATCGATAAATTCGAAAAAAAATTGATAAAATTGATACTATTATTTTTCTTACTTTTACTTTCAAATTTATGCTAAATAAGACAAATATCATTTTGTTCATTTATTCAGTTTTTTTTTTCTTGTTGTTTAGGTTATATAAACTTAATTAAATTTTCATTTATCATCGATGTAGTATTTTTATTGTTTATTTTGCTTATCGCTGTAGGTGAAAAAAAAAAAATCTCCTATATATGTCATAGATCCTTTAGCTACTATTCTTGCTATTATTTACTTTCACCAACTGCTACGGGTAAAAAATCCTCTAAATATTTATTGAATGTAAAATAAGGCTAAAGTAGTAAGTCAATAAATTCAAGGTCAATGGTCTTTTCTATCAAGCAATAGTATCATTGATAAGATGCCGGAAAACCGGAAACGATTGTGAAATCATGTCCTATTTGTTAAAACTTTGTCAGTTTTGCGATAAATTCTGATAAGTAAAATATTTCTATAATTAAAATGAAGATGATTTTATCTTAATATAAACAAAACTGCTCCAATTAATTCAAAATTGGCAATTAAACTTGAAATGAACAATTCTTGCAAATGGTGTGGGATGATTTACTGTTCTTTTGTCTTTTTTTGTCACTTCAGTTCAATTGTATTAATTTTAATCCTAATATAACATGTAATTTTATATTTTTCCTTTTCAGAATTTTATTTTGTTTTTATATTTGGCAATGCTAATATTAATATTTTATCTATTTGTTGTGTAATTCTTTGTGTTTCAATGAAAATTTTAATATCATTTCAAATTTAGTTCATTTAACATACCATCAAATAAAAAAAAAACAAAATGAAATAGAAACAAATGAAATTCCATTCATTATTTCGTTAAAACTTCTTAACTTTCTTTTCAGCTAATTATTCCATAATTATTTTGTTGAAATCAAATAATTCAAGAACATTCTTTTTCAAAATTTAATTTATAAAATTAAAAATATTGAGATAAGCTGAATTTATTCAGTTATTATTGAACACTTGCAGAGAATTATTGTTATTGTTGGCAACAAAATTTATTCTGATCAGAACAACTCAGGCATAATTAATTACGAATACTTACTTAAAATACTAATTTAATTTGGAAAAAAATTATTTTTTTAAAATAAAAAAAAATTGCATTAAAATGTAATGGAATAATATAAAACAAAAATAAATGAGAGATGAAAACAACTGCAACATAATTATCACATTTCTAAAATATCAATGATTACTGTCAAATGATACAATTTTTTGACATTGAACAAGTATTCCAATTCCAATATTAAATAAATGATATGTGGAGAGGAAAGAAGGAAAGAAAGAGCAGTAATGATAACAATAATAATAAGTTAAAAGGAAAACAATTTTCAAATAGCCTAATTCATTTGTATATTCTATTAAATAAATTCAATAAAATTTTAAATAAAGTGAAATTCATTCCGATCAAAATATCATAAGCGCAGTTATAAATGCATAATCAAAATAGTGATTTAATTTAAAATAATGAACCAGAATTAATATAAAATTGTTATTTTGCTTGCCATGTTTAGATAAAATTTGATAGAAATTCTTTTCTCGTTTGCATCATTTGTTAACAAATAATCGATGAAGAAATTTTTCTTTCAGTTATTCATTTCTGATTATAACCACACCAAGTTGAATAGCCATTTAAACTTGGCGAAGCAATGCAATCATAATTAGCAGATGGCAAAAATTGTGGTCGCGCCGAAATAATTGTTACTATGATTAGCAATGATAGCATTAAAATATGAATAATTTGTTGATTCATTTTGTAATATCTGAAAAAATTAACAAATTATATTCAAGATATTTTCATTTTGAAAAAAAGACAATTTTGCAATATATTTACTGGTTTCTCTCAAAAAATAAAAAAATAAAAAATAAAAAAAATTATAAATAAAAAATAGATTTTTTTTTAACAGAAAAAGTAATGAAAAAAGGAAAAAAAAAATTAATGAAAAACTTATATACTTCTTAAACATAATGTATCGTTAAGAAAAGCAAGCAAATTATCAAATAATAAAATTTAAATTTAAATTTAGCAACTTTTGTGACTCGCTTATACTGGTCGCCCAATTTAAGCTGAATTGTATATTAAAAAAATATTCACCACATTAATTTGATTTAACTCACTTTAGTGAAGTATCTGTTAACTGATTGCAAAATCTTTTAGCATTTACCTTTATATTTTGAAACAATTTCAATATAAAACTATTCATTGCTCCACCTATCAGTTAGTGTTATACCAATGATTTCTCTTTTATATGTTTAAATATGTAAAACAAATTAATGCTATTAAATGCTATTACACAGCGTGAAACATAATACAAAGAAGGAAGGAAAAAAAATATTCATTAGATCATATTTAACTGTTAGGTATTACTTAATAACTTTATATGCCACACACGCGAATACATTTTATTTGCATTTATTACATTATCATTGCATATCATAATACAAGCGATTTTATACGTTTCTAAAAATCACGTAACACGTGAACACATTTTTTTTTTTTGTTACATAAACCATTGTATCATCAATGTTTCTAAGATTAGCGGATAATTCTGTACAAAATGATGATGTTATCACTTAGTTTCAATGACGACAAATTGATTTTTTTTTCAATCAGATTTTTTAATCAAATACTTAGTTAAATTTAAAAGCAAAAAAAAGGAGAATGGATGAAAGAAGGGTAAAACGAAGAAAGATAAGTAACTGTCAGTTGTATCACATTAAATTTTTATAATTGAACTGAAATCAGTGCAGTAGATGAAATTTCAAAATCTTTTAGTGCAAAGAACAATACGAAATACCAACCCATCTTTATGACGAAATTTCATTTCTTTTCTTTTTTCTTTTCACAATCATTTCTACTATATTTTTATTTATTATCTTCAAATATTAAATATAAGAAATGAGGAAAAACACAACTTAACTAATCTATGTTTTCGTTTTTAATGTCGTAGAAAAAAAGGAAAAAAAAAATTTGAAATGGTCAAACATATAACTATTTTAATAAATTTATTATGAATGACAAAATGTTTTCTATAATAATTGCATTATTTTGCTATGTGTTTCTGCTCTGACCTTTCACCTTTCCATCTTTCACATTTATATGTTTTAAATTTTTATAATTTATATTTCAATCTTTTACATTTTAATTCTTATACAGTTATCATACTTCTTTGTTTCCTTCCTTTTTGTGCACATTTATGTGTTTTTATTGTATCAATTGCTATCATCGCTTGTTAATTTGAAATTAACATTCAATATTAAAATTTCATTCTAAATTAAAACTGTTAATAATATGTGTAACTGTATTTTTATCAAAATTTGTCAAATATATTCAAATATATCCAAAATTTGCTTAATTTCTAGCAGAAAAATTTATTTCCAAATATCTGTATTATTTAATACAATAATCGTATCGTTTTACTATATGTTTCTGCTTCAACCTTTTACCTTTTCATCATTTATTTTTAAACCTTCTTTTCGAAAATTTTTATTTGGTCCAAATTTAAATTTACTTAAGTTTGCGGAAAGTTTCAAGTTTCAAATGATTAATGAAGCAAAATATTAATTGCGATCCATAAGTTTAGTGATATATTGTAGTAAATAAAAAAAAAAAAACTTGTATATATTTCTTTTTTCTAGCTAAATCGATAACTTTCTCCTCTCTATAATTCATAACTTACAAACTTGAGAATGGTTACTTTTATTATCTTCACTCATTTTTAAAATTTTAATCATAAATCTTTTTTCTTCAGATGATACTTTCCTTCCACTTTTGACAACATTTTATTTCTTCTAACATTTATCTCTAATAACATTACCCACTTTCCATCTTCGTTCCTTTTTGTCGTATTTTTTTTTAAAGAGAATTCCTCTTCTAGAAAAAAAACGAAAAGAAAAAAGATCAAAGTGGAAATGAGTTGGTGCTAAATTCTGCTAAGACAATGAATGAATGATGTTAGACAATATCGTGTTGTACTTCTTTTCCGGTAAACAAATTCTTATTTATGGTGTAATAATTTTAAAACCTGATTTTCCAATTTGCTTTCTGAAATAGCTATTGCATGAAATGAAAGTCAACAAATTTTCGACCTACACCTACACTTCTCACTTCTATATTCAAATGTCGAATGTTTACAAATAAAAATAAGTCAAATGTACTTGAAACGAAAACAAAAAGGACAGAAACTTTTGACGAATTCATTATGCGCTCATTTTTGACTTTACTTTGTTCATACTGTAGATGTCAAATTAATAAAATACATTCTCTCATTTTGCTTTAAAAATACATACCTAACAAAAAAAGAATAAAAACAACTTCCTAACATCATTGACCGTTTAAGTTGGAATTTCACATTGACCCATTTTAATTGCTTTCTTATTGCAATACGAAAGTTAATAGTCAATGTCCACTTCCATTTTGTTGCTATAGTAAACTCATATTTAATCTTATTAATTAATTACACCAAGCCCATCTCCAAGCATATGTGAATAGAGCCTGCGTATTACCCAAATGAAATTTGTGATTAACTCACTTTCTTGTGTAGGGACAAATCGACTACCGTTTGAAGAGTAAGAATGCAATATGCCAGTGCTACACCTCTAATTTTCTTTCTTATATTTAGAATATATTGGATGAGATATTCAGACAAAAATGCCAAGCAGTAAAACTTGTGTAACTTGTGTTGCTAATGTACTATAAGACAAAAGTCAAAAACAAATGCAGCATCATTTACTTGATATCCAGACACTTTTAAATTGCTTGTACTAGTAATAAAAAGTTAAAAAATAAAAATTTTATACGTGAGCAATTTGTAAATAATTGTGAAATAAATCAATTATCATTTCACTTGTTGCTGTAACTGTTGTTGCATTTGCTGCAATTGTTTCTCATCTTGCTGTGATATTGATGTCAACCGCTTTCCAAGTTTTTCATGCACATCCAAATATTTAGCAACACAGCGATCCAAGCAAACTGCTTCACCCTTTGTTAATTCTCCCTCTCTAAAATTAAATCGAAATATGACCACTTGAAATTAACAACAATTCTCATTCACTGCTAATTATTATATATCTCATTATATCAAAATTGTCATCCCAATAAACGCTATAAAAATTCTGTCTCGAAACTTAATCGTCAATGGGACTTTTAAAAAAAGCTATGAAGGTGGAAAAATAAGCAGCAGTCACGAATTGTTAGAACTATTGAATAATTTTACGCAGAGTTTTAAATGTGAAAAGTAAGACCGTAGGTAACATATAAATGGAGAGTATGCCTTACCTATAACGAGTTGAGATACACTTCTGCTGACATGCCGCCGTCATCCGCCGATACATATCAGACATCATTTCCATCTCCAAATCAGCTACCATTTGAAGTTGTGCTTGCGACATTATTCTCAAATCTCAGAACGAAATAATTCTAATACTGAAAAATGAATGAGAATGACATTCCGGAAACTCATTAAAATCAAAAAAATTTCTTAAAAATACCGTACTTCAGAATTTTCTGCGCTATAAAACTTCTAGGGTGAAGTACAAATTGAAATCCACAAAAGAATATATTGGTATTTGAAATTAAATACAAATTCTCATTTTGATCTAATTACTCTTGAATTATATATCTTTTCTGAATCAAACCGTACAAAAGATATTAACACAAATTGTATCAATAATTGTAGAACATTTGAACAAAGTACCCGTACAACACCAAATAATAAGTAAAGTGCATCAAGAATGAGAAACTAGACGCTAAATACAAGTGAGAATTGCAAAGTCTCATTATTTCGAATTTGAAACAAAAATTTACTGTGAAAGTCGAAGTTTCAGAAGAATAGAGAGAAAGAAACTACAGTGAACAATCGAAACAAGTATACAGCGAAACATAAGTATCGTTCGAGAATCGTACTGGTATCGCTTTTGGCCCATAGAAATTCATGCGGTAAGCGGAACCATCTGCTGGTCCTAGCAACTGCAACGCAATTAATACGATATCCACAAGATATAATAATGTGAAGCAACCAAATGAAAACATCTTGAGAAATCCTGAAAGGAACAAAATCCAACATGTAAACAATCTCGACACACACATATATATGACGTAAACATACATCATCATATCTATAACAGTTTACATGAAATTTAATTTAAGATTGAAGGGTCGAGAATAGCTTACTAGTCGTAATTAATTCCTACCCTTCTTTCTTTATTTTGCTCTTTCTTCAGTTAAAATTCTTTTTTTTTTGAAAAACATAACTTCATAAATACACGTTTGCTTATGACTTAAATAACTAAAACTTTTCCTTGGTAACAAATCGTAGGCTCATCTGCAGCGTTCTTTTATATTCATAGCGACTTAGCCAAATAAAGCTATTACACTGAATCACACAGTTCCTCTTTTAATTCATATCCGCTTTTACGGTACCTCATATCCTCAGAAATTCAAGAACAAAATTCCAAACCTATAGCATAATATCCAAGATAAATTCGATCAATGCCTAACCAGCCGAGAAATACTGATAACAATAGTGCAATACTATAATCAACACCAGCTGAATAGGCACAGCCATTTGGTACACGTTTCAGAAACCTAAAATATGAGCTGAAGAAGCAAGTATATTATTTTGCAGAATTTTATAACGCATCATGAATATCAGTTCGAATGTACCTTAAAAATGTATGAAAAAAGATCTGAAAAACATACTTCCTCGTGCCGTTGTCCAATCCTATACAATTAATTTCATTTGCCACTTCACAAACAACTGAAAAATTAATGAATATGTGAATTCAAAATAAACTGCTTGTTGAAAATCAGTACGATGAATTCCAAAACCCATAATTTAAGACTCCTTTATACTATCTTTATTGGAAAATTATCACAAACTTGATGTAAATTAGGTGCGTCACTTGCTCGGTTTGCAAAAGTAGCCCCACAAATAACATATACTACGTTGTATGCATATATGCACAAATGTTCATATTCATGTGATAACTTACCTCAAACTATGTTATCAATTTTACATGAATAGTAGATATTTAAAAGTTGCATCACCTGTAATAGAGTTATCCTTCTCACAGGTTTCAGGAAGCTGCGTGATCGGTGAGATTACAGGCTCTTCACACCAATACCTGTACTGGAGATAGTTTAGAAGTATCGTGATATAACTAAGCAATTAGGGTTAAAATGCAAGTAAGTAAATAAGGGAATATATGAATACCGAGAAAAGACAAAGAATATCAGAAAGATGGATAGTTCTACTCAAATTTTGGGATGTAACATCGTTTACTGAAAAATAAATTGCAGACTTACTGTCCCATGAGCAATTCGGAACAGGACTTCAACGTCATTTTAGTTGTACCGAATGTTAACAATGGAAACAGTGATAAAATTACGACAGTAAAATCACTGGCAAACATTTAGCGCTATATAGCAATTATCAATCCAACTACCGCGATGCAGTCATCGACTAGAAATCTGAAATGAATGATATATTTGAAAAACATATTACCAAATTGTTAAGAACATAGCATCTCTAAGTAACAGCATATTAATATCCAAATTGATTGAAAGAAAGGAAATCAATCGTTTAAGGAACGGTTCAATCAATGAACAGTGAGAATGCAATATATACGATAACAAATTACGCTTGATTTTTGGTAACTATTTTTCATGATAACAAGTAATAATGATAGATAACCGTCCATAATTATTATCAGTGATAACAAATGATACATAAGTGATACAATACAATTATTAGTACTATCACATAATATCTGCGCTTTTGGAATTTTTGCAACTATCCGTCAATCCATTGTTTCCACTTAATGCTAGAAAGAAGAAATACATTGAGAAATACAATCCACACTAGAGATTGAGAGAATTCACATAGAACAACTCCTCCTAATGTTGACAACGATTAGCAGAAAGAGGGAGACATTTGAAATACGTGAAATAGTGAATGTTTTAGAGAGATGATAAACGGTAGAGATTAGTGGGAAGTGAAAGATAGCACAGAACAAGACGAATAGAAAGTCGAAACATATAGTAACCATGGAGAGCTAAAGCAACAAATGTCCCAGCATTGTCAAACTTTGACCAAAAGAACAATCTGAAAATTTGTATCCCATATCGTGCTTCCGATTAATATTAAAACTTCAGTCAGTAAAACTATCTCTTTCCACCGTTTTTTATCATTTATTTTAGTTTAAGCACAATATTTTCTCCACATTCATTCACAAATGCAATTCCTATTTCAGTTTATCATACATTTCTTTCTCTTTTCTCCTTTCTCGTATAGTTTAAAAATTCAAATTTCATAATGTATGAATGAGAGTTGATTATACTGTAAATAGTGATGAAGTGTAGAATGCATTACGAAGAGATTTAATCGATTAATTTCCATCATTTTTTTTTTTCAACTTATCACTTTTAAATGAAGTTATCAGTTTTCAGCAATCACTGATTTTTACTGTTTTCCCTTATTGATTGGTGTAATTATTTCCGTTGGAAGCAAATTTGTCCCTGTAAAGAAAACACACACATTTTCACTTTTTGTTTTTTTTTTCCTTTGCCCCCAAAAAATGGCAATTTAAAACAAACTAAAAGAAAGAAAATAAAAAAAAAGTTGTGATGAAAAAACGAAAAAACAATTTTTGATTCTAAGAAAGACATTTAACACCTGGATTAGGACTTTTAGCAGCACTCGATCGACTTTGTTTTTCAAGTTCAGCAAGCTGTTCGGCGCTTAATTTTTGTAAATCTAATTTTGGTTTCAATGTTACAAATGAAATTTTCAGATCATCGGTAACACGCATAATTGATCCACAATTACCATCGGTACCACAATAATTTGGTGCAGAAAAAACGGTACAAATTTTACCATCACAATCGATATGATGACCATTTTTTACTACTTCATGCGCTCGTACAATCATATCAACATCTAGCGCCTTATGTATAATAATCATAATTATTTAATCTTACTAATAATTAATAATTATATTTATAGTAACTATAATAATTTATTTATTTTTTGTTATCGCATTGATTGAGCAAAAAAATTCTTTTGTTTAATTAAATATTAAGACTTTGTTTGTTTAATGTTTTATTACAAATAAAACCATGTCTTAATATTAAAAAGAAAAAAATGTAGCACTTCTTTATTCATTTATTTATTTTTTTGAAATGTATTTCAAAATTTAGACAAAAAATAAATAAAGAAGATATACCGCGATGCATTCTTTAATCATATCTTGTCCAAACATCCATGAAGCATTGCGAATTTTATTGGGTGTAAAACCTTTAGCGCATGGATCATTATCCGGATCAGACCACATCAAATCAAGTGCTAAGCCGGAATCACAATCTGCTTGATTTCTTGGCTTCTATAGTTTTTTTTTTCCAAATTTCAAAATTATATTTATTAATTAACAAAAAGAAGAAGGAAAGATGAAATAAATACCTTCAAATTCTTCAATGAATGCCATCCGTGTATTAAAGGACTTATACCGCCATGCATACAAATTAATCGATTGTTAACCTGAATTATCATTTCATGACATAACGCTAAACCATTATTCCAGAGGACTTTGTGTCATTATTTTACGAATTCGCGATAGCCTACTGAGATTAATTTCCAAAATTCTTTCTCATTCGTTTTGCTAACAAAGAGATCACTAACAGCTTTAGGATTAAGAGTTTTAGGAAAGTGAAGTAAAGTATGCAAATATTAGTATTCCCAATATGTAAACCTATTAAAGTAACCGAAATAACTATAAAATATATTACACAGACATTTGCACATAGTGGTAATTCATTGAATGCTTTCTGGAATATTTTCCAAAGCGATGTTGTTCGTACTCGTTTACACTCTTGATAAAATCCATAAGTTCGATTCATTTTTGTACATTCATGGTTACCACGCAAAAGGTTTACTCTGTCTGGATATTTCACTTTAAAACAAAATAACAACATTACAACCTGAAATCTTTTATTTTTTGCTTGCTTCAAAGGTTGATAAATTTAAAAAACTTTTGAAAAAACAAAAATTCAACAAGAAAGAAATAAAGAAAATAAGAACAAACTTCAAGACCCTTTTTACATCGATCAATATAATCACCCAAAAAGAGAAAATTTTGTTCCGGTGGTGTACCAACAATTTTAAAATAACGCATTAAATCACCAAATTGTCCATGAATATCACCGAAAATAATAACCGGTGCAGAAATTTGAATCAAACAACCAATTGGTTGCAATATTTTACAAACCTAAAGATGGAAAATTTTTTATTTATGCTTAACTAATTTGTTTTTATTTGTTTTTTTCCAAGTAAAATAACTTAGTTATTTATTTATTTTGTTTAAAAACTTTTTTTTTTAAGTTTTTCAAAATAAAATACTTCTAATTATTAGCATATTCTTCTGGAAAAACATTTATAATTAAATTTATTGTGATGATAATTTGCTGTTTAATGTTATCAAATACACTTGCAGCATCAATAATTGTGATCAGTTGGTGATCAGAAAAACCATCCAAAAATTGATCGGTCATTAAACGATGTATTATTCGATCCGCTAATACTGACAGCTGCTCCGTCATTCTTTTTTAATCATATCAAATTTAGCTTGCGTATATTTTATTAAGATTAATTTAATTTATTTAATTCTACTTCATTTAGTTTTTAATTTGATTCAATTCAATCCGATTTATTTTTCATAAATACCAATTATTATATTCTCTAAAATCATAAGTGCGGAATGATTTTTGCTTTAATAAATCAGATTTTTCAAATTTTAGTAAAATGAATGAGAATATAATTACAAATATGAATTGCGATAACAATCTATAATTGTCTAGTACTATTATTATTATTCTAAAGTCTTGCCTTAATAAATTATTTGGTCGTTTATTCAATCACTCTCGTTTTAAAATAATTTTCACTATATTTCCGAAATTAAAATTTAAGTTTTACTTAATGCTTAATTAATAAAGTGGGATGGTAACAACCACTCAGTATTAAAATAAAAATTATCAATGAAGATTACGGAATTATTTTTTAATTAAATAACAAAACAAACCTCAAAAAATTATTCTTCCCCTATAATATGAAACAATGTTTGCTGTTGCCTTAACATTTGGCCTTAACACGAAAATCTTGCTTTATCAAGTTATTTAATCGTTCACTAAATGATTTTCTTTTTAAAAATTTGGGGTTTTAAGATTAAAATTTTAAATCTTAAGAAGTATGTGGAAAAATATATGAGGAAGAACTAACCCGTGTATATAATTTCCGTTTCTCTGTTTGGCAGTCTTTCAGTGTTTCTATAAAAATATTTAAATTTGAATAAAAAAAGAGACAATTATTGGGATATTTCAGAATACTTCATTTATGATAATAAGTGATAACAAAAATAATGAATAATGAATGGTAAATAATAATAATAATGGTAATAATGCAGAAATATTGATATTTCTCATCCATTTCATTTATTATTTTAATTGAAAGCAAAAATTTCCTGAAATTGTTAATGGTTGAATTGATTTTAATTTGTGTCATAGCTCTTTACTTATCGAAGTGTTACTTACAAAGTAAAAACTTCTTTTTTATTTCCTTGGATTATAAAAAAATTCAAAGCAAGAATACATAGACACACAAAAATGTAATTTACAGTTAACATTTGTCAATTAAAATTTAAAACAAAAAAAGATGAAAAAATATGAGTTCAAACTATCCAATAACCTATTTCGATATGGGATGATTTTAGATAAAAAAAAAGTAATCATAAATAAAATGAAACTGAGAACAATGGATTGTTAGATTTGGTATATTTTCGACAACCAATTAAAAGAAACCAAATGATTTTCCAAAAAAGAGAATTTTTTTAAAGAAAAATGTGAATTAGCAAGCTTATTTCTAGAAACATAATGATAATAACTTCTTATTCGTTTACTTTGAATAAAATTTAAAATTAAAAATTATACAATTTAATCAGTTAATTATATTTAATTCTCTCTCTCTCTCTTCCTCTCCTCACTTTTTTCTTCTTTCCCTCTCAAAATTTGTTATAATTTGTTATATATTCATACAAAATAATCATATGAGGATTTCATCGAATTTGCTGTGGTTGTCTGTACATTGTATCATGAACTACACGTGGATCACGTTGATCCGTGTAGTACATTTGATCTCGTCTCATTTGAGGTGAATAAGCGTAATTTGATGGTAAAGTTGGATAAACAGTTCGTGCATCATACTAAAATAATAATTGAATATAATGATAACAGATAGTATAAATTTAAAAAAATGTTTGAAAAATTCAAGATTTAATTCATATCCTAAAAAATTTTTTTCTTCTAAAATTTATAATACAAATATAATAATTAAAAAAAAAGGAAATTATTAGCTTATGAATTAAAAATATTCGGAAATTTTATTCGATAACAATAATATCTATCATATGAGAAAATAAAATTTAAGATATAAACCAAAAATTACACTATACAAAATATTTTATAGAAGACATAGATGTGATCAAAATCACCTGTTTATCTCCGTCAATAACATTACCAATATTTCGATTATGCATACGTTGAAATTTTGCTATCATTATAATAACTAACGATATCTGAAATTCGAAATTGCACAATAAATAATTCATTTATAATCCTTTATAGTATTTATCATTTTTTAATTTAATACATAATTAACAAATAATGATTTTGTCATTTGCTAATGAAAAGTTACTAAATTGTAAAACAAAATAATATCAAATATGAGTAATAATTCTGCTTCTTATTGCGATATTATTTGCTTATTAAAATTTACGGATGATATTGGTAATTAAATTTAATTGATAAGTTGAATTACTAATAATTAACAGTCTTGTTTTTCTCTGGTATTATTCATTTACTAAAACCTACAAAAACAATATATTTAATGATTAAATTTTATTAATGAATTGCTAAAATACTACAATCCTATTTTCTCTCTAATTTCTAAATTTTAAAATAAATTTCTATTACATTGTCTTTTCCTTGTTCATTTCTCATCTTTTCTTTCATTTCTTTTTCACTTTTTCCTCTCTCTCTCTCTCTCTCTCTCTCTCCCTTTTTTCTCGTTATTGTCCTTTAATAACTGATAGAATATAAATTGTAATTTTTCATATCAATAAAAAGTAGCACACAAACACTTTGAATGATTGATTCATTTATCTTATCTTTCAATGAAATAGCACACATTTCAATTAATGTGCTAAATGGAATAAAGTATTAAAATGGGAAATACCGTGGAGAATGGATCAGAAAAGCAAAATGAATAACAGCAAGTGAAAGAGAGAGAAATCAGTAATTTGACAGCTAATGAATAAAATATTGGATGAAATTATTTGGTTGGTTAATTAATAAACAAGTTTCTATGAAAATGTTAAATTGCTCCAAATTTATTTCAAACTTTCATTTCTTCCTTTTTTCCACCGCCATTTGCTACACACAGTTATTCTGCTGGAATTTTTTAAAACTTCCTTTGTGATGAATGAACTAACTTTCACCTTTGTTGCTTGCTTTCTACAAATTTTAAAAATATAAACTATAAAATTTAATTGATATTAATAAAGGAATATAAACTATAAAGTTTAATTGCTATTAACAAAGGATAATAAATGGGAAAAGAAACAATTAAATGTGCAATGAATTGAAACCAATAATCAATTTTTAACAGCTGCAACTTAATATACAAATAAATGCTATGGGAAATATGAAAATGACTGAATGTGAAAGTTATTGTACTTATGCACAAGAAGCGAATAAGTAAATATGCAAGTAATCGATTAATAGATAAAGTAATTTAACAAATAGCTGATGAATGTGAGATTCAAGAAGGTATTAAATATGCAAACATAATGCATATAATAAATAATTAGGTCAATTAATGATGGTTAAGAGAAAAAAAATAAAAACAAGGAATGAATAAATTGCTAAGTGTGAACATAATGATTAATTCGAAAAAGGGAACACTATAAATATTCAAAAAATTGATTTAATATAATTCATTTAACGATGGTTAAGAGTTCATAGTTTCTATGAAGATGTTAAATTAGTCATCTAACAATTAGTCATATATCATTTTGTTATCTAAATGATTACTAACGCTAATCAGAATTAATATTTAAACATTAAAAAAATCAAATTTACTTACGTGAAAGAATTGCAATCCAAGAAAAAATATTCCAGTTGCAATACGTACCAAATTCCACTGCAAATAATCAAAATAAGATAAATGCCAATTAAAATATTGAAATTTGCATCATTTTCAAAAAATTAAAAGTATAATTGATTGAGGAAACTTGAAATTTTTTAAAAAAAGGAAAAGACTAAACTAAACAAAGTAATTAAAAATTATACAATTAAATCAAAAAATTGCTATTATCATTTTTATTTTTTAATATAAAAAACATGCTAAAAATCATAAATTCAAAAATGAGAAAAATAGAAAACCAATCGATACTTTATAAATTTAAGAAATCAATCAAAAATAATAACAAAACTTAAAATGAGTATCTACCACTTTCAGATGAAATTAGGCAAATGAATTTTGCGCTGTATCAAGAAACGATTTCATCTTCCTCAAATTCAATTAGCACCGGTAATATTGAATAAAAGGCAAATGGAATTTAATGGAATTTCTAACGGGAACTTACGTGAGCATAGAAGAAAATGAAGAACACACTGATCAGTCCCCTGATAACATCTAAAATTATCAAAAAAATCCATGGTACTAGCAACCATTCCACATATGATGCTAAACCAATTAGTAATAGTATACTTGCAATTATAATGAGTACATATAAGATGATATCAATTACAAGTGTTGACCTTCTCCCTGAAATATAAATCTCATTTAATTAAAATAATCTAAGTTAAACTTACTATTTAAAGTTAAAATTATATTCTAATATAATTTTTAATAATTAGCATTTAAGCGTACAATAATTTATAAATAATGTTCATAATTTATTGAAATTTACAATAAAAAAATAAATTCGTGATTAATTCTTGACAAAACAAAATATGCTATTCTAATTTTTAAATCATTCTTGATTAATTAACTTTTTTTGAATGAACTTCCGAAAAATTCTCGATAGAAAAATGATAAAGAAAAGAAAGGTACAAACATGTATAAGAAAAGATTAATTCCTCGGTGTAAAGACCGAATGAGCAATGATATGAGCTAGAATCCTCGATAACAATAGTTGTTGTACCTTGATTGAATGTTAGCTTACGATTGTCTAAAAATAAACCACCAAACAATTATTTGAAGATTTTTAAATTTTTGGACAAAAAATGTAAAAAGTTTATTATTTCTACATATTTAGTTGGAAGAAAATTAAATTATTATTATTTATATTTCAGATCGAAAAAAAAAAACACTCATTAATTATATGAAATAAAAGATTAAATTACAATCAGTTTAAATTTCAGACAAAAAATGAAATAATAGAATATTAATTACATAAAGTAATATTGGAAATGAAGCAAAAAATTTCCAATAATTTAAAGTGGAAAAATGAAATATGTGGATATTAATTAATTTCAATGAAAAATTTTCAATAATTATTTAATGGAAAAACAAAATACTCAAATACTAATTGCAGAAAATAATGATTAAGCTTAATTATCGTTGTTACTAAGCAATATTACTTCAAATTTCTCTTTTATTACCATTTATTTATTTTTATATGATATCCAATGAAAAAAAATTTAATAATTGAAAGTAGAAAAAGAGATATAATATTGGATCTATTTAATTTCATCGTTTTTTATAAACTGACTAAGTTTTGTTTATTTCTACAAATAACATTAAACAATCAACAATCATAGTGATAATAACCATTATCTCATTTCATTTTCCATAAATGCTTATCATATTTTCTACCTGGTCGTACTTTGCCTAAAGCTTCCAAATCGCAATTTGTGTAATGTGATGAATCACCATTAGCTGTCGTATCAGATAAACCCCAACTAGCCAATCCGGTTAGCAGTGAATATAAAAACTGAAATTCTTTTTTTGATTTAAATTATTGAAATTTAAATAATTTAGGAGAAAAAAAAAAAGAAAACATTTCACACAAAGAATTTATTTCGATAGAAAACAAATAATGACAGAAGAAATCTTATTCAAACTATTAGTGTTTAATAGTGCATTTGTTAGCAATAAATTGAAATATCAATGGTAATTATTAAATATATATTATTTAAACTATGTAACAATGGAATTGGAATAAAGTAATTAGTTGAATTATACGGATTTCATTGCAAGAAATGATTTATCTCTTCAATTATTCATTATTGCATTTTATTCCCTTTCATTTTCTCTTTCTTTTAAATTGAAATAAACTTCCCTAATTCATTAATTTCCGAAAGAAAAAAAAAAGAATCAGTGAGAAAATCAATCAAATGATAATACAATAAAGTTTCTCCTTGTTTTTTATTTCAAAGAAAATAATTATGAAAAGAAGGTATCATTCAGTTCAATTTTTTTTCTTTTTACAAAATTGACATTTCGTTTCTTTTCTTCTTTCTTTTTCATTAATTTTACTTCTTCATTGGAAAAAATAATGTTGTATATTGAATTTAACTAAGTAATAGCAAATTTGAGATATTTCAAACCTTCAAATAAAACAAATAAAAACAAAAATTCATCCATATTTTTTGTTCCTCAATTGCCTGATTGAGTATTGAATACTATTTGTTTATTAGATATATCTCATTTATTACTTTTATTTTCTAAAAATGATGAGAAAATTAGAAAATAATAGAAATTTCAATAATAAATCGAAATCTGTGCAGAAAGACTACTAATTTGTCACATTTTAATGGCAAAAATGCATAAAAAGTTTAAAAAAACAAAAATTTGAAATACTGGAAGTATTTAGGGATTTGGTACAATAGAAAATGGAATATTGAAACTATTGAACCAATTATTAACCTAAAGTAACTCATGGGAAAATATTTCAATATCTGTTATTAGATAATTATAATGATCGTCTGCGTTGACCGAATTACTGTTCATGGATTGAATAGGACGGGGATAAAATTTTCTTTTTGAAATTATTAAAAAAAAAAAGTTCTTTCAGCTTAGGATTTAAGTCTTATATGATGTGCTCTTTCAATTTTACTTAATAAATGACATAGAAACTGTAGGATTTTTTTTTAAATTAATGTGATTAGCTGATATTTCGAATAATGTATTTAGTAGAACTTAATTAAATTGATTTTCTTCTTTTTTTTCTTTTTCTTAACATTTCGTAGTATAAGCAAAAAATGCAATCATATCGCTCTTTGTTTGAAAAAATGTTTCGCACTTTTTTTCTAATTTTAAAATGAAATTATTAACTGTAAACTAACAATTTTATTTGTCTCAAAATTTGAAGAGTGTCGAAATGAATGGAAAAAAAAAGAGAAAACAAATAAAATTGGTAAATTGATCAAAATTTTGTTGCTGTTTTCCGCGTTTTTTTTTTTTTTTTTCATTTTCTGAGATATTTTTTCTATGTTTGAGTGCTAAAAGTGAATCATAAACGGATGCTAAATGACAAAAAAGATTGATTCGCAATAAATTGAATCGCATTCTTCTCCGCCTCACCAAAAAAAAAAAAAGAAATTATTTTTAACTTTAAAATTTTCCTCAAAACTTCAATTATATTATGATATCGTTGATGTTGACTGAAAATTAAAATGAAAAAAGAAAAAAAAAAAACAACCAGTGAGCCGAAAAAATGAAGCAAACAGATAAAATTTTTAATCAAAATTTCATTTAAAATGCTATTTTTCCCTCTTCAAAAAAAAGTTTCCTTTTTGCAAAGGAGAAGAAAGATCTTTTTGCTATTCTTTTTTTAAATACTAATATTCCAACTAGGAATTGATTGCTGAGTAACAAAAATTGATTTGCCATAAAACTCAATGCTGAAAAAAAGGAAAAAGGTTGAAATTGTATTTGAATGCATTTTTTTGCAAAAAACCTGAACGAATTACGTTATGGGCTGTTTAATGTTAATAGAAAGTTAAAATTGCAAATTTTTAATTTTCAATATTTTCTTATGTGTCCTTTTTCTCGTTGAAGAAATTTTAATTTTATGGAAAATTGTTTCTTTATTTCGAAGAATATGTGGTAAAAAATAAGTTGAGAAATGCTCAAACTTTATTTTAATCTTTCTTACAAAACTCGATTGCTATTGACCATTGTTATTGAAAGCTTCCATCACTGCTAATAAAAAAATTGCAAATTTAATATTATTATTATAAAAACAGAAAGAAAAAATATTGCTCGAAAAACCTCATTTCTATGAATTTAACAATGTCCAATTTAACTAATTACAAATCATTTTTCGATTCATAAACATCTAACTTAGAAAAGAAAACAAATAAAATGTGGAATTAATTGATTTATCATTTGATTATATAATTTTAGAAGATTTATATCTTGCTTTTTATGTTCATAATGGCATTGTAACAGAATTTTTTGTTTTAAAAAAAGGTATAGAAAAGCTTTTTCAGTTTAATAAATTATTTAATATGAAATTGACACAAAATGATATGGAAACTTTCAACATGTTTAAAAATTAAGGCTAATGACCTCTCGAATTGATAGAGAAGAAGGAGGAAAGGTTGAAGTTACATGATATTCAATCAATCACCTAAATTTCTATTTGATAAAATTGTTCTCAATGAGGAATTACTAACTATATATTATCATCAAAAAACATCGATTTCATTCACATTCTTCCTTCTTTTGTTTTGTTTTACTTTCTTTTAATTACACAAGTGCAAAAAAATCGTTTCAACAAGAACTGTTTATAGGATTTAAAAATTACAAGGAAAAATCACTGATGAGATTCTGTTACGGACAATTAACTGCATTTATGATTAATTGATTATAGAAGTGTGTAAATCTGAATTATTACTGATTTCAAATCCTATTTTTTTTTTGTTGTTTCCTTGGTAATTCAAATTAAATTTAACTTTGACCAAATTTTTTGATTTTTTTTAAGAAAGAAAGAAACATGATATGGAAACTTTCAACATGTTTGAAAATTAAAGCTAATGATTTCTCGAATTGTGGGAGATAGAGAAGATGAAGGAGAAAAGGTTGAAATTATGAGATATTTGCAAGAGCTTTGAAGAAGACAATGTATTGCTTACAGTACTAAAGCAGTAGTTTTAATGGTTTTATAACTAAGATAGATTTTCTTATACAAACTTTTTCTTATTTACTACTTCAGCTATTGATAATAAACATATCAATAGAGTTTTAAATAAATAATCTACTGATGTTATCAATCTATTAAATTAATATTAATTAATTAAATTGTCCATAAAACTTGCTCATAAGACTAATTAAATTACATATTAATACGACTCATTAATTAGACTACCAATAAACCTACTGCGAACTAGATCATATATTATAACATTCCTAATGTAATCAACAAACAAACATATAACAATTATAAAGAAATCAATTCATTTAAACTATTTCATTCTTTCTACAATTTATGATTAAGCTATCTCCCTTCTACTCCAAAAAAAGATCCCACATAAAGTGACAATTATAGAATAAATTATCTGAAAAAAAAAAAGCTTGATTTATAAAAATAATTCATGATGAAATATATGCAGCATAATAAAAAAGAAAAAAACTTACCAAAGTATAAAATGCAATAAGAATCGTAGCCAAAGATAAACCACAACAAAAGCAGCTCCTGATTTGTACCTCAATTTTCGCCATCCAATTTTCTAATTAAACTTTACTCATTAACATTAATGACTAAACTTAAATTGTTAAAATAAACAATTAATTTTAAACGACAAGTCTTATTTTCTTTTATCTTGTAAAAGAAAAAAATGAAGAAAAAAAGGAATGATCTTTTTTTCTTTTCTTCCTCTTTACTTTTTTCCCTTTTTTCTTCCATTTTTTCTCTTTCCCTCCCCGTCCTTCCCATCCTCTCTCTCTCTTTCTTCCTTTCTCTGTTAATGGAAATATCAAAATGAAGCATTTGTTAATTATCATTCCAACTGAAAGGAATTATATAGTAGAATGAACTGTCAAAATGAGAAGAGGGGAGGTGGACGGTGATAATGATGGTGATAATAATGATGGCGATGATAATGATGATGACAACAATAACTATGATAACAACTAGTTCTCATCGTAATTAGAATTAATAGAGGAGGAAGAGAAGGAAAAGGAGGGAGAGAAAGGAAAGGAGGGAGAGAAAGGAAAGGAGGGAGAGAAGGAAGAGGAGGGAGAGGAGGAGGAAGAGATGATGGAGGAGCGGAATAAATGCGGACAGATCAAAAAAAAAACCGGTAAATTGTGGACTGACTGATACGTTGACAACAACAGCATCAATGCATCGACACTATTTCCGTTGTTCAAATGACAATTTTGACATTATCAGTATAGCACGGCAATCACGTCAATGACAACAATGGCGTAAACATAGCCCAAAACTCTTTACCACCATTGTCAACCACTATCAATGAGTCAGTAAGTTTCAAGGACACATACACACATACACACACACACACACACACACACACACACACACACACAAGCACAGATGGTATATTTTAGCCTTTATCACAGTTTACGATCGGCGAAAGTAAATTTGAAAGAATATAAGTACTTGAAAGAATGTAAATGAAAGTCATACTTTACCATATTAACTGGAATATATGAATATGGACGTGTGGAAGTTAGAATAGAAATTTGCGATTTATATTAATGAATATTATCGCTATAATAAGATAATAATGAATAGAAATAGAATATGATATAGGACAGATGTAATATTAGTATCGTGCGTGACATTCTACGTAAGCTAAGCCAATATATGTGACGTAAAAGAATGAGAAAATCGGGGATAAGTTTATAATGTTGTTGATTAAATTTTAAATTAAAAATATTAGCAATGGATTTTTTTAACTGGTCTTTTGAATTAAATTAATTGTACTGGTTGCTAACTAACTAAATTTAGAGATTTCAGAAATTTTTCGGATATTTGGTTTCGCTTATCAAACAGATTTTTATCGAAATTTATTAATAAAATTATTTGGATTAATATTATTAATTTGATTATTTGTAAAACTTATTTACACGTTTTCCCACTTAGTTATTCCAAAAATTTTTGAATTTCATTCGAAAATAAAAAAGAACATTCCAAATATCTTTTTTATTATCATTTTAATTCTTCATTTAACTGTCATTTAGAATTTCGTTTAGTATTCTACACAATAAAAATGTAACATCTGAAAGTGCTATATGCACATTTTTTCTCTTCTATTTTTGTCAATTAAATATTCTTTCTTTTTTGATTTATTATTCTTTTCTTATTTCATTTCAATCATCCCAATTTTTTCATCTTTTTTCTTCTATTTCAATCATTCGTAATTTTTCAGTTAATCTTGCCAAATGATATATATAAGATGTATTTTACATGAATAACTTGATCATCTAAGATGACATGAATAACTTGATCATCTAAGATGACATGAATAACTTGATCATCTAAGATGACATGAATAACTTGATCATCTAAGATGACATGAATAACTTGATCATCTAAGATGACATGAATAACTTTAGCATTTAGGAACTGTTAATGAATGGTACTAATATATGCAATGAAAATATGTGAGAAAGAAATAACAGTAAAACGAATTAAGAGGATTAAGCATCCCGACAAAAGTAAACTAATTGAAAGTAAATAAATAAATTAGCAAAGAAATTTCACTAAACTTAAAAAAAAATTTCCTTCAGTCTACGATATTTCTAACATAATTTTCCCATTTTTTTTCCATTATTTTCTTGTAGTATTCGTTTAAATTTATATGAAAATCTATTCAACTCATTTGCTGAAGTTAGTTTCATTTCTGGATATCTGAGCAATGGAAATGTATCAAATATCGAATATATGATAACAGCAGTAAATATAATTTGCATTCATTTTCATTAAGTGTTTCACTGTTGAATTAAATGAAATAAAAAAAAAAAAAAAACAAAGAAATGGTAAATAAATAGAAGCAAAAAGTAAACAAATGAATTTATAGCAAATAAAGTTACATTACAAATGTATTTTATATTTACAAAATAATACAGCTAGTAGTATTTTTAAAACCCATAACTAAACCAAACTTTTCACTGTTTTCTATTATATTATGGCATATTACAGTAACAATGTCTGTGTTGTTACTAAAGTAATGATACTCTTGTAATATATTTTTTTGTAGCTTTTAGTTATGATATTAGTCTTGATATGGAAACTATATTCATAATCCAAATTATATTTATTATAGTTACTGCTAATACTTACTGACTTTTCATGAACCAATGTGAACGGTAATTTTATCCAAAATAACAAAATCAAAAAATTATGGATTCCTTTTATTTAATTTAAGAGAAATGAGAGGTGAATTAATTGCAGCACTTACGATAATATGAAAACTCCAAATTCTGATTGATTCATAATATCACAACTCTAAACTCTGGCTGATTAAATTTAAGTTTGATCACAAAATTTCAAATGCATAAAACTTCACACCAACGTTATTAATATTTACTACTTAGAGATGAAGCAGACAAAATATAAGAGTAAGCCATTTGAAGAGATAGAAAACCAGTAATTGTTGAATTCTCCTTCTTCATAATTTCTGTTATTTCCGAATTTATCAACCAGATCTAATGGAATGCAATACCGAACAGAAAAGAAAAGAAGAAGAGATGGGGAGAGGACAAGGAGGAAAAGAAAGAAAGAGATGAGGAAATAGTTCGAGGATTTACTATTAAAGATTTGTAGCGGAATAGTTTGAGGAATTATTCCGATTAAAATTTTTATTTTTATCCTTAAATTTATTCAAGGAATGATGAATAACTGGCATGTTTTCATGAATTTTCATCCTTTTCTCACTCATCTGTCCCATTTCGGTATGTATTTGACCATTTTACCAATTAAAAACTAACAAATCAAATTTGAAAGAAAAAAAAATGAATGTTTAACGAATTTACACTTTTAAGTAGTAAATAACTGTTCAAAAATTACTGTTTGGTCAAATTCTTGAGGACAGATTTTTTTCCTTTCCTTCTTTCTCTCTTTTGTGATTGAGAAAGTTGAATTGATGGGAATATTTAGGATGAGAGATATTTTATAGAGAATTAGGAACAAAACTGTTCTAACTTTTCCAATCTACTGTTTAGAATTTCGTCAGGGAATACCACAAAATGTACTATTATGTTAGACATTTAATCATTATTTGATCATTTTCAACTTATCACGATGTCATATCACATTTAATTTTAAGACATCAAAATTAGCTTATCAAATAGTTGCATAAGCTATTTGTTACATCGTAATTTTGTTTCCCTCCGTCTCTCTCCCCTGTCTCCCTACCCTGAATTAGTTTTCACTATAACAATAAGTAATCTCTTATCAGTCTTTCCTGAACAATGAAGAAAGTTTGAAAAAACTGTCCTAATGTTTGATAGATAAACAAATAGATAATATTAACATTCATTTACACTTTTCATTACTTTTTATATTATTTATCGGTGTCTTAGGAACAAATTTATCATTTATGTTTCCATTCATTTGTTCTAGTTATAATTTTTATTCCTTTATTCATTTTTTTAAATCAAATGTCTTTTAAATAATAAAATTTCCACATCAATTTCAGGATCGCAGAAATTTTTGTAGAAGTAAACAAAAGCTTTGAAGAACGAAATAGCAATAAATGCAACGATGAGCACAACCGATGGCACTAACATTAGTAAATAGTTAGTTAGTTATTACATTAGGCAAATTGGAATTAAAATTTGGAGAAAAAAATACATTACTAATTTTCTTTGCTAATTTTTTACAAGTTAAAGATAATTCAGTGAATTCGTTTACTGATATCGTCAGTTTTGAGATTGAGTATGTAACCCGTGCATATTTCAATTAATAAATTAACTAAAAATCAGAAAAAAAGATGATAAAATTATCTGTAAATATTACACATATTTTCATTCATTTAGCGCAAAAAACAATCAAATGCTCTCATCGTTTGCTGGTTTTCGTCGTTTTTTGCCGACAGATAAATCAGTGAAAGGTATCGTTATTGGTGGATTTACCGGTGGTATCGAAATATGTATTACATTTCCGACTGAATATGTTAAAACGCAGTTACAATTAGATGAGCGTTCAGCACATCCAATTTATAAAGTTAGTTTCTGTTTCATTATGTCTCAATTTGCTGATTGTCTCACTCTATTTTCTTTTTCATATTCCCACTGTAGAAGTTAATTTTTAATGGGAATTTTTTATTGGATAGATTCTTAAATTACCATATGAGATATGGTAATTTAAGAGTTACTTTTACTTTAATCTTTTCAGGGTCCGATAGATTGTGTTAGGAAAACGGTACAGACTAATGGGTTCTTTGGCTTGTATCGCGGATTATCTATATTAATCTATGGTTCAATTCCAAAATCAGCTCTTAGGTATAATTTTTTTAGGTATAATTTTTTTAGGTATAATTTTTCTCTTAGGTATAATTTTTTTTTTTTCTTTAGGTATAATTAAATTTGCTTCTTTCCATGCTTAAAATAGGTAGTAACAATATTTATCTGTTTACATTTTCAGGTTTGGAACATTTGAAACTTTGAAAGGATATGCCGTTGATTCGAATGGTAATCTTACACCGATGTGGAGACTCTTTTGTGGCTTTGGTGCAGGTAAAAGGTTTATATACTCAAGTAGCATTCAAACGGATATTGATGTGGTATCTTAATGTGTGTTTCGAGGATCTTTAAATGGTTTGGGAGAGGAAAAACATTGATGAAATTTGAATCCAGTTTTCGGTTTAAGAGGATTTAAGATAAATAATTTTTCACAGGTCTTTCGGAAGCAATATTTGCTGTTACACCAATGGAAACAATTAAAGTGAAATTTATTCATGATCAGCAGTTGGCTAAACCAAAATTTAAAGGTTTTTTCGGTGGTTTGAAGACAATCTTGCAAACTGAAGGTTTCCGGGTTAGTAAATATTTTTTCCTTATACATTTCATGAGTATTGTAGATGTATTATTTTCCGTTATTTCAAAATAATCATATTCATGTTAGAGAAATATTGCAGGGTCTATATCAAGGTGTTACAGCTACAATGGCAAAACAAGGTTCTAACCAAGCAATTCGATTTTTTGTAATGGAAACTTTGAAGGATTGGTAACAGTGTTTATCATTGCATATTAATTTTACATTTGTTTTAAATCTCACAACAACAATGAATTATTGGAATTAAAATGTTCATATTTATTAATGCTTGCTATACTAAACGCTTGTAATAATGCATCTGATATTAATGCTAGGTATCGTGGCGGGGATAATTCAAAGACGGTTAGTAAACCAGCTACAGCGCTATTTGGTGTATTTGCTGGTGCATGTTCGGTATATGGTAACACACCGATTGACGTTGTAAAAACTCGGATGCAAGGCTTAGAAGCTAAAAAATACAAGAATACTATTAACTGCGCCTATCAGATTTTGAAAACTGAAGGATTCTTCGCGTAAGTTCTAATTTTAGATAAATTGACATGCTTGTCAATTGAATGAGTTATCCCAAGCAACAGATACTCTAAATTGGGTAGATATCACACAGAAGACATTTCGAAGCTGCATTAAATTAGAGCTTTATTTTGATTTGTACTATAAGCTTCTGGACTTAACCACATCTTTTTATAACAGCACTGTATTTAGAAAAGATGAAAAGTAAAAAAATATCTCGGCAATACATGTTTCATATTATCACTATTTGTATTTCTGGCATATTTTTCTTTTCATTGTTACGAAGTCAAATTTCCCTTTAGAGATTCATTTTAGATTTTACAAGGGTACTGTACCTCGGCTATGTCGCGTCTGTCTCGATGTCGCATTAACATTTACTTTATACGACTCGATCATGGAATATGCCAACAAATTATGGAAAACTTAGCATGATTTTCTAATCCTTCTTTTACACTGTACACTGTAACCTTGCTTGCACATTTACTACGATGGGAGATTGAAATCCTTCAAATCAAAAATCATGAAATCGGTTGAAAATGGGTACTAGGATTTTAAACTGGAGCTTCATCCTGCAATCACGTGACTCCTCCGTATTTTGATTTATGGATTTCATTGTTTTACTTCAAAGTCGTTAATACACAGAGATTGTTCACTTCAAAGCTTTTTATTGTTTTTTCTATGTCAGTCGTAATACTTGAACTTATCTGGACAATGCCATTCCATAATGATCAGCATGACACAATTTAAATTGTATTACTTTGTGAAATTTCTCCAATTTCTAAAGGATTTATATGTAATAAAATGCATACAATCTGACGTCGCAGTCTTTTCTTTATTTCACAACATAAATTAAAGAAGAATTAATGAAAGAAAAAGCTATGAGATGAACAGAAAAAAGAAAAAATATATTAACTGAAAGTTTTTCAGCAAATACTTTGTTAATTATCTGTCGATAACAGCTTAATTAATAGCATATATGGGAATTTGAATGCCTAGTGTAGGATGAATTTAATTTTAAAATTCGAGATCATATAAATGCGGACAATGTACTAAGTTGTATTATAAAATTTATAGATCAGAAAAAAAAGCTTTGGTCATCTTTCCTATTTCGAATCTAATTGAATCCTAAACCTTTGACATAAAGGGTTTCCAAAATACTACTACAACAAACATTAGAGAAAAAAAAAAAATGAAAATCAATAAAATTCATGGACGTGTGTTGAAAGATGTTTGATCGCCAGTGAAACTGTATGAGATCCAACAATTCTTATCGTTACTTTTTCGAACAGCTCTGCAAACCATATTGCTAGTACGTGCGGACACTGAAATACTCCAATGAATTACGCTGCCATAAGATGATTCAGTTTTGCTAACTTAATACAATAATTAAATTGATATTCTTTGTTTAATTTGCTGTTCTCGCATCACTCCTTTATTTCTCGATTACCTTATTACGATGTTTTATAATGATCTGTTTTTGAACTAATCTAAGCTACATGTCGTTAGTCTAATGCCTTAATCTTAAGGATCATAATTTGTCATAAGATTAAATCATTGTATTGTGCTAATGTAATTCATAAGCGTCACTTTACTTAATTACAGTATGAACTTTTTTGTCATTTGCGAAACTATGTTTAAATTACTAACCTATTTTATGCAAATTTAGCATTCCAGAATCTAACTCTTAAAGCTCTAATGTAATCTTTTCCTGTTTTTTTTTTTTTTTTTGAATCATTCTTTACAAACAAAAATAATCAATAATAAATATATCAAATTGGAACAGCATAGAAATTAGGATAATAAAACAAAACATTGAATTTGCGTAGATTTACGGAAACACTTGACGAAAACACAAACAAAATTACAAGATAATTCCTTAAAATTACACAACAAATTATTGTAGTTCTATGATGGTTCATTATTTCTGGATCCATCCCATTCAAAATATTTACACTTCTCAGGATTATCCCGACCTTTCGAGCATGCCCAGAAAGCACGACCATGATTTGGGCCCTAAAAAATAAGCAAATTTTTTACACACCAACTACATGGACTGAAATATTAGAGTGATTCATTCTCGATTTCATTATCCGGCATTGAAATGCGACCGTCATGATTGGAAATATCATTCCTAAACTGGGAATACTTTTTACTTCATAGTTTACCTAGAAGCAGTAAGTAATTTTATTGAATTACTGATCCCATTATTAAAATTCTAGAAATTACCTCCTTCTTAACGATCAGACGTTTAGCTGCTAGTCCACAAGAACACTGTCGTTTCTGTACAGATCTAACTCGTTCTCTACCGCGACAAACACCTGCACTGGTGATTGCCTTTGTTCGACCTCGTGTTCCGCTATTTGAATGCAATATAGAGAGGGCTAAATGAAATTTAGAAGTTCCCTCAATATTCCATTAAGTTTCATAATTTAAAGTATAGCATCAACACTACATAAAACACGTTCATGGCTTCTAATAAATTCACTACAACTTGGGACATATATAGGAATAAATAGCTGCGCATATGTAGAAATAAATCCATTTAAAAGTACCAGTTAATCTACTACAAAATTTTCTGATTATTCTAATATAGTAAAAATCAAAATTAAATGTTTTTAAGATTAAGCGAAACACAATTTTAATAAAAGAAAAATTTCCGGAAAGTTACAAGCGAAATGAAAAAATACATGAAAGAAGTTCAATGTCACTAGCATTGGTTGTTGCCAGTTGTTCCTCATTAACAACCGTCCTCGAAATTGATCGGCTAGCGCCACGGCCTCCGGCTTTGCTATTTTTTCCACGCCTTGTGGAAGAACTATTTCTTGGTGTTAAAGGAGCACGACTAGTTACTACACGCATGTTATTGGGTAATTCTGGGTTATTGCTTTGCTGTATCGTTGTTTCGGGTAGATTTTCACGCTGATTCAAATACTGGCGCAAAGCATTTGATAACATTTCAACTTTGTCTTCCGCTTGTTCAAATATTTCTCGATATCTAGCGATCTGTTCTTTCAACACATCATCTCTATTTCTGAAAAACGTGTCCTACAAACCGACAAATTTCAAAATATGAAAGAAAGAAAGATAAGCAGCAACATCTTCTTCTCCCACTTTTAATTTAATCAAAATCTTCCAATAATTTAAAGTTAAAAGGACAAATGGCTCCAATCAGTAAGCTAATTCTAGCAATAACCTTTCGAAGACTATTAAAATTAAAGTGCTCAAGAAGAATACAAATTGAAAGGAAAAAAAACCTTTGTCCAAGACAAATAAGTTTCAGTTGAGACTCTAAGTCAGCACGCATATGTGGCTTACTCATTGCATAGCCCATCTGATCATATCCATCAACAAGTGCTAATCCAATATAGCCCGGAATAAAACGTCCATCGTTGTTCAGTGCAGCATACTGACGTGTTTTAATTGTTTCAATGTGTTCCGCATGAGTTGCATCTGTCCCAATACCGTATTTATCCATCAATGCAATTAAATCAGCTACAATAAGAAAGAGTTCATTCCACTAGTAGTGAATCATTTTTAAGATTTTTCTTCTCTTTTTGTAAAATTTATGCGTCATGGAAATTTTAAAATCTTTTATAATAATACCTTCATTAAGTAATTGAGGTGGTTGCGTTTGTCCTTCAGTTATTTGCAATTGATAGCTAGTAATTAATTCATTTTCGCGATAAGAAGGTAAAATTTTATCACTCCATTTGTCATATTTATAAACATTAAGATATCCATAATCCTCAACTATAAGCCCTGATGTCGTGAAATTTTCGTTGCCCACACGAACCTAAATTGAAGGAAAAATTTAAGAAATTTAAAAGTATAATGAAATAAAGCTTACTGTGTAATAGTTCAGTTTACCTGAACTTTAGTTTCTTGTCCTTTTGCGTCAACAGAAAGACAAGCGAGAAAATGTCGCACGATGAATTCGTATAGAGACCATTCCAAGCCAATCAATTCATTTGCTGTAGCAAATTTTAATGGATGAATCGGAGGATGTGCTTCATCAGTTTTCGAACCATTTCTCGGATTTGGTCCACGTACTGCGATCTCAAAAGTGTAGCATATAAATGCATCCTTATAATTAAAGCATTTTTCTGTTGTGTGCTGAAAATGAAGTATGCATGGGAGAGCCTTCTAGAATGTAGGTGTGTGTAATAGTGTGGTGATTACAGTGAACGAGAATATTCGTTATCAATATAATAATGATTTTGAAGAATATAGATCTATTTTGTGTCTTCTTTAAATCTCTTTGGGACATCTATTGCAATTTTTCAATCGTCTAAAATCTAGAACTAACCTCCTGCGCAAAGTCTCCCCATTCACCGCTTACTGTTTGTTGCTGTACGTAAATGTTCAAATTCATATCTTTCGGAAACTTATTTGTTTCTGTACGTGGATATGATATATATCCTAAAAGGAAAACTTTTAAATTGAAGCGCAGATAAAAACGTAACGCTTCAGCAAATTAAGATAATGTAAAGAAACGAAAATGTGAAGAAAAAATGATTTGATTCCTCAAAAAGCAAATAAACTAATAAACACCTTTATTATATAATCTCTCGGCCACAACCATTGTCTCTTTGGCGCTGAATTTTAATTTCCTAACAGCTAATTTCTCAAGTTCAACTGTATCGAGAGCAACAGGCCTCCATTTACTCTTCGGCTTTGTTATTACCGACAAAACTCGAGCTTCTCCTGCTTCTTCACAATCGTCTAGAAGTACCTAAACATCATACACCGTTGAGCTGTATAAATTAGTTTCAATCTTTATGCTCCAAAAAAAAGAAAAAAAAAATGAAGACAAGTCTGATTATTAAAATAAAACACAGTTTCCACTGCTGACATCAATTACAAAATGCAGTGAGATTTCCCACTTACCTGGACAATGTTATGATCAAAAAGCCTTTGACGATCCCAAAAAAATTCAACTAGAATGTCGTCTCGCATATGTTTCATGGAAATTTTCCAGAATGTTTCCGAAATGAATTCTTTGATGGCTTTGTAACGCTCCACAATGAATCCCAATGTTGGAAATTGACATGAACCATAACTGACAATGTTTTTATCTCGAAATATGCTGGTGAAATTATTCCTGGAACTTATCAAAGTTAGAATATTTAGATATAATCACTAGTAGCCAAATGCAACTGAAACAAAAAAGAGACCTTAAATGAAGTGTTTGCAGGCGCGTAAATGCTGCACCAATTCGTAAGTCCAATTCTGAACTGAAATTTTTTCTGATAAAGAGAAATTCATTAGAAATATTTACAAATCCTAGTGAAGAAAAAGAAAATTGAGTAAATCTGTTAGTAATCATGAAGAAATTTATATCTGAAACAAATTACAAATAGCGAACCGACATTCAACAGCATCCACCAATCGTTGATCTATTCTAACCAAATTATTCAGTGCACGATTAACAGCTGCACTTGTAATTTCAGAAAATCGAGCTCGATAGACGTCTAAATTACGATTAACCTGAGTGCATACAGAAACCACTTCAGCTCCTATAGCTTCACCTTCTCGATCACAATCGGTCCATATGACAAGTAACTGGAGTAATCAAAATAATTAATATCAAATATTTAGGAGTAGTTAACCGCTAAATATCTTTACATTTCCTAAAACAGTACTCAACTTTTTTAATTCGAAATTATTTACAGCCAGACAATTCAGAATGTAATCGACGAGGAATACCAAAAAAGAACACTGCTAACAGTAAATAATACATTTAAAACTTACATCAGATTTTTGTATCTCTTCTATTAATGTAGCCCTGACATCTTCCATTCCCGGGATAGTACTTTTCTGGACATTTACATCGAATAGCACTTTTATTGGAGTCTCAGTCCAATTTTTGAAGGATGATGGGAAGTCATGCTGAAGCAAATGGCCAGAAACACTTGTCATCGCAACATGACAACCTGGGTTTTCTGAAGTAATTTGTATATTATAATATATAATATTCATTTGATATTTACTTTCTCTCAATTTCTTTCATCCATTTTGTTAAAAAGAAATTCCAAGGCATTTGTTTCCCTATAATTGTTGTTTTTTTCGTTTGTTTTTCTTTCGTATTTTTTTTAAAATGTCCATATAATTCCATTTCTCCATGGCAACTAGGAACGAAGAAAAAAACGAGACCTAAATATAAATATTGAAATTTATCATTATACAACCATATGTCAACATAATAATCAAAATAATGTCATACATCAATGATATGGTGTAACAAAGACACGAAAAATATAAATTGATTGTAAAACATAAATTGATCGAAAAAAAAAACTTACGGCCTACATTTGCAGTAAACTGATAAATTTTATTGAAACGACTACGACCATCACGTCGTGTTGAAGTACCACGTGATAATATCGCCGCAATGCTCTTGGCTGCATCATTTTTTTCGGCTACAAATAAAGCACGCATAGATATATTCAATCTGAAATTTATTAAAAAAGAAAGAAATTCATGAAAAAACATATATTATTGTTAAAATTATACTAGGCTACCCAACGAAATCTAACACTTTACAAATATTATTAAAATCTAAAAAAAAAAATCCTTATAATGTTGTGCCAAACTCTAATGTACCTGTCAATATTCCCGATTCTCTTGCCTTTTTCATAAATTACCATATCCTACAACTACCGGTTAGCTTGCTACTCAGTTATTTTTATACAATATTACTTCATGTAAACATATTGTTTCACGGTTGCTACGGATGAACATCACTCTTTTGCAAAGAAAAATTGATCACTGAAAGTTTAAATCGCTCCGTGTTTTTCAAATCTATCCCAACATCAGCTACTGCTCTCGCATATAGCTCCATATAATCAATCATAAATTGCATATATAATATATTCAATAAAAGCAGTTATTTCTTCGTGCATGTTCCAAACAATGGCAATTTTCATCTCTTTAAAAACAAAAATAAAAATAATTGTACCCGCATTAAAGATAGAAAAGAAAAAACACAGGAATAAGAAATTAATAAAGAAACAAGGTAAAGAATTATGATAAAAATAAACAGTAAAATGACAAGATAAAATTGAAATACATGAGAGAATTATTTAATAAAAACAATTGTTAAGTTTCATATTGACGTAATAAATTGTGTATACAAAGATCACTTGTATATAACAAAATACTAAATACGATGGAATACAAATAATTAACTTTGTTTGATCTAGTTGATCTGGAAAAATATGATTTTAATAGTTCTGTTTTGCTAGCTTTTCTTTTACTTTAATCTGCATGATAAGAAATTATTCAATTCAAACAAATCTTTAAATAAATGGTAACTTTAAAAGTAATTCAAAGCACAACTTACCGTAAACGATCGCTGCCGTTTGATAACTGAAAAGAATAGTCATTACAAGACAATAATTATTAATTTGCAATACCTCAAAGGTGCCATTGCAAAAAAAATCCGTCATTATGGACAATCTTTTTATACAACACTAAATTTTTTAGAACCCTCCTCCATTTCAAGTAAAATTTACATTTTATTAAGTGCAGCTAAGTCTAATATGTCCATACTTAACGGTACTTCATCAAAGCATTACGAAAATATTTTCAAAAAATCATTTCTATTATAAAACTTTTACATTTTCTCTACGTGTTTAATAATGATCGTAAAAAAATCCGCTTGACAAAGCAATAAATCTGTTATTCATTACGATAAATGGATGCCTAATTTGTGTTTATCTAAGAAAATTCACCAACTTATTGACCCATTTTTTCTCCTCAAAAAAAAAAAAAAAAAATACTATAATCGATCTTATACTAGACACACAATTGATAAGCAACTGGTTAGATTAACATACCTTCCTGAAGAAAGAATGAACAGTGACAATAATTTACCATTGGGAGACAAGTATAAGTACATTGGGAATGTGTCCCAAATACCTAGATAAAAAAGTACAGCTTGTCAAAATCACGATATATTAATATAATTTAATGTTTTTTCTTAGTGTAGAAATATTTTCTTGTTTCCTCTTTTGTCTCCGTCAACAATATCCAAATAATACTTTTATTTAAGCATCTTTAAACTTATAAGTTCAACTTCTATCACTGAGCCACAAAGACAGGCAACTTTTCATCTTTTTGTCATTCATACAACTTACTTCGTATATACTCCGACCATGAACAGGATCTTTGAGCAAGCAAACATTGCCGTTATCGGCTAGAGATACCGCTTCTAATACAATGCTTCCAAAGCATTGGGAAATCCTGCAAGAGAAAAAAGAAATGATATATTAAAGATCAAAACACTATCATCTTGTTAATGAGAACTGTACAATATGATTGTGTTGTTTTGAACTTCGACTATTTACTTCTTGCAGAATACAAACAAATGAGTTTATCCAACTTACGGTTCTAAAACATCCAAAAGAGGCTTTGAGTTTGAAGGATCACTTCGATATTCCATAGCTCCCTTCGCAATATATGAAGACATTTCGCGCATTATCAGCCGAATTCGTGATGCTTGTAATAGACGATTCGTTTCATTGTTTAATTTACTCAAACCATCCATGCAAAGGAACTGCCAAACAAAAATGCTCCTTCTGAATCATTCAAAACAAAAAGCTACTTAGAAAGCAAGGATAAAAAACTGTAATTTATTGATTAAAAGTTAGGATATATGTTTTTAAACAAAAAAAAAAAGATAATTTCTGTACTGAAGCCGATGCATTCTATAATATGAAGTAAGTTTGGGAAATCAAGCATTAATATCATAATATTTTGTTGGGCTTCAACTTCTTAAGGAAAATAAAGTGTCAAATTCTAAGGAATTACATTTTATTGAAATAAGTAAACATACAGACATATACAAACTGAGCATAAACTATAAACTTCTGACTGAGCAATTTCAAGACCTATAGATCTATAAAGTAAGCAAAGGAAGAACGGGCATATCAACTGATTGTCTGTTATCATCACGGCCTTGCATTTCATCATTCGTTTTCTCTTCCACCTATAACAGGGTATTACTTTTTTCAATCAACACGGATAATAAATTCAAAATACGGATAACAACAGTGATCATAGGTGTCGCTATCTCTCTAATTCCCTAAGGTATTACTTTTTTTCAAGTCAACATTATTATCAACCTTCAAAAGATTATTTATTCTCATTCTTTAAGTAAAAATAATAGTTTATTTCACAATTCTCATTCATTCTATAACAGCGTGAAGTGTTCATATGTTCAAAATATCTTGAAGTCGGAACTTACCACATTTTTATTTTCTATTTCTACCGGAGAGATAACATAATGGTGGTCTATTTTTTCACTTTCTTCAACGGTACCCATTTCAATATCATCAGTGGTAACGATAAACTCATCTTTCCTATATCGTGATCTTCGTTCTCGTGGTCCTTAATGAAGGATATTTCAAAAGAAATTATCTTGTTAATTCTCGTTAATCTATTAATGTTATTTAGAATAAATAACCTAATAAAAGCAAAAATATTCCTTATTCCATTCTATCCACTTGGTTTGATTTTTTGCTCCTACATTATTCATGCTAGATAGTGTACAGTGTTCTACTAATGAAACAAAAGAATTCTCAAATAACATTCTTCAGTTCCTGTCAGAAGTTAAAAGGAACTTTTCCGGGAAAATCATACCTCGCCTTTCTCCTTCTCTAACATGATTGTTAGTAATATGACGGTCAAGATTACGTTTAGTAATGCAGCAATATGAACATTTTGGACATGAATACGGCTTTTCACCTGTGTGTGCTCTGAAAAAATAATCATGAACAAATAAATTTACAGCTTGACAGTAAGTGAAGTATTTTCTCAAATATTCAGCTTTATAAAAAAGTCACAGTGATCAACAGTAATAAAAATCAGTATTTCTTTTTCAAATTTAAGCAACCCTTCAAGACTTTCTTGCCTGATGTGAACTTTCAACGCAGATGTTGTTCGGAATCGTTTTTGACAGTATGTACAAATAAAAGGCAATTCACCAGTATGTATCCGATAATGGGTACCAAAATTATGCCTATAAAGTATCAGACCACATGCAGGACATTCCATTTTCGTCCGATAAATATCATCATTGTTAGTATTCGCTAGTGCCCCAATTATTTTCCTTTTAGAATTGGTTGCATTAGAACCAAGAGCACCTAAATCGATTTATTTATTTTTTTCCACGGAATTTAGTTCCACGAATTTGTCATCTCTAAACCAGAAATAATCCCCACGTTATATAATCAAATCGACTGAAAACACTCTAATGGTTCTCGAAAGAAATTGACAGAAATTGAGAAATGGATAGACTGCGCAGAAAGCATTTTTATATTTCATGGAATTTTAAGAAAGTGAAACCTTGCGACCCATAATAGTAGCCATCGTTTCCACTAATAACTCCATTGCCTTCTCGCCCACACTTTCTTTCAATCGATATATAAATTTTCAGTCCACTAGGACTTTCTAATATTCGCGCATTTTCTAACTCAAAAGGTATTTTCTGGAGCCTGAAATAAATGATTTTGTTTGTCCAACTATCCCATGAAATGCTGAAATTGACTTGTGAAATACTTAAAACTATTTCTAAAAAACTTCACTCTGCAACAGTTATGTATGTAAACCTTTCGGAAGATGACCAATATCGTTGCTCCAAGTGTGACGTAGAAACGAATGAAAGAGGTACTGCTTTTGTCGTTCCTGTCGGTACTGTTACCTGTGTCTTTTTAAATCGCGAACATTCTACTTTACATTTTGCTGAAAATGAAAGAGTTGTCAACCTTGAGGAGCTCGCTGAAGCATTCGTCTCGGGTATCAATATTGGTGGATCATCTCCCTGTAAACAAAAAAAAAAGAATTTGAAAAAAAAAAAATAGTTAATGGATTCATTAAAAAATACTTTGAAATTTAACTTGAAAAACTTATATCTGCCATAATCATTTAACCTGCAAACAAAGTTTTTATCTTAAATATTCACCTCTATAAAAATTATTTGTGGACAGAAAGCCACTACTGTTAAGTCAAGATAAAATTACCACAGTTCTATTAATTTCTTCCTTTATTCCTAAAACCCTTCACCTCTCCGTCTAAAGTCTTGCAGAACAAATATACCTTAGCCGTAATTCCGGCATGTGTAGTAGCATCGAAAACAGCAGTTGATTTTGTAAGCGATGGCATATTCGAAAACACATTGACCGCTTCATTTTCAAATGATTCAATAATGCATATTTCCGAATGTAAATATAATTCCTGCACCGTTTGAAATCGTTTATGACATTCAGTGCATAGCAGTGGATGACGAGAATTTCGAGTTTGAATGTGGGTAGATTCACATTGTTTACCCGATTCAGGCATCTTAAAAATAAAGAAGAAAATTCTCGAATTGACAGCTACAAAGACGATAGAGTCACACATAATGTTAACAATCATGCATATCTCTAGCTAGTATTAAATTTTTAAAAGTTTTATAATAAATTCTGCAAGCGCTAAAACAATCTAATTGCAGTAATTAAATTCATGTATCTGCATTGCTTCAATAATTTCTCAAACACAGTATTGTCTCTACTTTTTAAACATTCTTTCCTTTACTCAATTTATGATCTGTAGTATTTAGAACGAATATTTCTGGAATCATTCACCAATGTACATATCAGTATATAATTTCCTTATTACGTACATCAATCAGTTCATTCTTACATCTCTCACATACACGAATACAACTCAGACTCTGCGACAAAAACATGCAATGCTTATCTGAAAAATCGTTACAAGAAAACTCTGCTTCAACATCAGCAACAAACATTTCCATACATTACTTCAATTCAGCGCTAATCAAGTAGTGTAAGCATTGTATTATTTCGAATGGTTTATCACCAATCCTCCATAAACATAAAACACTGAAAATTAGATTCATGAAACCGTTACACTTCCTTTTATCATATATGATACAAAATAATTTGTACAATTCTAAGTTTCGCACGAAACAAATGGCATAAATGCACAGCAAATATAAAACAATGCACGGCAAATAAGTTATTTAGCTAATACCGTCGTTAATACCTACTGTTTTATCGCTCCAATAATATGCATAATAAATGGATAGTAATCCACAGAGCCTTTAAAACCAGTTCTTTAATTTAAATTAAATATATGAAGGTTTGAATACATCAGTATTCCATTTGAACTCTACTTGTGGAAGGCGACAGTCTTCTTTCTAGATCTGCATCACCCATATTGTCTAACAATTCACAAAGCATAACATCTCTTCTCCAAGCTTCTCGTCTGGATACTGTCGTCTTCCTGGCTTCATCATAACTACTTCTCCGTTTACTAATTTCAGTTTCCACTGCACCAACTTGCTGTTCTATCGACACACCAACATTCACATCCTAGAAATTTCAAAATCAAGGAAAATTTTCAAATCCAAGAAAGATAAAAACTTTGAACATGAGGATTTGAAAAGTGAATTGTTCACTGTAATCAGATAACTAATAACAGAATCATCATCAGCAAACTGTCAAAATTAAAAATAAAAAAACAATACCTCAACATTAAGCATCGGAGAGGCTGAAAGTACTGGAGGAACTTCATCGATTACCTGATTTAATGCCTCATGACCCATCGCTAAGTAAGTGCGAAAACGGCTTGTAACATCCTAAAAATTATGAAACACAACATGTTAATTATGGAACCTGTTTTCGGAATAACTTCCAATATAAAGGAAATATACCTCAATAGTTTTAATCAATAATCTCATCATCGACTGCAACGCATCTCGTGCCTGCACCGGCCGATATTCATTAATCAGATGATGCATATTGATAAAAAGAAGACGTAGGTTATTGATTTTCTCCAGACGTTCTGGATGATTTGGACACCTTAAAAATAATATTACCATAAGTCAGATTAGACAGACACAAACCCTATATTGATTTCTTTTCCGTGATAACTATCGTTTTTAAGATAGTGTTCCGAAGACAATCTACAAAATCAACCTAGCAATAATAATACATAAACACTGTCATTTGCTCTATCTTGGCACTTCGAGAGAAAAAATACAAAGTGGAAAAACGATGTAGCTGAAGTGACAAACTTAATTTATCACATCAAATTGTGCTTTATTAATTCTTATCCTTCTTTGTTTAATCAGATTAGCCCTTTTTTTCTTGTCTCTTCATTAACTGATTACAATAATCGTTTGCATAGGATGCTTGTTCCTGTTCAAAAAAATATTGCATCGCTAATGTCTCATGGACATGGAATCATAACTCAAAGTTCTAAAGGGCGGCTGATTTTTTCAGCTTTTCTTGGTTACTCTATCACTAATCTGATTCAGAATGAAAAATTTAGGAATAAAATTAGTGCCACTTGGAGCAATCAGAATCAAAGAAATTAAGTCATAGTGTAGTAGTCAGGCATCCGGATCGTTGTCCAACAACTTACCGTATTAGGATATCAAGAAGATCAAGGAAAGCAGCAACTGTACTTCTGTTCAACTTCTTTAACTCACTTCTCCAGTCACCATTACTCGAAAACAGTTGTTGCATTTTCTGCGACTGTAACGACCGGATCATTTCCTGCAACATTAATTTCAGTAACATATAAAAAAGTTAATTTTGCCAGATGCCAAAAGAAAAGACTTCCAATTCAAAAAAAAATGATTTCCAATATCAGTTCGTTTAAAAAAATTCTATTATAACAGGATATCGAAACTTTGAAAAAAAACCAAAAGATTGCAAAAATTGCACAGGTAATTTCACATTCTGAATCATTTGAACAATAATAATTGGTTTAAAGGGAAGCATTTTCAATTCTCATAGAATACTTAAAGTAACTAAACGGAACAAAGAGTATAAGGACTTGTTTAATGGAAAGCAGAAAGTAACACTGGATGAACTAATCATATCATCTCAGTATTATTTCCTTTGAAAAACAAAAGTCATATTTCAAGTCCGCAGGAAAAAAGAAAAAATCGGAAACTTCTTCGAAATTATATTCTTCGCCAAAAACCGTAAATTCGGATGGTACAGGTGGTGGTGGCAATACATTCTTCTTCGCCACATTAGCGTCTGTATACTGACGAGCATATTCCGGTGGTTGAGGAAATGGACTTACACCAACCGGATGACTCGCCATATTCACTTTGTTCGCTTAGTATATCCAATTCTTAGTTGGTTATTAGCTAAAAGCATAATTTATAATACAACTATTCGCACAAACTTGAAATACTGTAGTTGAACCAATCAATAATTGCACTGACATGGACTACCAACACCGATTATTATCAATTCAGAGTCTTACCCTTTCCCTTCAGTTAATCCGGAATTGTTCCTTATTCTTTTTCTTCAATCAATCCGGAATTGTTTCCATCTGATAAAAAATTAAAATTATTATGGTCGTAGCTCGATTCACCTCTTCTACCAGAAAGCAAGTGAAAGTGAGCTATAACATAAAAAGTATCATTGTTGACTGAAATATTGGAAGATATTAGGAGAAATGAGAAACGAGAGAGAAATGGAACTGCTAGAGAGTATACGTTTAGTCATTAGAAAGTCGGAGAGCAAACCGAAAAGAAAGAAGACGGGTTGTATAGCTAAGGTAATTAGTTATTGTAGGGTAGGATGAAATCATTGTGAGGTAGGAATGAAATTACGGATTTGATTATTGTTTTGTTTTCACCTTGTCCAGTATTACCTAAGTCCAGCATGATAAAGAGTGAATAGGAGTGATGAACTGGAAGGAAGAGGTTGTAAGTTTTCCGAGTCGGAAAGTAGAGAATGATTAAGTAAAGGTTTTCGTTTCTGAATTTCTTTTTTATTACGGTGAGAAAGCAGAATTGACAAGGGGAGTGTTAAGTATTGAATTTTTCTGTTCTTCCGTATTAAAAGTTTTGAAGATATGCATCATGTAGTTAATTAGTATTACCTGCCTTTCTCATTCTCTGGATTCTGTTACGAAGTAAAGAACTGGCGCAAATAGTGTGGTAAAATAAGTTAAAATATTAAAATAAAGCATATATGTAAATCTTGAAGTGATGCTTTCTTGCTAACTTTTAGAAATTTTAAGTGAAGCGTTCACAGAATGCAACTAATTGTGCATAACTTGGTATCAATGTAAGTGTTTTTCGTGAATGCAAATGTTAGTAGTAAATTGTATTCTATGTATTTAATATATTTGTTGTAGGAGTATTGTGCAGTGGCTTAAGAGAATTAAATGACTTGAGCAAAAGGAAATAGAATTCTTCTGGATCGGTCATTACCGATAATATTATTGATGAACAGAAGAGAGTCAGTCATCTGACTAATGAACTCTTCTCTTCACTATAGAAAGGATAAATTACCGAGAATTATTACTTTGTAAATCCTTCAGAAGGGCATTGGGACTGTATTTCAATGTTTCAATTATTTAGGAGGGAAAGTGTGAATTACCATTGGGAACGCGGGAGTCAAGAATTTAAACGCTTTTTGTAGCTATGACTATCTGACTTTGAATAGTCTCGGAAGTTTTAAGGTTTAAATGTCCAAAATTTAAGTATTTTTTGGGAAAAAGAAATTCATTCGTTTTTGTGTCTTCATTTCTTTTCATTCTTATTGCTTTTTCTTTTTCATCTTTACAACTAATTTTTAAACGAATTTTATAATTTTGTAAGATTTTAAACTATAAATAATGACTGTAGTACTAAATTTTTGATTCATTGAATGGGAATATCGTTCTCATAATTGCAAAATTTAAATATTAAAAATGATCGAACTTGATGCATATTACAATTCACTTCATTGCAGTATTAAAATGTCCTTTAAATTGTAGTTCCCAGATAAGTAGTAGCTAAATAGTTAAGTATTCATACAAAGACCCAGTAATAAAAAAATCTCTCGGAATTTCCGAAAACAGTTTTATATTTTGATTTTGATTATGCTTAATCGTTACATTTCGGCATAATATGGCTAGGTTGGGTCTTCTAAAGGATTCCCTTTTTTCTTTTCAAAATTAATTTGGACATTTTCTAATTTAAAAAGGTAGGAAGAACTAAAGTGTAGGATATATTTTTACTTTCATAAATGTTTTCAATTATTCTCACTCTTCTCCACAAGACTACATGAATCTGCCAGCTGATTTGGAAAGCAAATATAGCACAGTTGGAAAGATATAGATAAGATACACATTACATTTATTACTTGAACAAATCTTTACTAGCAAATTCGGATTCTGGATTTCATTGAAATTTAGATTATAAAATACTCCAAAGAGGCTATAACCTTTGTTCGTATTCTTTTTATTATACATATTAATGTTTCAACTTCTACGTGATTCATCTTATCGTTATTTCAGGCTTCAGTTGACGTTGGCACATAACGTTGATATCAAAGTTGACATATAACGTCGAAGACAATTTAATTAATTATGATCACTTTATTATTTTAGGCTGTTATTAATATTAAATAGCATTCTATATGTATATGAATTCCCAAAGTTATATTCAAAATTTGTTAAGCCTTTTTTCTATGAAACTAGAACTTGTACTAAAATTAAATTTTATACTAAACATTGAAATTGAATTTTCTAAAATTAAAAACTCATTTGCATTATTCCGTTTCATTACTAATCTTATCAATTCTTATAGATTTTTTCTTATTTAGCAAATGAAGTAATACTGACTAATGTTCTTTATCACTCAACAATCCAGTGGGAATAAAACAAATTTGTAAAGAATTCAAATAGGTTGGTACAAAGATTTCACCATACCACTGATCATTTGGGTAACACTGCTAACCGATCTGAACAATGTCCAATGTTCAGGGTCCATTTGTTCTATCTACTCTCTTTCCATTTTTTCTTCCTCATTCTTTCACAGTTTAAATCAGAAATTGAACAGATAATTTAAAAAAAAGGCATAACTGAAAGAAAAAAAAGACATCCTTTTTGTTTCTTTAAGGAAAATAATTTTCAGCGATTGAAATAACAATCTAATGTATCGGAATATTTGTGTCCAAAAAAAATTATCTTTACACTTCTCTTTCATATTAATTGATTTTAGTCCTTTAAAAAGGACAAGTAATGTTTACACAAAGAATAAACCTATTATGATGGTATCGAACACTATTATTAGCATTATCATCATCGTTGTCTTTGTTGTTGCTTGAACGGCCTAAAGATGGAATTGTTATGCTTCATGCACGGTAACTACGATCGATACTAACAGTTGACTCCATAGCGAGGGCTGGGCTGTGAGTGAGTTGTAGTTGTCTTCGCGACGAGAAGGGATGAGTGACGTTGACCAGAGTAGTAGTATGGTTTGTTTTATTGTCACTCATTTTTGTATTTTGAAGAAATTAGGATAAGGAAAAAAGGTATTTTATTATTCGTAAATTCTTCAAAATTGTTCATTTAGAAGAATTCTATCGTACAATAATTGCATCAGTTCAATTTAATTCGTTAGCTGTCTTTGATAATATTTAGTTCAGCTAATTGTCTTTGATAAAATAATTCTCTGATGATTTATACATCTACTAAGTTAGTGAAAATGTAATATTTATTTTATAACTATCGATAGAAAAAGGGAAAGGTCAAAAGAAGTTAGAGAAAGAAATTGTTTTGTTTGTCATTGATTAAATAATCATAACTTTTTCATTTTTTTTTTCTTTCATATTTCACTTTTTCTCGAGAAATATGTTTTGGTAAAAAAGGTAAGTAGAAGAAAGGGAAAGAGGGAGTGATAAAGATGAGAAGTTATGATTTGATTAAGCTATGCAGATTAGCTTATTGATACATATGTCTCAGATGTGAGTGATGATTATAGGAATGAGGGAGAGGGAGCAGGGAAGAGGAGAGGTCAGTCATAGAGACATTGATGTTGCGTGAAATGTTAGTAAACACTAATAGCAGCAGCAGCAGCAGTAGTAGTAGTATGGCAGTAGGGCTAGCGTGAGATTCTCTCTCCTCTCATCTTCTCTTCCTGCTTCTCCAACATTTCTGTCCTAACTCTTTCATCGAGATTTCTCTTTTCCTAAAAATTTCCTTTCCAATTTCTCATTTGCCATCATCATCTAATATATCTTTTACAAAAATTTTAGGCATAATTTTGAAAGACGAGAGATATTTATTAAATCCACTGCGTTTTCTCGTACACTTATCTTTTAATTGCTGATTTTCATCTTTTTTTCTTTTTCATTTCCTTTGTATAACTTGCAATCGTTCTTTCTAATTCCTCTACCAAATAACATTTTGGTTTCTTCGTTGTAAATATTACTGCATAAATTGTCTTGACAATAAAAGTATGTAGTTTAGTTTATCATCCGTTATTTCTTCTTTCTTCTTGTTTTACATACATCTAAAAATTACGGTCGTTTAAACAAGTGGATAAAGTAAGTAGAGTGCTTGTTTTGTTAATTTAATCGTTGAATTAATTAATTAAATGATTACGAAGAATGTATAGTAAGAAAAATTTAGTTTTCTCTACTAAACAATTAAGTCAGTATAAGTAAAGAGCAAGGAGGGTTTAATTGATTTGCTTTTTTTCTTTTTTTTTTTTTTTGGATGGTAGCTGTACTTTTAAATGTCTCAAAAATCACATACGAATTGAATTGGCCGTTCTTGAAAGCATTAGTAGGAGTGGTATGAAACCGAAAATTTTACAGATTCTTGCATTTGATTTTGAAACATTTGAAGAGAATCCTACTGAATTGGTTGTTTTTGTGAACATGTTTCACGTATGGACGTGTTAATAATTTTATTGACATCTAATGTCATCAGTACATAAATTTTAATCGATCTTTTTCTTTTTTGCTACATAATATAAAGTATCACATGTTTGCATGTTTTCATTGCATCTTCATATGTCTTCTGTACCCTACGTGTTCTACGTGTTAATTTTCACTGATCTCAACAAAAATTGTTAATAATTTTATTGACATCTAGTGTCATCAAAATAACTTTTTTCTTATCATCGTTTCATTGCGAATTGACATACTTATGTTTTTATTGCGTGTGAAAATCTCCTTTTACGAGCTTTTTTAAAGGTGTATTTTGTTTTGCTTATGCAAGAATAGATGGATCGTAAAGCATGTTTTAAGCAGTCGAATGACGATCATGGCGATAGTAAAGAAACAATTGACAGACTTGTAAAGGTATCTTATCGTGTTTCTTACTTTCTTGTTTGAATAATATTAATACAATTGCAATAAGAGTGTGTTGCTATCGTTAGCTTTCTTTCCTGTTATTTATCTTCTCTATTTGTGAGTTGGAAAAGATTTCTGGCATCGAAAGTTGGGGGATGGAAGGGAAATGGGGCTATCATAACAGGTGATTTATGTATTTTAAAAAAAAAAAATAAAAATCACTTCACGAGTTTGTATTTATTAGTCAACTCCAACTGTAATTTGTACAAATTAAATAAAGACACAAATTTTTGCTTCGGAAATTATGATAAATGATGATGAAAAGGGAAAATGATTTTCAAAGTGAATAGTGAAAGACGTGATATAACGAAAAATTGGAAGGATTGGTCTTCGAAATTTGCACACAAGTTGTAATAAGGATTATAATTTGCTAAGTTACACAATTATAGTGAAGAAAAAAGGAAAGTTTTAATTCTATCATTAGAATGGGATTAGTCGCTGGCATACAAATACAAGTTGTAATAAGAAGTAACCTATTCAGGTAAAAAATTTGTTATTGGCTTGAAGCAAATAACTATGCTCATTTAATAAACAGAATACCTAGATTTGCAGTAAAGCTCCTAGTCATTTTTGAGAATATCTTTTAATTTAATTTTTATGTTTTCAATAGTTATTTTGGATTTGAATTTCATCTGCTCTAAGCTGTTTGCTTTCAATGGATCTTAGAATGAAAGGTTCACTAACTGCGAAAAAGCTGGATTATTGTGTATGAATGGAATAACTTATCTATTAAACTGCATGAAATGTATCATCTCCCTTTAGGCGAAATTCAGTTTATCACCTCTCTGGAAATTTACTTTGCAAGAGTGTATCCATAGCAGTTGTGTATTAGTTTGTTTGGGCATATTCAATCTTAAAAAGAAGGAAAAAGAAATGTGATAGTAAAATTTGCATTTCTTATACACACTAATTTTCAGGGAACTTCGCCATTATGGATTCAGTTAATTATTCTTCTATTACGCGCATGGTTTTTTATATATGATTGCCTGAATTATATACCGTATGAGTTATTCAACTCACCTACAGCGAAATTAAAACGAAGTGAAAGGATAAAGGTTTGTTCTTTTTATTTGGTGAAACCATTTAATAGTTCATTCTTCTACTGATATTTACATTTACATATTATTTAGCTAGAAGATTTCAGAGCAGATGAACTCAGTTCTTGGTTTCTAGAAGTTTTACCAATGATGATACTCTTTTTTTTTATACAGAAAGATGTTTTAGAACCAAAACATTCTATTGGTTTTACGGTCTATTATTAAAGGATGATGTTGTCATTTCATTCCTTCGAATGGTAGGCAGCTAAGTCATACTCGCGGCTGGAAATTTATGCCTCCTGCATCATATAATTTTCACTTCTGTCAGCTGAAGCTACATATTTAGGCAAAGCCGATCAAGGATCCTGATAGCCCATGGATTAACGTGGATGGTCCACTCACTGAAGATTTTCCCGGTGTAGATACGGTTGATAAACTATTTACACATGTGGCAAGGTTATATGGTGACAAACCGGCATTAGGTACACGAGAATTACTAGAAATATATGAAGAAAAACAACCAAATGGACGCATATTTGAAAAAGTGAATTTTTATTCTAATTAAGATTTCCGACATTTTAGTAAAGAGGAAAAAATTTAGCTGATTGAATTAAATGCTGGAACTGCATTTAAAATGCTTACTTTCTTTTGCTTTTTTTGCTTTTGCTAAACCATTAAGTGACCGATGTTTTGATGAAAATGTACTCTAAGATGATTTATACTTTCGAAATTAGTAATTGCACCTGTAAGGATGTAAATTTCAGTGGGTGTTGGGTAATTACAGTTGGCAAACTTTTGCTGAAATTCATGAAAAAATTGGTCGAATTGCTTCGGGTCTAAAAAGCATCGTGGAAAATGGTTGTCGAGTGAGTTTTTCATACATTTTGAAATTAATAAGTTTCACGGATCCACTGATTGTTCGAAAATAATTTCCTTTCAGGCAGTAATTTTTTCGGAAACTCGAGCTGACTGGTTTATCACCGCGTTCTCTCTCTTCAGAATCAATGTACCGGTTGTTACAGTATATGCAACCCTCGGTGAAGAGGTATAATTATTCAGTGTATTGGTGTTTAGATGAAGTGAAGTCGTACATAAAGAAGCTGAAATTGTTGTGGAAGATTTCTTTTTTGGGGTTTACTTAGACTGCTTTGATTTTGTGAATCCTCTCACTCTTGACTCTTTTTATAGATTTTAGTCTATTTCTTACTTTTATCCTCTGCAGGCAATAGCCCAAGCCATCAACGAAACTGAAGCGACACTGCTGATAACATCAGCAGAACTTTTATCAAAAATCGCAGTAATTGGGAAGAAATGTCCAACATTGCGTTCTTTGGTTTATTTCCGCCCCGTGCATTTTTCGAAGAAAATAGCCACCGTGGATATTGTTAAACAGCAATTCCGAAATGTTGTGTCACTGGATGAGTTAGAAGCACACACAAACACTGTGTCAGGTTGATGTTTTTCTGTTTGCTAATATTCCTAGTACTTCATCTCTTTACTATTAGCATTTTCTTGTATTAAAATTATTACATAAAACACTTTACAAATCTGTCAAATAGTTGATCTTGTAAAACATTTTTTGCAGAAGTTTCACCTGCTGGACGAAATGACACAGCAATGATAATGTATACAAGTGGTACTACTGGAGCTGCGAAGGGAGTGATTTTGACGCATTATAATATCGTGTCATCTGTAGCTGGATTGGGAGCTGGAATACCTATCATCAGCCATACAGACATATATATTGGGTATCTTCCGCTGGCGCATATTCTAGAGTTTGCAGCTGAACTAACTTGTATGGTGTGTATTTTTCTTATATATATTCCAGCATAGAAGAAGGGAGGAAACAATAATTTGTTACTGAAAATAACCAAATATCTGCATTTTCTTTTTCCAATTAATTCAAGGCTCATGTGTAGACCAAACTGAATTCCGTGAAAATTAAGGATTTGGGTTTTTCAGTTTTTTGTTTCAGACGCGTGGTTGTCGTGTTGGATACTCAAGTCCATTGACTCTTCATGACCGTGGCGCTAAAATCAAGCCAGGAACGCATGGAGATTGCTGGGCACTAAGACCAACAATTATGGCCGCAGTACCGGTTAGTTTTTTTGGTAAATGAAATTTAGGTGTGTCCGAGTTGCAAAGGAAAAGATTGTCCATTTGGAAACATGTGCTATTGAATATTGTGAGCAAAGATTTTTGATCGGTTGAGGGTCATTTAGACACGTAGAGATGTTGGTAGTTGTTTGGGAGTCTGTCAGGAAAAATATTTGGCTGGAAATCAAGAGATGTAGAGTTAAATAATCATTGTTACTTTTAAGGCAATAATGGATAGGATATTCAAAGCTATAAGCGATGAAGTTGCATCAGCTCCACGTCTGATGCAAGAACTTTTCCGATTAAATTATGAACGGAAGCGAGCGCGTTATCAGGAAGGATATTGCAGTCCTTTTTTGGACAGGTTTTTTTGTGAATTTCTCGAAAATGTTAAAACTTAAAAGTCAACTGAGTTTCCACCCAAAATTTTTTGAGGATTTAGAAATTTTGAGCAAGACATACATTTTCATATGCATTTATTTGATAAAAACACTTTTATGTGTGCTTTTTTCTGGTGCAGATTTCAAATTAATTGATAATTGTTTGTAGAATTGTTTTCAAAAGGATTCGACGTCTTTTGGGCGGCAAACTGCGAGGTGTATTGAGCGGTGGAGCAGCATTGAACCCAGAAACTCAGCGTTTCATGAATATTTGTATGTGCTGTCCAGTTATTCAAGGATATGGATTAACTGAGACGTGTGCAGCAGTTTCTATTGCTGACGGTTACAATTTATCTTCTTTTTTTTTTAATTATTGAAGTGGCAATAGCCATAGCATACTTTAGTATAATTCTTGCCATTGGTTTAAGGCGTCATTTTTTAGTGGTTTTTCTTCCATTTTCGATCCTTGTGCTAATCAAATACAATTTATTTTTCAAATACAAAAATCAAATACAACAAAATACAATTTAATTTGATTTACTTATTTTTCAGTGAATGACCTGAGCACAGGAACTGTTGGTCCACCTGTGCGTTGTTCACGAATACTTCTTCGCGAATGGAGTGAGGGTAATTTTTCTGTGTCATTTTACCTAACTCATTATTTATATGTCTCATCGGTAGCAAATAAGCATTTTATGCGTATCTTTCTTTGATTCAAAAGTAACAGTGCATCCACTCATATCTCATATTGTTCGTTAGTATACAAAAGTTGTTTTTGTTCTTTTGAATATTTTTTTTTTTTTTTACAGGAGGTTATACTCCATTTAACGATCCACCTCAAGGTGAAGTTCTGGTCAGCGGTTCAAACATATCACCAGGTTATTGGAAGCAACCTGAGAAAACAGCTGAAGATTTTGTGGTAATTGATGGCGTGAGATATTTTGCTACTGGTGATATTGGTGAATTTCGTGAAGATGGGTCACTTCGTATAATTGGTTCATATTTTCCGATTCTACATATTTTCTGTTGTTTTTTTATTTGAAACCCAAAAAAGTTTAATTCTAGAATAAGTGGAAAATGGTTTAAGTGTTATCGTATTTTAGATCGAAAGAAAGATTTAGTGAAACTTCAACATGGCGAATATGTATCATTGGCCAAGATCGAGACTGCGCTGTTGAATTGTCCATTGATTGACAATATCTGTTGTTATGGCGATTCATTGTCATCATACCTGATTGCACTTGTTGTGCCTAACAAGAAACACTTGACAGAAATGGCTGAACAGGTTGATCTTAGTCATTAATATGACGATTACATATATATCCAATTAACGATATATATATATATATATATAATAATGTGAACATTGAAATAATGTGAATCAATGTAGATTGAAACTATTAGTGATTGATTCAAATCAGAATATGAACAGGTTGATCTTAGTCAAATCAACATATGCATTACAACTCGCTGATTCATAGCAAGAATCAACTTATGAGGAACGAATGATACAAAGGGAATATAGAATAACTGAAACAATACTTTCACTTATTTTCAGTTTGATATCAGTCCATCAAGTTGGACTGATATGTGTCATAATGTGGAAATTGTTAAGGAATATCAAAGACGCATGGAGGAACATGCCATGAAAAGTTAGTTTTTATAATTTGATTTATAACTGAGTCTACCTTTGTAGTAGTTGACACATTGTATGTTTTATGTCTAGCACTTCGTTTAAAAAATGTTGATTTTTATAAATGTTTGGAAAATCTTAGTTTAACAATTTCTGCACCTTTTTTTTTGCATGGCTCTTTCCCAATGTTGAGTTGTGAAGAACGGTTTTTATTCGTTCTTTTACTAATTAAATTGGGATAAAATAAAAATGTGATAGGAATAGTGTAGTAACGGATAATGTTGCTACTCTCAGTTTATCTCATACAAACATTTCACACATTCATTTAAAAATTTCTTCCCTTTATTACTTTTTTGTTAATGATACTTTGCAGTGACATTTTTTGTTAATTTGAGTGAAAAGGTAGTAATCAATGAGTATATAAGATTAGCCAGAAATCACGCAACAGTTTCAGAAAAAATATATTCCTTGTTAAAATATAACTCAAGATTTTGAGAAAATAAAGCTTTTACGAATAATTTGTTGTTGTGGAAATTTAATTTTAGATCACTTGTTGAAGAATGAATTACCAGGAAAGATCTATTTATGTGATGAAATATGGACAGCTGAAACTGGTCTTCTGACTGAAGCAATGAAATTGAAACGTCGCTTAATAAAAGAGAAGTACGAGCAAGTTATTGCGCAACTTTATCGTGATGATTCTTATAAACGCTAATATGAGTGACATTGTAAGTAAGTTGAAAAATTCTTATTCTGAGATGATGACTATGTTCTATATCGTCCATTTTCATTCTTTTACAATTCGAAAAATTCCAAACTTTAATTTGCTTAAAAGTTAGAAGATTTCACTGTTTCAACAATAAATGTGTTACCAGAATGAAAATTGAAAAGAAATTTATTGCTTTATTGCACTATAACGACTGTTCTCAACTAATTATCAGTAAGTACATACAAGCTTTATTTAACAGGGATATTACGCTGTTAAAGGCATCTTTTTTAAGTCTCAAAAATATGTTAATTGGTAAGAGTTATGCTAAATTAATAAGTTTTATTGGAAGTTTTTCTATTGTTGTGTTGAATTGATTGTCGAAGGCATCATTCCTTTTTCATTTATCTCAAAAGAGCATTTAATTATATAGATTAGTAAGGACGTTTGCTTTAGATGAGTAGAACATCCCATCAAATGGGTTTAAATTGAAAAATTCGTTGCATTGCGGTATTTTTGGTCTCTTTTCCTTAAGCTAATTCGTTAAATACTAAAGCATGAATTTCCGCTTTATGAATAATGCTATATGATTAATTTCTATATGACTTTTAATTTTCAGCCCTTTATATTTTGTTTTCCGATGTGTCACATTTCCCAAGCAAGCAAAAAAAAATCTTTCAATTTAACCCTTAATTTGTAAAAGTAATCTATGAACTTTTCTTGTTTCTTTTGCAAGTTTACATTGTATTTATGTGTCCCACTGTTTGTTCTTTGTTTTTGGAGTGCGGAGATAATAAAAAAAAAACCATTCGTACATTCCTCAAACGTACTTTAACATTTTCCATTCATCTTTGCAGTAAACAGAGTCACTGAAGGCGAAACATTTTCAAATAGCTTTTTTTTTTACTTTCAAACCAATCTTTTGCAGCTTAACTTGTTAATCTCTAATTACTTTTAAGAAATTTTTTTTTTTTTTTTGTTTTGTTTTTTTAGCGACACTGTTGCAAAATGAAAGATTGCGGAAATTCGCTACTTTTTTTTTTTTTGAATATTGCTAGTGCTAAATTCAAGCCGCGATTGCCTAGAATTTTCCTGTTCAATTATTCGGTATTCTCTTACTTTTTTTTTTCATTTTTATTTGTTGGAGACATTAGTATTTGATATACGGGAGAATTTCCGTCTGATGCTACGTGGTCATATGTCATCGTATTTTTTGAACTGATAGTTTTGTGTTTCTAATATTATTGCTATTGCTTTTATCATTTTGTATTATTATTTCCTTTGGTTCATCTATAACCATCTGTAAATACTTATTCTCATGTTAAAATTGGCAGAAAAAAGAAAAGTGAAATAAAATTTTATTAGTTTCAATTCGTATATCTGAAGAAAATGAGAAAAAATTCTTTACCAGAATTCAAAAAATTTCATATAAACATTTCGCTTTAATTGTTTAATCCATTAATGATTTTCTTTTGTTTCTTCATCAATAAAAATGAAGAAAAAAGAATGATGATTTGCAACGGCGTTGTTTTCTTCATCAAATATTTGCAATAAAATATTTTCTGCTGAAATGTGATGCTTAACTACTCTTCCCTTTATTTTGCATGCATAATCCATACTCTAATCTAATTAACAAGAAATAGATGAGTTTAGTTCAGAAATTTAAAAAAAAAAAAAACTTCAAAAAATTGGGTTTTTATATAGAATGGCTAAATTAGATTTATTTTCCGATATGTCCTGACAAACAATATTTTTCTTCTTGCTTTCTTTTTTTCTTTTGCCTTTTATTTCAAATCATTTCAATTTTTTCAAACTGTTTCATTTTTCTAATTTTTTTATTAATTTGTTCTTTCGGTTTGCTCTGAAGTATTGCAAATTTTTATAACACAAATTTAAGAATAATTATTTGTTGAATTTAAATTAGTCTTAAAGCATTATAGTGTTATGCGATCTTTCTCAAAAATTATTGTCTATCGTGAAATAGTTTTGCATATTTATTAGCAACTTTTATTGGATTATAAAAGGCTTACTTTTTAATCAAATAAATTATTAACTTATTTTGTTAGTTAGCAAACGGTTAGTTACTTCATGGAATTATTAGCAAATTGCTTAAATGTTTCTTCAAAAATTTTAATAATATTGCGAAATATTTCGAATTATAGTGAACGACACACACCCCAATATAATTTTAAGTAAGTAAAATACAACATATACGTAGTATATGACAAATATCACGTAGAATAACTCACGTATCATAGCTTCACTCTGATATGTCGTAATCTCACGTATCATAGCTTCACTCTGATATGTCGTAATCTCACGTATCATAGCTTCACTCTGATATGTCGTAATCTCACGTATCATAGCTTCACTCTGATATGTCGTAATCTCACGTATCATAGCTTCACTCTGATATGTCGTAATCTCACGTATCATAGCTTCACTCTGATATGTCGTAATCTCACGTATCATAGCTTCACTCTGATATGTCGTAATCTCACGTATCATAGCTTCACTCTGATATGTCGTAATCTCACGTATCATAGCTTCACTCTGATATGTCGTAATTTCAGAATCTCATAATCATGTTTCGTTACCTTAATCCCATTTATTATAAGTTCATCAAAAAATACAATAGTGGTTGGGCTAATAATAGTAATTCAAGATATGAAATGTTAAATTTATAAATTAAAGGTAAATGTCAAAAATCTCAACATTTCGAGCGTATGATATATCAAATGCAATCAAAATACAAAGTTGGTTTGTCGGTTTTATTACAAAACCTTCTGTGGAGGTTATTCTATAATTTGTTAATATCATTTTTTCTTAATTTCAATTGAATTAATTTTAAAGTACTATTACTATACCTTTAACTTACATAAAAAATAATCTCATGCAAGTATTTAATTAATATTTTGTTCTTTCTTTAAATTTAAAGTCTTTTCGAACTGTGCATGATTCAGAGTTAATAAAATAAACTTAATAATTTCCATTGTATAATATTAATATTTTTTGGTCGGGAAATATGAAAATAATTTGATAATCAGTTTCATCTTGAGTAGCAAATGTTTTTTTTTTTCTTTTTTTTGCGTCGCCAACATATCACAATATTTTAATGAATTGAAATTCTGAATTAGAATATTTTATAGTTCCCAAAAAATTGATATTTTATGCTTTTTTTTGGAACAAAATTCCAGAATGAAAATAAAATTACAAACTTTAATTGTTATCAGTCTTTACGAGTGATTGAAGTTTTATAATAAAAATAAAATACTTTATCGTGTATACATGTGTAAGCAGTTAAATGAATGTTGAATAATAAATTTAATAATTTGTTTTTGAATTATTTACAAATAGCCATAACAGTGCCTTTTTTTCTTTTTTTTTGCCAACAAAATATTTCATTGAAAGTAAAATTTTTCAGTAAAAAAATTAATTTATTATAGCGTTTTTTAAAGAAAGAAAGCGAATATTTGGTGCATACCGAAGAAAAAGATAATTGCTTAAGATTTGTTCTTTCTGTACGAAGCAAAAAAGAATGTCACCATTTTACACTCATAAACAAAGATAAACTTGGATGGACACTTGATGCTGAACCTACTAAAGTCATTTTTACTATTTTATCGAAAAAATCAAATATAAATGTTTTTAAAATTTATTGAAATGATCCTTTTTCTCTTTTCCTTTCTCTTTATCTCTCTCCTTCTCCCTCTCTTTTCCCAAAATTTTGTTTGCACAGTGCAATGCACAAATGCAAGAATTAAAATTAGAGAATACATGAATGAAATTCTGAATAAGTTTTCATTTTTTCATTTTTTTTAAAAAATTAATTAAATTAAAAAAAAATTGAAAAACTAGTTTTCCTTGAAATTGTTAAAAAATTTACCTTTTTACAGTTATAAATTTTACACTTTAAGGCTACTTTTTTTTATAAGAACTGAATTCAATTATTTTATTATTCTTTCTAAATAGTGATTTAAATCCATTACCGTGAAATTACTAATCAGAAATAATTATTTGATTTTTTTTTTTCTTGAAAGCTGTTAGGAATTTTTCTTTTTTCGATTATTCGTCTTAAAGCCAAGAAATTATTATTTAATTGATCTTTTTCTTTTTCGAAACATTCAGAAACAGTATTATTATATTGTGTTATATTATTTTATATTAACTTCAGAAAAATATTTATTTTATCGAGTAATGGTTTTATATCTGCTGCATTCAGAATTCAATTTCAAATTTATTATTATTATTATTATTGTTATTATTATTGCTATTATTATTATTATTATTATTATTATTATTATTATTATTATTATTATTATTATTATTATTATTATTATTATTATTACCATTATTATTTGGTACATTTCTTCATAAAATTTCTCGCAAAAAACTTTTCATGGAAAAAGGTTTAAAATAAAAAAATTACATTTATTCATTCGATATATTTTTTTTTTTCTTTTTTCTAAAAAAAATCACTTTTTTTGAATTTTATCTTCATTATTATCTTAAAATTGTTTCAGATAACATTTATTACAATCATAGACTTAATTCACTATTATGAAAATCATCTATTGCCTATGGGTAACACATTTTTGGTTCATCCGTTTGAAAAACCGAAATGGTTTATTTTTCTTCACAATAATTCTTGACAAACTAAATTAATCATATCCGAATGTTTATCAATTTTTGTACATTTTATGCTTTAAAACTTATGAAAATGCCCGAATAGAACTAATTATTTTGCAGAAATTAATTTAGAAAAGAATTAAAATTAGAGAATTTGTTTTACTTATTGAAGATTTATTTGCATGTTTTTTCTATTAGATTGTAGAAATGATTTAAGCTTGCAATTAATATTATATACTTATCATACTACTTGGTAATAAAATTTCATAGTTTTTCAGAGGTTAAATATAATTCTATTTTTAAATGTACTGTTTCAAATTTAATTGCTAAAAATATCTGAAATGTTATTTTAAAAGTTTATAAACTTTTTTTACTATACTTTGATTTCAATGCCATTCACTTAGCTTATAATTCCGGGAAAATTTTGTAATTTAAGGTTTATAAGACATCAAAATGTTGCGTATAACCTTGAAAGAGGTTTAATAGGAACCGGAAATTTTTCCGATGTTTACGAAGGCAAATTATGTGGCAAAATATCAGTGGCACTAAAAGTATGCCATGGACCAACAGGTATTGTATATCTTTGATACAGAATAAAAGAAAAAAAAGCGAATTCCAAAAAATGAAATAAGTATAATTTAGCCGGAGCATAGTATTTCCTATTTCTTTTTATTGCTTCTTACAGAAAAAAAAAAAATGTGTAATTATCATTATAGATCGAAGCTAGCCGAAAATGGGACTTTGAGCAATTTAAAATTGAAATTAATTCAACGTTTTAATGATTTTAAATAAATAAATTACTGAAGCAAATAAAATCTCAATTGAATTTTATTTGTTTCAGTTATTATTAGCATAATAATAACAATAATAATAATAAATGCTGATATTGTTAACAAAGAACATATTAACAGAAAAGTAATTAAATAAAAAAAAAAACTTGTTTACGAATAATTAATTTCGTTTTTAGGTGAAAGCTTAAATCTAGAGGATGCGAAAGAAGCACTGGTGCGTGAAGCTTGTTTGATGTCTCAGTTTAAGCATCCAAACATTGTTAAGGTTATAAATTTTTCAAACTATGCATAAATTCAAATAACGAATTTCAAATAGCAAATCAAGAAACCCATTTATGATTCGTTCGCTATGCTTTTTATAATAAATAAATATTAGTTATTTAAATTTCACTTCATATATTTTCTCATTCTTATTTTTTCCTTTCTTTTGTCATTTTTTTCTTTTTCTTCTTTAATTATTATTATTTTTTTGTAATTATAATCGATTGCAGTTTTTTGGAATATGTTACGATGTGCCATCCATATGTGTCATAATGGAACAGTGTACAGGTGGTTCATTAGATAATCATTTACAGCATTGGGCGTATAAAATTACAATCGGTGAACGAATTTTGTACGGTTTAGAAACAGCGAAAGGAATGTGTTATTTGCAGGGAAAGTATGCTATTCATATTTTATTTGTAAAAAGTTTTATTGTATTAATTACTAAATTTTAATAAAATAAATTTATTCATTAATTGATTACAAGAAAACTATATCATTTCATCATTTACTTGCAAAACATTATGGAACTAATTGTAAAAAAGTTGTAGAAATAAGTTATTGATTAAATGATTCATTAATTTAAGTAACTTGTTGATAAGTTAGATTTTTTCTACTAGGAAACTTTAGCAAAATTCATATTAAATTAAAAAGAACGAAATTTTATTGAATTAACAATATTTATATTATTCAAAAGAAAGTTTAAATATTTTATTTAAAAAAGAAAATTATAGAGATTTTATAGAGATTATAGAAAAAAAAAATTATAGAGATTTGATACATCGTGATTTGGCTACACGAAATTGTTTGATTAGTAAATATGGTGTAATTAAAATTTCTGATTTTGGTCTTAGCCTATTAGCTAATGACCATACTGTTATTTGGAAAAAACAAAAGGTAACACATGAACACTTCATTGTTTCAGTAAATGGGTCGTGTCATATAACACTTTTAAAACTTCTATCTAATACGTAATTTAAAGGCTAATTATGGGATTAGAATTAGTAATTATAATTTGCTATTACTGATATGAAAAGCCATCGTTATCGTTATTAGAAAATCAATAATAAATAGTTTTCAAATTTATCAGAATATCATTACATATCAAATGATATCAGGTTTTTTTAGGTACCCATACGATGGATGGCACCAGAAACTATTCAACATAAACCACGTTATAGCGTTAAAAGTGATGTTTGGTCATATGGTGTGCTCTTATATGAAATTTTTAATAATGGTATTAAACCGTGGCCAAATTTGGATGTGCGACAATGTGCAACAAATATCAGACGTGGTGTTATGCCTAATATGCCAGGTAATTTTAATTGTAGGTACTGATTAAGAAACTGTCAGGTAATGCATCAGAAAATATATTTTTGGTGATAATTATTGGACATATAAATGAATAATTGTTAAGTAATTGTCGTATAATTGAATTAATTTTACATGAATCAAATTTAGCATAGTTTAAATTAATTCTAATTCAATTATTTTTCTTTCTCTTTCATTGCTACAAATCAAATATACTTTCAATATATCAAATATACTAGAGAAGAAGAGGCAACAAAAGTAATTGATATCTATCAGAAGGAGAAAAAAACAAAAGTAATTGATTTCAGAAATAACACCTAAAGAAATAATTCGTTTGGTAAAGAAATGCTGGAAAATAAGTGTTGAAAAACGATGTGACTTTAAATATATTGTCAAAAAACTTAAAAAACTTCAATTATGTTATGCACCACCAGAAATTGCCGATTTAACGATTGCAAAATTGAAAAATGTGAAAGCATTAACCGAAGAAGGAGCCGAAACTCAGGAAGAAAAAGATGACTGTGAAGCGGAATCGATAACACAAACAGTAAT